GGGGGGAACGGGGGATGGAGAACATGGAGGATAGAGGATTGTGGGATGTGAGTTGACACGAGGGCGCGGGGTGCACAGACCTCCGCCTGAATCCACCTTGCCTCCTCCGATGCTTGCTCCGCACCAAAAGCGTAAGAGCATGACGCGTTTTGGTCACTCCCTCGTTCGCATGCCCCTTGCACGAGACACAACCAAACGCGCAGACGCAAAGGTATCGAGGACAAGATGGTGACTCCGCCGCAGTGAACCCGGTACTGCGCGCACCAAAGGAACACGTTGAAGCCAAGCCAACGCGCAAGAGCCAGACGTCCTCGATCTCTCTTTCAAGAATCGAGGCCAAGGGGGCAGAAAGATGACCGAGAGATGAGGATTGTCGAACAACGCTCGGGTCGCGCTTCACGGTCTGTGCGACAGGAAGACGGTGGTGGCTGGGGAGCGAGCGGCGCGTGATGCGGGATGAGCGACGCGGCGACACGGCGACGCGGCCGGCGACGCGGGTCGGGTAGGGGGTGACGGAGACGGGGGGAGTAGGGGAAGAGGGGCAGGTAATGGCAAGACATACCTCTTTCAGTGGGAAAAGTCGAGGAGGATGGAAGTGATGGTGACAAGGACAAGTGAGACGGAGGTGAGTAGTGCAAGTGGGAAGGGAGTGAGATGAAGGTGGCGGCGGCGGTGGGGTGAGGGGGGGTGAGGGGGGTGAGGGCGAGTGAGAGTGAGTGACAGGGCACAAGAGTGCTTGGTGCAGGGTCGCCAAATGTCACACCCAGTGCGCCCCACTGTCCATTCTCCACACAACCTCCACCTGACGGCATCGGGGGGTGCGCGTACAAGGGCACACGTTCCAGGGACATGGTAGCATTAGGATTGCCTCGTGTTCAATGCTATTCCAATGTCTAATCTCCACTCCACATTAGCGGGAACTGAACGTTGCACTTGTTCAAAGACGCGTCTCGTTGGGCGTCGCCCCGTAGGCAGTGCTCGCTGCCTGCTGCCTGACTCGGCACTTTGTGTCAGTACTCAGTCCTTGCAGCCTTCTGCGCATCTCGGTGTTGTGAGCCACATTCACCTTCAGCCTCGGGTCCGACCTTGTCATGTTTTGCACTGGGGATGAAGGCAACCCGCTCCGATCCTGCCCTCCATCTCTATTCATGCATCTGAGACAGCCATCTATTCAATGGAACCAAATATTCTGTGCTGTTCATGTTCACCCAAAGAAAGGTCGGCTTTGTGGCGAGGAGCTCAAGTATGTTGTAGAGTTATCAGCAAGGTGCCGGGGAGCACACAGTGTGGCACACTTCAAGCTGCCATCGTCGATCGTCGAGGCTGACCTAGCTGGCCTGTTTCTCAACATGTTTATCGCGTGGGGATCGAGGGAAGGAAACGCGTCGAGCGCCTCCTTCGCGATCCTTCGGAAAGGCCATGGCCGAACGCCGAGAACACGAACTCCAGGGGCCGCGTACCCGGACCAAGTGGGCAAGATAACCATCGTTATCGCAACCAGCTGGTGGCAAAACAAACCCAATCACCCTCACTCTGTAGGTCATGCTGCATTGCGGTCTATGTATGCGCATCTAGGACAAAACTCCAAAATCCATGTTTGATCCGGTTACTTCTTGCCCGCGATGCTAAGGGTCAGTATTGCTCGGACGGTGAAAGGTGGAGGGTGAGGCGGCGGGGCGGGACGAGGCGGGGGAACAATCCCCCGCTTGCTCCGCCGCCGCTGGACTCGGTACTCACGCGGCCTTGACGTAGTCGGCGAACGAAACCATGCAGATGGTCTGCCAGATGCCGAGACCAATACGCGGCGACACGCCGCGGTACAGGCCCTTGATGCCGTTCTGCTCGTAGATGTACTTGAGCGTGTTCATGATCGTCTTCTTGGCGGGGCGGTTGGGGTCGGTGCTCTTGATCGCGCTCTGCATCTCAACACGCACGACCTCGATAGGCTGGTTCCATGTGCCGAGCGCACCGCCGACGGTCGACGAGATGATCTTGTCACCGGCAGTGAGCTTGTCGTTCTCGCCAAGGCCCTTGTACTTGCGGATACCGGTCTCGGCGAGACGGGCAAAGCCGAAGCGCGAGCCCCAGTTGGTGGCCTGACGCACGGCGACGGCGTTGACACCCTTGTTGATGCCAGCAATACCCTCGCGACGGTAGATGTCCATGAAGACCTTGAAGGTCGACGCAGGCTTAGCACCGCCCTCCATCTGCTTGTGGCGCGTGATCTCGACGGTCTTCATGCAGGTGCAGAAGCCTGTGTGTCAGCAGGGGCGCGAGCGGCACGAACTGCAGACCGGAGGGAGCTGTAGAGCGCCGGCACCGAGCCAATGCAGCGAGCACGGAAACGTGCACGTCCAAGCTACCGGCTCGCAGCTCGCATAGCCGTAGCCGGCGATCCAAGCGCTCACAGCTGCGCCTCATGAAACGTACCCATAGTCGCGTAAGCCTGGGCAACACCACCGCCGACACCGCCGATCATGCCGCCAGCAGCGGGGGAGAAGCCAGTCTTGCCGGCCCACTTCTCAATCTCGGACGACGTGAACATGAGCACAGCGCCCTTGGTGGACGCCTCGATCCAGGCCTGGAGTCAGCGTCTGATTTCGGCCTTGGTCGGTCTTCAGCAGATCAGAGTGCCGATTGGTGGAGGTGACCGCGCCGGTCGTGCGACGTTTTGCTGCAATGCGAAGCGAAGCAGATCAAAAGAGGTGCTGACCAAGCATCGCCGAGCACTCTGTCAGAGGCAGAGCCAATACTCGAGCTCTTGCTCGCACAGCCCACTCGGCGCTGCTGCCACGGTCGTGCGGTGCGATGCAAGATGCCGGACATGGCAAGCCCTGGACGCATTTTGGAACGCGCCCATGCGTCTCGCACCTCTAAACATGGAGCCCATCGCGCCGTCGCCGACTGTCTGCTCGCTGCCCTTCCCGCCTTCCCCGTCCTCCACTACTCACCCAAGGAATGAGGCCCTGGTAGAAGCCCTTGATGCCGCCGCGGCTCCAAACCGTCCTAAACGCGTCGGCCATCGACTGCTTCCGGTTTGCGGCCATCTGGGTCTTGAGCACCTCGAGAGGCTGTCCGAGGGTAGTGACCTCGAACTGTGGTTAGCGCGGCCTGGACGTCGACGCACCATGTTCATGGTGGCACCAACAGCGATGTTGGACCAGCTGAAGCCCTTCTCCACGGGAGCCATTTCGATTATGTGGTGATGGGGGGGTAGAGGGGGAGGGAGGGGAAGGGGTAGAGATACAGTGGTGAGCGATGAGCGAGCCGGTCGTGGGTATAGACGAGGAGTGGGTGTCTGAGGATGGCGAGGAAGGGGCGGCGCTTAAGAGAGGAGAGATTGAGATGGCAAGTGCCACGATCCAACCCCAGAAAGTTGGTGGGCCCCAGCGACCGCGGCGGGGCGGCGGGGTGGGCTGCGCGTCTCCACTGTACGCAGGCGGGCGGTCCGAGGCTTGCCGGAATCTACCGTCCGCTTCAACCAAATATTATTAATCGCCCACCCCTCACGTATTGTATTTTGGGCTATTAGGTTTTGTATGGGGCAGTCCAGCCGCCCACCCATGAAGCCAAGCGCTCACCCCCACAGCTAATTGACGCCGCGCCATGATAAAGCTTTTCGCTACACGGCCCGGCGGGACGGTACAGCAGTTGCAGCACTAACATCTTCCCATGACGACGGGTTAGCTCATGATAAGAATCAGATAATGCACAAGTGGTCGCACCGACGCCTGCGGCAGCGTGGCAGCTGGTTGTCACAGCAGATCGGTTGTCTTCAGATGAAGATCTGCAATCGTACGAGCAGATGGAGATGGGGCAGAACGCCACCCTCTTGTTCAATTGTTGACATGTCTACTTGCCAAATCCGGGATTACGGGTTTGGTTCATGATTATGCTAGGCATGAGGATGCCGAGGCGACTCCTACTGCTCGCCGTGGATGCTCAAGCCCTAGGTGAGGGCTCGCTAACACGCTCACGGGTGTTGCTCCATCTTGCTGCGCCACCAACATCTGCGTTCCGCTCCACATCTCCATCTCGAGATATCCACCGACTTCATGATCTCATAAAACTCTTGTGCCCTAATGTCTGATGTCTGACACGTCGAACCCGGATCTCGCAACGTGCGCAGCCGACACTAGCGACACTGCTGTCATCAGCGGATCAGCGTTCAGTATTGACAGCAATATCCTGTGCAGATCGTCTCCTGTCACATCTTCCTGGCACCGAGCCTCAGTTCCCATCGAGAGCACCTCTCCTTCTCTCGCAAGTGACATGAGCTCCTTCACCTCCGCACTCCGAACCCTCCCCTTCACACTCCTAGCTCCCATTGCGTCCCCTCCCCCCGCCCGCTATCCGGTCATGAGTGCATCCCGGCATATGAATACACGTCCCCAACGAAACCAAGCGCAACCGATCAAACCGATTACTTCTTGGCCTCCTCCTCCTTGGCCTTCTTCTCGGCGGCGCGCTTGGCGCGCATGCCAGAGTGGCGGGCGTCGGAGCGGGCCTTGCGCAGGGCGGCGTAGGCACCGAACTCCTTCTCCTCGGCGGTGATGGCGCGGGGCTTCTCAGCCTCGTAAGTCGAGGGAAGGGCGGGGAGGGCGCGGGTGATGTGCGCGGTGAGGTCGTCGCCGGTGGCGTCGCCGGCCTTGGGCTTGCCCTGGACGCGGGGGAAGACGACGAGGCGGCTGCGGTAGGCCTTGAGGCGCTCGACGTTGAGGGTCTGGCCCTCCTCGCTCTTGGAGCGGCGGCGGTGGTCGACGGCAATGCCGAGGCCGAGGGCCTCCTTCTTGCGGATGCCGGCGAGCTTGAGCTCCGACAGAGTGAAGCCGCGGCCCTCTGTCTGTCAGAGGGGGTTCTGCGTACAGGACGAAGATAGCGCAAGTCGCCACCTATACGCCGATACTCACCACGGATGCGGATGTTGTAGCGCTGGGTGGGGCAGCGGACGGCGGGGCGCAGGCGCTGGAGGGGGGCAGCACCCGACGCGAGGGCCTTCTTCGAGCGGGCGACGCGGCGCGACTTCTTCTTGCCGGGCTGGTCGAACTGATGGTTAGAAATTCTGCTACTCTGCCAACTCCGGCGACGCTCTCTCCCTCGTCACTCCTTCCGCGCGCAACGCACCCAGGTCTTGACCCGCCTCTGCCAGTCCTTGTGGAAGTGGTTCTTCGGGAGCTGGTTGTTGTGCTTGACCATTTCTGCGAGTGCGACAGTGAGAGTGGGAGAGGTCGGACGAGTGGGATGAGGGTGAACGACGGGATATACGCGGACGGGGATAACGCGAATGACGGCGCGGGAGACGGGACGGCACGATTGTAGACGGAGAGGACGGCGTCAGCACTGGCACACCTGCGCTCGTCGTCGCGGCACTCACTTGCTCCTTTTGTTGAAGGTTGAGATTCGACACTGGCAGCTCGATGGTCCTCGACACCACCGAAACTGCATTTGCTTCCGCCGTTTGAACATGGTGGCTCCAGCGGCGTTTCGCGATATCTCCGCTCTGCCAATTCCAAGTCCCGCTCGTGGCGCCGAGATTTGGTCCCGCCCAGACGCGCATACTATGAATTTCGGCGCGCGCATCTCGTGTCCTCTAACGCATTATAATTCTACTCAAAAGCATCGGCAACGCCCCACCTCCCCTTCGGGGTTGAGGCCATGGCTCGCCGACCGTCAAACTGTAGAAGAGAGTAACAAACGGGTTATTGGGTGGGTCGCCTGTCTTAATACACACAGGGGACCCAAGACCGGTTTGACATCGCCGAGAGGCACATGGATCATCTGCATGAACGCGTCGAGGAGAGTACGGAGAGTGGGTGGGCTGGTCTGGGATGCGGGCGAAGCTTCGGGTGGCTTTGGATGATCATGGGCGACGCCGGAGTAAGAAGCTGGGCTCTAATGGTCGACGCAGAGTGAGAGGGAAAGCCGCGCTGCAATGCCAGGCGAGGGTTGCGTCACAAATTCTAAGGCGCGAGTTCAGCATTCCAATGGGAGCGGCGTTGGCTGTCAGGATCTCTCGGAGCAGAGCAGCACTGGCCAACTCCGTTTCGGACCAGGCCTCGACGATCCTAAGACCAATGTCCAACCTCTCGCCGCCGTGACCATACTAGGATTCACTTCGTGGTAGCACGCATCATCCGTCTGTCCCTCATAAGTGTGACGAACGGTTAGACATGAGGGTATACATATGCAGGGTATGCCGCCGCTTCCAGCAATGAGCGCTACACCTCGCTCATCAGCACATCGCCATCGCTCTCGCCGTGTCCGTTGGCCGCCGGCGACAGCTTCAAGCTCACGGCCTGGCTCTCTCCCAAAGTGTGGCTATTTGTCCGACTTCTGCTCGGGTTGCGGCTCTCGCCTGCTTCCGCCGTCGCATTCTCCTTGAGCCGCCGCACCATGGCAGCAATCTCGCGGCTCTTGCTGCTGTCAGACCGTCTCCGAGCGAGTACTCACGTCCTGAGCCGCTCCGTCTGCGCACGTCGCTCCTCGAGTTGCTTCTCCATGAGCATGACGAGAGTTGCTTCGGCCTGCTGTCAGCACGACTACTTCGCGAGCATACCTGCACGCCTCGCAGCTGGTTCGCAGACACCATCATGGTCGCGGCGAGATTCGACATGTGCTGGATGTACTGTTGTCAGCGACGCCGCTTCTATAGCGCACCTGGTCGCCCTGGCTCTGCCGCCCATAGGCCTCCAGTTCATCGGGTACACGCGCCGTGCCGGTGAGCACGTCAACAAAGGCGAGGAGCGTGTGCAGGAACGAGTGGAGAAGGAGGGGAAGAGCGGCGCGCTCCGAGTCGCCACCTGCTGACACGGGGTCCGAGACGAGCGCCGGTAGGCCGATGTCGCGTGCGGTTGGAATGTGCGGTTCGGCCTGGTGTCAGTGGGGGAGAGGGGGAAGGTGGAGGCGGAGGCGGAGGAACAAGGAAGCGGGAGAAGGGGGAGGGGAGAAGCGGGGCGGGAGGCAGCCGTTGACGGAACTGACGAGGTAGGGCCGTTCCCTGCTCCGGAACTCACCGTATACTTCTGCCCGAAGAGCATCCACTGTCCCTCCTCGAGCACCCAGTCCGCGCGGGGTGGGTCGAGTGCGACAGCGAGCTCGTCGAGCTCGCCAGGTGCTAGTGGCTCCGCGCTGTCGCCCTCGCTGCGCAGCTCCGCTAGGCGCGCCAAAGCCTCCGGCGTAAACGCCTTGTAGTATCCCGGCGGCGGGGGGAAGAGAGTGTTCGTGATGGGCACGGCGGCCATGTTGAGATGAGATGGGTGGTTGTGGATTGTTGGTGGTGGAGGTGGTCCATTGATGTCAATAGCGGGAGCAATTTGCCGATAGATGCAAGGACGACAACTGAATGTGGCAGCCAGACTGGCTCAAGCCAAGAAGTACATGCATACAGCCACAATCCGTCTAGATAGCGCGCGCCAGTACGCCCACCGCGACCTCCGCCCCGACACCGATCACCTCGCCTTCGAGTGCGCCCACATCCTTCCCAGGACTCTTCTTGACGCTCTGCAGGATCCACGCGAGGCCGCCGGCGAGCTCGGGTGTCGCGAGAGCGCGGTCAAACGTCGCCTCGACGGCCTCCAAGTCAGCATCCTCGACCTTGAACTTCTTGGGCAAGGTCAGGAGGGGCGACGGCGTGTGCAGCGCCAACAGCAATGTGCGGAGCAGTACGTCGAGGAACTTGCGCGTCGCCTTGGTCAAGTCGGTGAACTCGACGGCCTTGAGGATCGTTAGGTCCACGCTGCCGCGGGCGATGAGGAACGCCAGTGCCCTGGCAACGTGCGATGCGCGCGTTTCTGGCACACCGCCTTCCGCCAGCTCGCGGAGGAGATCCCACAATGCGTACTGCAGCGTGAAGCGGTGGTCGTAGCTGTTGGCGCAGAGGTTGTTGAGCACGAGTGTGTAGTATGGGTTGTAGCCCGCCTCCATACCAACGCAGTGCAGAGCCACGCGCACAAACTCGCGCTGCTGCACGGCTGTAAGCCGGAACGAATGCAGGCGGTCACATGCGTGCACGTAGTCCTCGCTGGTGAGGAGGACCACGAACGCCGATCGCCTCACGTCCGTGTTCATCCCCTGTTTCCTTGCAAGCTCCAGCAGCACCTCCTCGTCCTCCTGGTCGCCCTTCGCCGCTGTCTTCGTGGACTGACGCTCTACCAGCGGGTTGCCGCTCCATCCCGCGCCAACAAGCCACCACTTGCCGCGAGAATCAGCGCAGAGTAGGTCTTTCAGTCCGACACGAAGCGGCTCAGGGGCAAGCACTGTGGTCAGCTACAGACGATCACCACAGCGGGCACTCACATCGGCGCTTTTTCCCCAGTCCCGAGAGGAACTTGCGCATGCGAGTAACATCAGCCCGCTCCGCACCCAAGCCCTTCGCTTTGCCACTCTTGAGGTTGCCCAGCGTCTCGATCATGAACTTGGCACGCGTCGTCATCTCCTTCTCCCGTCCGCGCGTGCGCTCTTGCACGAGCGCAACGATGTCCTTCAGACTCGCAGGATCGTCAGCGCGCAACTGCGAGCCGGAGCCTGCTATTAGCATCTCCGCGGTCATTTCCACTAACACTTGAGGATCTTGAGAAGGCCCTCAACGCTCCGCTCGGACATGAGCTCGTCGCCTTCTCCGATGAACCCGCGGACCAAGTCGTAAAGCAGCTGGGAGCCAAGCACGCCGGCATTGAACAACTCCGCAATAAGGGTCAGTAGATTGAATGCCTCCTTGGCCGCGTCGTCACCGTCTGCAGATGTCGATGTGGGCGCGGTGCGTGCAAACTCCTCGTTGTACTGCTTCACGACAGTCTGGACAAAGTGCGCGCCAAACTCGAGGCCCACAACGCGATGCAGTGCCCCCACGAGGGTCGCATACAGGATCACAAAGCTGTCCAGGAGGTTGGTTTTGGATCCGATCATCTGAATGATCTGCGTTGTGAGGGTGGTCGTCACGTCTGGTGTCAGTCGCATCACCACAGGGGATGCTCACCGTTGCGGCTGTACTCTCCAAACAACTTCTCCACCTCTGCGAGAATACTCTCGATATTTGCCTCACTCAGCCTGGCGTCAGACCAAAGCCCTAAGAATAGAGCTCACTTGTTGAGAAGACCCTGCGCCTTGCGCTCGAGCTTGGCGCGTTCGGCGGCCTTCGCACCGTCTCCTGCAGCCTTCTCGGCGAGCTGCGCGGCGCGCAAGTGGGGAGGAATGTAGCGACCGGGAGCGGGGGCCGGAGTGGGCGGTTGTGCGGGCTTGGCCTCGGGTCGCGGCTCCGGTCCAGAATCAGACTCGGCGATGCCGTGCCACTCCTCGTCCTCGTCGACTTCGGCGGTGCCCTCCTCCTCAGATTCGCTGAGGTCGACCTCTCCATCCCCATCTTCCTCCTCACTCCCATCCTCGCCGTCGCTGTCGTCCTCCTCGTCTTCAAGATCCTCGTCGTCGCCTCCGGACTCGGAGATGTCAAACTCGCCCATCCCATCGTCGTCATCGCTATCACTAAGATCCTCGCGACCAAGCTTGCCGGTCTCGAGGCGCTCGGTGAAATCGAGGATTTCTGTCGTCAGCTCTCGCGCTTATCGACTTCCTCCGCCATCGAACTCACCATCAAGACCGTCCTCCAGCCCGTCCTCCTCGCCCTCCTTTTTGAGCATGTACTCGAGCCACGCAATTTCGCGGTCCTCGACGTCGCCGTCGTCCTGAGGCAATACCAGCTCCTTCTTCTTCTTCTCTTTCTCCTTCCCCTTCCCCTTCTCCTTCTTCTCAGACTTGCTCTTCCCCTTGCTCTCATCATTGCTCTTCGTCGGCGGCTTGCTCTCCGCAGGGATTTCCTTAGCCTTGCCCTTATCCTTCGGCTCCTTCATCGCAGTCTCAGGCTCCGCCCGCGCCTTCTTCCGCGCCACAGGCTCGTCGTCGCGCTGCCGTGGTGCGCCCTTCCGCTTCATAGCCCGCTCCTCTTTCCGCGCGCGCACAGTGTTCGGTCGCGATGCGCCTGGCGTCAGCTGTGTCGAGTGTACACTCACCGTAGACCTTCTCCACTTCGTCGAGCAATGTAGATGGGAGCTGTGGACCGCGGCGTCCAAAGCTGCCGCCTCCTCCGCCCCTTCCGCCGCGGCCACCACCACGAGCACCGCCGCCACCACGCCCTCCTCGCCCTCCGCGTCCGCGCGAGTCTTGGCCATGGAACGGCATTGTTGTCGGTTGAGTTGTTGGTGGTGGATATGTTGCCGCTCGTCCCAAATCTCTGAAGAACCTCCACCTCTAGATCTTATGCAGTCCCTCCACATTTAATTTTCCGCACATCCGCCGTGCCACCGTCCGCCGATCCGCCAAAGTCTGGGGCCGACCGACACCAAGATCAGCGCTCTGACGTCGAGCACACGGTATAATCGCCGGTTTCATCCTGCCTTCGCTCCACGCATATTCAGCATCGTCATACTCGTGCATCCGTCTCAGAGCGCGCCAGTCTAGCAAGTCCAGAAAGCTAAGCTATAGATACCAGTCAGGGCTTCACGGCTTCCACGACTTCAATCCTATATCACTTCGCGACACCACACCAATCAACCATTTACGAGGGAGGGGCGACCTTCTCAGCGTTCACACCAGGAGGGACGTCAGTGGGAGCGCCAGACGCGGCAGACGGGGCGGCGCCCAGGGGGTGGGCTCCGGCCTCCGCAGCCTTGGCGTCGGCGGCAGCGTGGGCTGGCGCAGCGTGCTCGGAAGGCGTGACAGCTCCGCTGGCAGCCTTCTTCTGCTGTGCCAAACGCTTAGCCTCCTCGTGCACATCGAGAACAGTCTTGCTAGCCTCGTTGTAGAACTGCGAGACGCTGCTGTCAGCTGACATGATCAAATTGTAGTGCTCACCGCTGGCCAACGGGCGTGGAGAGCGCCTTCGAGTAGTAGTTAAGGAAGGTGCTGCTGACGCCGCGCTGCTGGTCCGCCTCACGGGCCTTTACATAGGTGGTGTGGGCCTGGTCGTGGAGGCGAGACGAGAGGGTCTGACCTTCACCGACAAGACGCTCGCCGGCCTTCTTGTCGACCTGCGAGAGGAAGGCGAGGAAACGCGACGAAATGCCCTGCTTCTCTGTGTGTTAGTGGATATCAGTTCGTAATAGCGAGAGTGGACAGCATGTTCGGGCGTCAGGTAGATAGTTTGTGGGTAGGCACGATTTAGCAACGACGTCATCGACGCGTCAGGTGGCGGTAACTTGCCATGCCGCCGTCCAAGCGGCGTTGATGTGACGCCGCTTGCCTGAAAGGACGCCACCCCAATTTGAACGCCTTCAACGCGGGGAAACTCACGGTCGACGTCGATGGCCTTCTGGATGATGTGGTCGCCAATAGTGTAGCCGTGGGCGAGGTATTCGGCGGCGATCGCAGCCTTGGCATCAGCTTGATGTTCATCTTGCCAGCAAACCTTGGGCTTGTCCTCCTGGTCAAACTCGGCGCCCACGGGAGTCGATCCCGAGGCAGCGGTAGGGAGAACACTAGAGTCGGCGGCGGCGGGCGAGGTCGAAGTCACCTCGAGGTGGGCGCCGTCGAGCTGGCGTCAGCGGTATGCTTTAGAGGGCGCAGCTCACAGTGCCGCCGTTGAGCATGAGGGCGGTGCGCATGGCGCTCTGCTTCTCGAAAGTGATGTCGGCCTCGGTGCCATGCTTCTTGACGCTCTGAAGCTTGCCGCAGAACTGGGGTTAGGTGGCGATGCGCAAAAAGCCAGGGAAGGGCGTGAGAACTGACCGAGAAGAAGTCGTGAAGCTTGGTCTCAGAGGTCTCGGGGGCGAGGCCGGAGACGTGGATGGTGAAGCCAGTGGACATTGTAGAAGGGAGGATGGAGTTGATTTGAAGTGGAAGAGAGTGATGGAGTGATGGAGAAAGAAGAAGGAGATGGATGGCTGGAGATGTCGGATGTGGTTGTGAGGCGGGTTTGATGGGACAAGACCGTGTCCCCCGCACAACGTCCAGGCACAGCTTTCGATCTGCACGGTTGTGGGGGAAGAGGCGAGACGATGATGTCATCGGCCCCTTCAGACCATGGCACTGGACAGCGGTGGAGGTGCGTGCCAAAAGCTTTGCAAGTGGGGCGGAGCTGCGGAGACGGAAAGATGGGTGGCCAGGAAGAGCTATTATTGCCTTGGCTTCCAATCCCAACAAACCCAAAGAGATCGCGCCGAAGACCTGCAAGGCCGCGAGACTCATGATGATGGGTTGTGAGGCGGTGCTGGGCAATAGTCGTTGCCACCACACACACGTCAGCGGAATGGCAGCCGCCATCATGCCCGGCAACTGTCACCGTCGTCATAGTCGTAATGCCGATGCAGTCACCTAATCGTCATACAACCATCATACCACCAGCAAAGAGCCCTTCCGAAACTCCAGCGCCTCATTCCCAACGCTTCCACAGATACCACAACGCTCTGCCCAGCTGCCTCACACAAGCGGCGGTGAAAATGCATCTGGCGGGTGTGCATCGTACATCAACGCGAGTTCCGCAACCCACCACCGCAGCTGGCGAGCAGGGTATGCCACAGCCTCAAAACAACCCTCCTCGACCTCCTCGGCGATCTGGCGAACGACTCACGCCGTGGCTATTTATGGGAGTCGGTTGTTCATGAATGGCTTTCCATGCTGTATTGTAGCCGCAGTGGTGAGACAGGCATGTGTGGATCGTGTGGATCGTATGGAAAAAGTCTAGGGCGCGTTGGACGCGTCTGATCTACTTTTGGTTTCGTCATTACGATCATCGCAGATCACAATAGAATTCTATAACTAGCATGTGCCTTGTGGAATTGTGGAGGGTATCTGGATGGATGAGATAAGCACACACGGTACAGGGGTTAAGTGTTGTACCTGGACGCCATCCCGGTCCATGGGATGGACTAATGGGCGCGACGGGCGCGTCTGGATTCCTGAATCGAGACAATTCACCCGCTCATATTTGTGGTCCCTTCGCTTCCCTACCCATCCCGGGCCGACATTGCCCCCTGACTCTTGAGTTTGCTCTCAAATCATCAACCAAAAGGCAACAAATCGCTCTTAACTCGCTTGGTCGGTCGACTCGCTTTATTACTGTACGTGTGTCGCGTCTTTGCGCGTCTTTTCTTTCGCTCTGATCTCAACCATGCCAAACATGTGCCTGCAGCACGCGCACCTTGTTCTTCTCTCATCTGCGCTAGTTTTAGCATGTGCTACTCATCGTACCCGCCTGTCGCGCCTCGTGTCTTGTTCTGTCCGGTTGCGGGACATGTATCTGAAACCCCGTCTATTCAAGGCTGCCCTAATATGCCCTAATATGGCCTAATATGGCCTAATCAATGCTATCCTTGGCGCGTGGTCCCGGGAAACCCCAAGCACAGATGTTGCTCTCAGGTATTGCAGCTCGAGTTTGGCCGCCGAGTACGCCGTGTGGTCGACGCCACCAAGTCGCGCTCACGCTTTCTTGGCGCCTGCCCCTCTTCCTCCTCTCCTCGCTCGAGACCCCCATCAGCCCACGGTCCCCCTCACCCTCTTAATCCCCCCCCCCTCCATCTCCATTCTTCCTTTGTTGCTTTATCCATCAACTCTCACCTCATCCGCTCTCCAGCTACAGTCACTCGTTAACCCCTCACCCACCCATCCCTCCTCCTACAATGCTCGCCGCCGCCCTCCTCGCTCTCGCCGCCCCGGCCCTCGCCACCATCTACACCACCAACCCCGTCGCCTCCACCAGGGCCAAGGGTGGTGAGGTCCTCGAGATCACCTGGCAGGACGATGGCTCTGCCCCTTCCCTCGAGACCATTGGTGTCTGCTCGGTTGACCTCTGCATCGGCTCCACCACCAAGCAGCTCTGCATCCAGAACCTCGCCGAGTCGGTCGACGTCTCCAAGGCCTCCACTATCTCGACCACCATCGACGCGTCCATTGGCGAGAACTACGATGCCTACTTCATCCGCTACACGGCCGACAACTACACCGACAAGGGCCAGGCCTACATGCAGTTCTCTGCGCGCTTTGCGTGAGTTCAACCACAGGGGTGGGCACGGGCGGCAACGAGAAGCCCAGCTGCTGCCTGTTTGCCTCTTTGACCTGTGGCCCGGGTGGGCGCTCTTCGGGTTTAATGCCCATGGCCCATTAGGAATGAGCTGCCCAGATCGGCAGTCGCGCACAGACCCACACACCCGACCCCCAAGACCATGACTGACCCTAGCCTTACCGACATGACCGGCAACTTTACCGCCGAGCAGCAGACCTACGCCGACGACAAGGGCGCGACTGCGTCGGGCTCGGCGTCTGGCTCCGCTTCGGGTTCGGCCCGCCCCTCGTCGTCGGCCGCCCCCTCGTCGGCTTCGTCCGCCAGGCCCTCGTCGGCGTCGTCGTCGGCCTCTGTCTCCCGGTCCGCCTCCGCCTCCGTCTCGGCTCCGGCCACCACCACTTCGTCAGGTGCCGAGGCCATGATCGCCCCCTTCGGCTTCGCCGTTGCCGCCGTCATGGCCGCTTACGTTGCGCTCTAAGCTCCCTCCTCGCTTAGCTTTGCGCATCTCTCCCCTCACAACACCTTCCTCCTCTCCTTCCCTCCTCCCATTATTGCCTTCTACATCCCGTTAGTTTGAGGGTTGCTCGCCTTGATGGTGGGCCTTCATAGCGATTCTGCATGTTGTGCACTTCGCGCGTCTTGTGCGTCAGGGACTTTTGAAACGCGGGTGCGGAAATGCGCGTGAGGGTTAGTGTGAGACATGAGTATGAGGGATGAGTTTCGAGCAAAAGTAGGTCAGCCCCGATCACGCCGATACCCCAAGGCTGCCAAGACCCGACAGCCAACCGCAGCGTGTCGTGAGCGCACGAAACACCGTAGGAGCATAAATCAGGTACAGTACAACGCGCAAATACAGCGCAGACGAGGGTTCCAGTTGCCAAATGCTGCGACGACGTCACGCCTACACCGCAAGGAAACGTAGGGCGCCGAACACGACGTTGATCAGGGTGCCCAAGTAGATGCCGATCTGGAATCAGTTGCAACACGCTATCGCAACGCCATATGCAACTCACCCGCATGCGCTTGCTGAACACGACCGAGCCCACCAGCTCGCCGCCAACAAGGGGCGACGAGCTCACGCGCATGGACACACTTTCGCGGCTTGGCACGGGGCTCACGACCCCGGGAACCTCGAGGGTCTCGGAGCCCGTCGCCCCATGTCCACGGATCGCGGCGGTGTGCGCCGCAGCGCGCCGCTCGTCCTCCAGCCTCGCGGCCGCTTCTGCCCGGCGCGCGAGCTGGTCTGCCTCAGCCTCGGCGTCGAAGAAGTTCGGCAGCGGCTCCTCGCGGAAGAAGAACCACGGCGTAAGAGGGAACAGGAAGCCAGTGAGCAGGCCATGCAAGATCGCCGTGTACATGCCCTCGGATGAAGCTGGGGTCAGCATAGTTGTCGTAGCGGTCGTCGCGTATAACCCACTCGTGGCCGTCTCGGGCGTCAGGTCGCCCTCGATCCACTGCTCCTCGAGCGCGCGCGCGTGCTCGTCGTTCATCCCCCCAAGGTCGGGCACCTCCTCCCCCCGACTTTCGTAGAACTGCCTCCGCATCGCCGCGACCTCTTCAGGGCTCAAACCCGCGTCGAGGAGCGCGTCGAATCCGCGCCGGCGCGGCGCCGTATCCGGCTCTTCGTGCTCGCTCGGCGGCGCTGCATCCAGCGGCCCGCCGACATTGCAGTGAAGGTACACGCGTTCCTGGGGCGGCTGGGGCGGTGCTTCCTCCTCCTCGTCGCCGGCCAGGCCACGCCCGACCTCCCGAAGGACATCGCCGACTGCGGAGCCCGCTTGACGGCGCACACGTTCTTCCAGGCTGCGCAGCCATGGAAGGAGGAGGATGCCATCTGTGAGGAGCCGTCCGGCGTGGATCAGGCGGAGCTGGTTGCCCGCAACATTGGGGCGCATATGGCGAATCTGGCGTCAGTGGCGTGCGACATCGGAAGCGTGATGGGTGGTGGCCGAGGGAAAGTGAGGCGTAGACGGGACATGGGCAGCGGACTCACCTTGTCCTTGACCTTGCCGACACTCTCGCCCTCCTCGACCCAAACCTCGAGGTGTCCGCCGGCATCTTCCTCATTCGAGAAGATGATAGTGACGGGGCGCCCGACATCGGGGGCGCGCGCCTTGCCCTTGTCCAACGTTGGCGGCTCGTCATCTGGCGGCGTCGTCGCGCGCTGCTTCCCCTTCGCCTTGTCTGACTGCGGGAGGTAGCGGCGCGCATGTAGCTTCGAGCGGCTCGCCGGGCCCATGTTTGCGGGCGCGGGAAGGAGGGGCTCGTTCTCGGAGGGGCCGGCGGGGGTTGACATGGTGATGGTGTGGGGTGACGTTGCAATGGCAGGTGGAGATCGCCGAAGTTGTCGAACGGTCGGCCATGGCCTTATTAGGGAGTATCGTAATGAGCAACTCCGCTATTACAACACCCACGTGGATTTGCCATCAAGATGGGTGGAGGCGGAACGATGTTTTCAGTGTCTCCAAGTCACCCATGTTCGCCCGCTCCATCCTCCGCGCCGGCCGCGTCGTCTCTCTCCGCGCTCCCTCTCTTTCGGCTCGGGCAGTGCCCGCCCGCCGCGCACCATCCGCGGCGTCCTGGAGCCGCGGTACGTCGCTTTCTCCGCTTATCTGACCACCTCACTCCATCGCTGACTCCCGCTGACTCCAGCCTACGCAACTGGGACGTCACCCGTGTCCCCGACGGACCCGAAGCTCGGGCAGGCGCAGAGTCTGCTCGAGGACGGCACGCGCGCGCTGGAAGAGGGCGACCTGCCGCGCGCCAAGGCGGCGTACGAGGAGAGCATCAGCGTCATGCCGACCAGCGGGGCCTGGTTCAACCTCGGCGTGGTCGAGTACCAACTCGGTGAGTTGGCGGCGCTTGCCGCGAGATATGGACTGCGCAATTCAGTGCTCGGCACCCGATGAGCCTGTTGGGCAGCTCGAATTGCAGCCGAGGGATGCGCAATTCAGTCCAAGCTGGCTCGGGGTATTTCCCGCTCGACGGGAATCACCGCTCACCCGAGAATAAAGCGATATCGCTGTTCCGAAACACTCGTCTTGCAGGTACTGGATTGCGATTTACCCGGAGCACATGGGCTGACCTCAGCTGGGCCGCAGGGCGCCATTGACGCATGGAAGCAGAGCATCGCCCTCGAGCCTTCTGCGGACGCATACACCAACCTCGGCAGCGCGTACATGATGTGCAAGCCGCCGCAGACGGCTGAGGCGATCAAGTCGTTGACGGCCGCGATGGAGATTGCGCCCGAGGACCCCGAAATCCAGTTCAACCTCGCGGCGGTGCTCGAGTCGAGTGAGTCCGCCGTGACATGGTTTGCAGGATGCTAATGACAGCCGACCAGCTCGACACGGCGCTCACGCTGTACCGCAAGGCACTGGCTGGCGGTGTCGAGCGCGCTCTTGCCAACATCCGGAACATCGGCGGCAAGATTCTCGCAAAGAAGCTCAAGGAGGAGGAGAAGTAGACTCTAGACATGCATATGGCTCACGGCTGCTTGATGGCGCGGCGACATGTTTTGCCGGACTATAGTGGTTGTAGAGAACACTTCAGATTATACAACTGTGGCTTGGGCTTCTAGATCCCCAGCGCCGCCTCCTGCACCTCAAACCGGGGGAGACATCGTCCTGCGCGTGCGCGCCACGCCGTCGCCCGTGCTGAAGAGCTGGGGGTCGGCGAGCTCTCGCGGGGCCGGATCCTTACGCTGCGCCCCGACGGCGACAGCTGTGATGTGGCCGCGGGGCTGGGCGTACGGGGGGCGTATAGGTCGTGATGGGCCGGCGATGGGGACGGCGACGGTGTGCGCGGCGCCCATGCACGCGCATCCGCGGAGGGATGTGGGGATAAGGGGGAGGCGTGTGGGGAGCAGCGAGACGGCTGGAGTCCATCGGTGTGTTCGAGGGAGGGCGGTGCAGAGGATGGGGGGTGGTACGGCGTCGGATGTCCGTAGGCGTACGTGGAATACGCGGGTGGAGTCAAGCGATTTGGCAAGGCGGGGGGTGCTTCTGCCCCCGGCTCGTCCATCTCGACGTCACCGTCGTCGTCTTCCAATGCGCCTAGCATCTCTGCAAGACTGCGTCGGCTCCGGTTACGCACGCTCGCGCTCCGTGCGCTGCCACGCCGACTCAGCTCGCCGCGGGCATACGCGCCAGCCACCCGGCCGAGGCTCGCCGCTCGTGACGCCGTGTATTCTGCGTGCTCGACGCTGGTAAGGACGGGCTGCGAGATGGAGCGGAGCATTGAGACGCCGCCGCATCCGTGTCCTTGGGGTGCGGCGTAGGTGTTCAGTGTGAGCGCTGGGCGCTCGGGGCGGCGCCGTGGGTACGTGGCACTCCGCCGTGGAGGCGAATGCACGAGGTCCGGGACGGGGCCGGAGGCGGCTGCGTCCGCCGCCGCCTCGAGGCGGAACGATGCCTCAACAGGCGATGTGAGGGGTGGGTCGAAGGCCATGGTTGATGGGAAAAAGTGATGGTGGAGGTGGTGATGGTGATGAAGCTAGCGATACAGTCGAGTCTCGAGGCGATAAAGATACGCGGTACGGCGAGGCCGTCCTGGTGTTCGGTCTTGGTGACAGCCGAGGTCTTCGTGATGCTCTTGACCGCTGGGTTTAACCGCAATGTCTCACCGGCGATGCGCCTGTCGTCCTCCGCTGGCGGCTGGCCGCTGTGTGCGCCGTCGATTCGTGAAGCGGGCGGGAGGACTATCCCGTACTAGTCGCTCGTTGTCAAAGTCAAAGAAGAAGTCGCTGTCGATCACCCTCCATGTATATGAGCAGCAAGATTTCGCATCGCGGCTGCATCCATTGCGCTCTGCAAGCTGCACGCCGATCCGAACCGCGGCACGGCCGCGCCCACGCGCCACACGCACATCGTCAAGTAAGGTTAAGTGGCGGTGGCGCTGGAACGAGGACCGTACGTCATCATGCATCTCAACCGCAGGTGATCGGCGGGTGTTCTGCTCCAGCCCTGCGCCCTCACCTCCCGCTCTTACGTCCATGCCCCGGCGATCGCAACTTACCAGAACCCAACGGCGCCCGCCGTCCTTCCCGTGGCTTTATCTGGTTTGCGGCGCTGTCCATGCCAGGCAGCCTGGCCGCTTAGGCCTGGATGCACAGACGGCGGTACCCGGTATGAGTCATCTCTGCTGCGCTCGTGGCGTCGACGCCACGCAGACGCCGGTGCAGATCTGCGCGGTTGTGATCATGCAATCTTTTCTAGCTGTTCTGTCAGCCTGTGACTTGGCCAGGGCCAGGCAAGCTAGGCGAGCGCCTACGGTAGCCTTTGGCAGATCATCTCTCGTTGCAGATGTGTCGCGAACGTCTTCGATGATTACTTCTATAGAGCACAAGCAAATGTCCCCTGCGGAGTATTAGACCTCAGCTGAGGCCGCGGTGAGTTTGACCTTTCGCACACCTGCAGCCCCATACGAGCTCCATGCCCATTCACCTTCCTAATCATCGTCGTGCAGCCAGTGTAATACTTCTATCGGTTGGATCAGCTGCAAAACTTGTCTTCTAGATTACCACCTAACCCGCCAAATTTATTCCGCCAAATTGTCTTCAACTTCTCACAGTGCCTGCGCCACTGCGACTCACCCGTACATATATCTCCAGGGTGCCATGAAGATGAGCCGGGTGCCCACTCTCCGAGGGCCACCCGATGGCATATTGTATGTATGCGACGTCCGTCGCCTCACGAAGCACGCTCGCTTGCCCTGCGGCAGTCTCCGGCCGCACGCGCCATCCCGGATTTCCGACAGCGCGTCAGCATTGCTCGTCCATGTCAGCATCAGATGGGGCGTCAGTGGGGATCTCCGCAACGGCCCCCGGAGTCGGCACGTCCCTGCCGGATCACAAGGTCGGGCCGGCGTGGTCTGGGAAGCGAGCAGGCGGAGTACACGGATCGTGGCTGGCATGCATGGCATGACTTACCACTGGAGTGGAGATAACCCCAGATCGTGCTCATTCCTGGAAATCACATCCGACCTTCTCGGCCGCCCATGCACTCTGCATACAACTCAATGCTATTAACGTGCTCTACATCTTCGCCCGGAGCTGCACCTCAGCATCGCGCTCGGCCTGCGCGCGCACACGCAGGTCCTTGCGCAAAATCTTGCCGGATGGCGACTTGGGGATCATCTCGACAACAACGACACCGCCGCGCAGACGCTTGTGCTGCGCTACGCGCTCGGCAAGCCATGCCGCAACCTCGGCAGAGAGCGCGTCCCGGTCCGCACCGGTCTTGATGTTCACGTTCTTCGCGACAATGTACGCGCGCGGCAGCTCCGTAGCCTGCGCCTCGTCCCACACGCCAATCACACCGACATCGGCAACCTTCTCGTGCTGCAACAAAATGCCCTCAAGCTCGGCAGGGGGCACCTGGAAGCCCTTGTACTTGATGAGCTCCTTGACACGGTCGACAACCCTGATGTAAGCGCTTGTCACATTGTGAGTTTTCAAGCTCCCGCTTCACGCGGACTCACTTGTACCACCCCTTGTCGTCAATGATGAGCACATCTCCGGTCTTGTACCATCCGCCGGGCGCCATCGTCTTCTCCGTGGCATCGGGGTTGTTGTGGTACCCCTTCATGACACTGGGGCCGCGAAGCCACAACTCGCCGCGCTCACCCCGTTTGGCGTCCTCGCCATCCTCGGTCACCAAGCGCGCCTGGAAAGTGGGCAGCAGTCGGCCAATCCAGCCCGCGCGCCCCTCAACCTCCTCGCCGGTACACACGTGCGTCGTGGGCGAGCACTCCGTCATGCCGTAGCCCTGCGTCAGGGCGATGTGCGGGAAGCGCTTGTTGAAGCTCTCGGTGAGCTCGGGGCTACATGGCGCCGCGCCGGCCATGAGAGTGCGGAGGCTGGACAGGTCGTACTTGTCGACGTTGGTCGAGTTCAGCAAGATAATTAGGATGGGAGGAACGATGAGGCCGTGCGTGATCTTGTACTTCTGGATAGCCGAAAGCACGGAAATCTCCTCGAAACGCGGGAGAACGACGACCGGCACTCCGACAGTGAAAGGCTGGAAGTGCACGATTGTAAGTCCATAGATGTGCGAGAATGGGAGAATGCCGAGCACCTTGTCCCGCCCGCTCACAAGCTGCTGGTAGCCAATGTTGAGGGCCTGGAGCTGGGACGTCATGTTGTTGTGGGTCGTCATCACACCCTTTGGCAATCCCGTAGTACCCGACGAGTAGCAGAGCCACGCCGTGTCACGGCTCTGCTGACCGGGGAAGTGCTCTGGCTGGCCACGCGCACCAAGCACCTCATCGAAGACCTTGTACTGTGCGAGCTCCTTCGGCTTCTTCTCGGGCGGGCAGAGGAGGATGACGCGCTCGTTGGGGAAGTCGCGCTTGAGCTCTTTCCGGGCCGCATCAAATACTGGCAGCAAAGAAGGGTCGATGAAAATGACAGATGCGCCCGAATCATTAACCTGGTGGGCGATCTCATGAGCCGCGCTTCTGTCAGCAACATGCGCCCGGTATACTCACTAGGCATAGTTGGCAGGCGAAACAGTTACACCCGCAGCCATGCACCCGTACGCGGTGCGCACCCACTCAAGGGAGTTGAGGCCCCAAAGGCACGCGACGTCGTTGCGCTTAACGCCGAGGGCGCGGAGGCCACTCACGAGGCGCAGCGACGACTCCTCGAGCTGGCCCCGAGTCAGCGTCCGCCCGTCCAGCCCATCGATGTAGGCAGGCAGAGACTTGTCAAACTTCTGGAGAGGCGACTCGTTGCCAAACAGGTAGTCCCAGAGGCTGCACTCGGGGAGCACGTCCGGCTTGCGGTGGTCCGACTCGTAGATGATCTCGGGCATGGCGGAGTGTGGGGAGATGGGGTTTGGAAGAAGGGACAGTGGTAAGAGGGCTGTGTTCGGTTATGAGTAGCGACAGATTCGACAGTAGTGGGCAGCCAAGACTGCGTGCTTGCGCAATAGGCGCTGGGGAAAGATTCTGGTATATGCGTTGAGGAGCTGTGGTTGGCAGCGGAGTGCTTGTGGCCCCGATGCAAGACGCCACTCCACCATGACCCCACAGTGGGCACCGCGCGCCACCTGGGCCCAGCTGGGGCGACCGGTCCTCGATCCCTCGTTTCAACCGGGCCGCGTGCGCCGGGTGAGTGACGGAAACAACTGGTCGGCTATTAACCCCGGAAAATGCTACAACCGGTCCGAGATGACTGTCAACGGAGACATTTCCGCCTTTATTCTATCCCCACATTTAGCCTTAGACGGGATCAGAAACACGTGTCGAGTGGGCCCCGCGTTGAGATTTCGTGTTGTTGCGCGTCTCAGCTCGTCATCAGCGCCATCGTCCTCACTATCAGCTTCGCTCTTCCTTTCCGCCATGTCGGAGTCTGGCACACCCGCCTTTCTTTCCTTCCCCGACTTTGGGAACAAGGGGAGCGCTCCAGAAGCGGGCCCCAGCGCATCGCCGGCCTTCTCTTCGTTCCCTGACACCGACATTCCACCCAGTCGCGACATCGTGCTCAAGGATGGCAGCACCGCTGGAAACCGCGGAGAGGGCCAGTCAAAGCGGCGACGGATAGACGAAAGCAGCCATGGCGACCATAGAGAACGCTCTAGGCGTGAGGACGAGCGCAGTGAACGGCGAGAACACAAGAGCGGTCGGCGGGAACACGAGTCGCGGCATTCGCATCGCGAGGAGGGTCACGGCAGGAGACAGGAGGAACATATCGACTCGGGGAAACGAGACGACAAAGAGCGCCGTCGAAAGCGCTCTCGGTCCCGGGACCGTGGGCGCGACAGCCGTGATCGTCGATACCGAGAACGGTCCCGCGATCGAGAACGGTCTCGCGATCGAGATCGCGATAAGGAAGGACACGAAGGAGGACGCTTCACAAAGCGACGCACGGGCGAAAAAGCGGAACATGAGAGTGACGAGCGCCGTCTCGAAAAAGAGCGGCGGCGCGCTCGTGACCGCGAAAGAGCAGAGGCGCTCAAGGGCAAGGACCCGGATGACGGGCGCCCATGGTACGAGAGCACGGCGTCAGCGAAGCCAACTGCTACGGTGAGCTTACGCCGTTGCGGCCCGTGATTTCTAACGTCAGACTCGGTCTCTCGACTGGTTTGTCGATACTGTAGGCGACGACGACATCCTGCGGTATCGGGAGGTCGCGACACGCAACCCTCCTCGATACCATCGCGATTACGGTAAGCTAACGTGGCATAATCGTAGGCTGACTTCCAAGGAGGGCGTATTTTTGGTCTTCCAGGTGACGTGCGAGCAGTGAGGAGCAGGGAGCACAAGAGTTTGGAAGCGTCGCCATTTGGCCGCCCATACGTAAGCTTCAATTAACCCCTACTGCTGACGCGCAGATACCGCGATATTCGGCGCGTGCCATCGATGGATCACTGTCATCTCATGGAGCTCGACTTCTTATGCGACCCAAGAAGACGTCAGACGGCGATCTCGATGCCGACTTTCTCCCTCTCGACCACGGACGCCTCCGAGTTTCACCCGAGGATGAAGACGAATTGCCCGATTATCGTGCCATCACCAAGGATAAAACCGAGGACGACCCCGAGTACGAGGACATGGTTGCGGTGCTTGGTGATCTTCCCAACGTCGAGGACGATATCAAAGCGCAACGTGCGGAGTATGAGCGCGAGCTCAAGGCACGGCCGGAAGACGTCGAGCGTTGGATAAAGTATTCCACCCTGCACCTGCAAGAGTCAGGTGCAGTGGTGACCGGTGACATGGATCCAGCCAAGGCACCTCAGACTAGGGCAAACGCTGAAGTCACTCTGTCCGTGCTGCAGCGCGCACTAGACGCGCACCGTACCAACCGCGCCTCGACCGACCTTCACATCGCCTACCTCCGCGCCGCGGAGCAACTGTGGCCGGCCGACAAAGTTACTCGAAGATGGAAGAATGTCATTGTCGAGCTCGGCCGCACCGTGCCGGAGGAGGAGATGATGAAGGTGTATTTCGCCTACATCGACTGGCGTGAAGGGCAAGGCATCGGGGTCAGCGGCGGCAACATGGGCGGCGTGGACGAGGTTGTTGCCGTCTACATCGACTGCATTGGGCGTCTTAGCAGCATCGGTGAGTATGAGATCCTCATCCCGCTAATTTTTGCAGATCGGGACAACGAAGCAAGAGAGGAAAATCAGGTTTACCTCTTGCTACGAGCGTGTCTGTTCTTGAAGGCTGCAGGTGAGCTCAAGATTGAGTGGAGAAGCTGACTGAGCAGGTTACACTGAGCGAGCCCTTGCGACGATGCAAGCTGCCATGGAAGTGTAAGTTGTACTATTCACTCGTAGCTCACAGCAGAACCTTCTTCAAGCCTTCGTACCTTCGACCGCCGGCTTCGCCCTTCGATCGGGAGCGCTGGTTTAACGGCGTTTTGATGGAGTTCGAGGACTTCTGGGACTCCGAGGTGCCTCGCATCGGCGAGTCAGGTGCGCAGGGTTGGAGGAGCACGCATGAGTCGGAAACAGTGGTCCAGCCACCGTCATTCCGCCCACGAGACCTTGATATCGGCACGGACGGGGACCCTTACGCCCGTTGGTATCGCGCCGAGCGGCGTGCCGAACAAGCTCTCAGCGTTCCCGGGCGCGCAAGGGATCTCGACCCACCTGGCGACGACCCCTTTCACATGATAATGTTCGAGGACGTTGCCCCGTTTCTGTTCCCGGTACAGACGCCGTTGGTCCGACTCCAGCTCATTTATGCGTTTTTGACATTCCTAGGTCTCCCTTTTGCTCCTCCAGAGGCCCCTACATCATCCCCCTCGGCGAGCGACCCGCACGTCCGCTGGGCACTCGCTTCGAACAAAGTTATGAGGGGGGCATTCTGGCCGCCACGGCCGACGACGAAGCGTATTGTATGGCAAACGGTTGGCGGTACGCCTATGGATGCCGAGCAACCACGCGCGCTCCGCTCGCCGTTTGGCTGCCCTGCGAAGTCGTGGATGTCGGAGCGCGGAACGCTATTTGCGGACGATAAGTGGTTCCGTGACGTGACAGCCACCGACCTGCTCCATGTTGACGTTGACTTTGCTCGGTGAGGACCCTCTCCACGCGGAACGCTGATGTCAAGCAATGTTCTCACGTTGATGCGCCCGCTGGTTCCAGATCCTTCGTTCGTGCTGTCAGCTTTTGCAATGGAGGCTGCGATGTTGCACAAGGGGTGAGCCTATCTCACAATTGAGAGCTAACCGAAAGCGCAGTAAAGATAGCGAAAAGCATTCTTTCCGGTGACAGCGACAACCTCCTTCTCTGGGACGGTTACGCCCGTCTTGAGCAGCAGCGCGGAAAGACTGCGGTCGCCCGGCAAGTATATATAACAGCCCTCCAGGCGGCCGAACAACGAGCTGCGGCGCCTGGCTCCGACAAGGACTATCTGGAGCAAGATATGGGCGAGCTTTGGGCTGCCTGGGCTGGGCTGGAGTATGAGGCTGGCGACGAGGCCTTGTGTCTACAGGTCCTGTTTATGGCCGCTGGGTTTCAGCGCGAGCGGATAGGTGAGCGGATAAGCCGTGCAGTCGCTGACAAATACAGCAGAGTGTGCGGCGCCAGGCTACAAGGCGCAACAGCCGTCGCCTATCGCGATGCTCAAGTTGCGACAACATTATGACATGCCTCGTCCGGACTCCACACACCAACTCGTCCTGACCGCAATCTTCTTCGTATTGGTAGACGGCGCGGAAGCAGTGCGGAGGCGTCTGCTCGACATCGTCAACGCTCTGCCAGCCGACCATCCACGCATCGAGGAAACACTCCAGTTGCTCGTCAAGATAGTATTCGTGCACAACAGCCGCCACTCGGCGCCTGCGTCGCTGATGCGAGGTTTGCTTGAGCGGGCCATAGAGTTGTGCCCGAACAACACGATATTCCTCTCGCTTTATCTCTGGGGAGAAGGCAACCGCCGCGTGTATGGCAACATTCATCGCCTTACATCGCGCCTGCTCACAGAGGACCACGGTATTGCCCCCCTCCTTTGGGCAGTCTGGGCGGAAAGCCAAAGCGCTTCGCGGACATTCTTCGACGAAGGAGGAAGTGGCGCAGAGCGTGTCCGACGCGCCCTAAACCAAAGTGTCAACTCGGCTAAAGGGCGACAGTGCGCAGGCTTGTGGATGCTCTACATCGAGTTCGAGATGCTTATGAACCGCCCCAAGACTGCAAAGGAGCTGTGCTATCGCTCATTGGCGTCCGTTAGCGGATGTAAGGGTGAGAAGCGTCCACGCTGGAATACCACAGGCAGCTGACGCCAGAACTCTACCTCCTTCCGTTCTCGACACTACGCGAACATTTCACGTCCCGCGAGCTCCGTGATATCGTTGAGCTCATGCTCGAACGCGGAATTCGTCTGCGCGTAGACACACAGGATTTCTGGGACCACGACCATCTCACCGAGGACGAGGATAGCGATGAGGAGATGATCGGCCCCGTCCCGGACGACTATGAGTATGGCATGCTGCGCGAGCGCGAGGAGCTCAAGCCCTACTAGTCGAGCATACGTGATGTGGTCTGTACGCAGAGCAGTGCAGGCGATGAAGTCGATCCACACTCCATGCCAGAGTCCTGTATGAGGCTAACCAAATTCGAGGACCTCTCTCAACACAAAACAATGTATTCGCGCATGCTAGTCCATGTACAACATAAGAATAAGAAGAGGCTGAGGAACTGAATCCTCTATTGAGGAGAGTGGGATTCGAACCCACGTCCGAAGACTGCGGAGGTACTTGATTCCCTCGTTCTGCTCTCGCAGAGGGATCTCCTGAACACAGCGCCTTAGACCACTCGGCCATCTCGCCGACGGATGAGAATGCCGTGGTAGAATATTGCTGAAGCATACGCTGTAGCGGGATATCAGAAGTTGGGGGCGGTGAGAGAGGTGTCGTCCAAATCTTCTGGAAACGTATCCAGCGTAGCCCTATGGTTTCTTGTGGGTATGATTGGCGGTTGACAGCTGATCTACAAACTCTAACGATAACGAACGGAATTCAGAAAACTCTGCGTGGCTCGTCACAGACTGTACAGCGGAGCCACCATAAAGGGAGGTTCCGTCGGTGGACCCGTCGCCCTTGCGATTCCCGTGCACTATGCGAACCCAACGCCAACTCGGCCGGCTGAGCCGGCTCGACCCACACCATCTGTCTGCTTAGGGACAGCCGGAAGCAGTACATATGCAACCAGTTGCGGCAAGGTCGGGGTATCTTGCCCAAGTGCTGCTGCCGGATTTGGTCTTCGCCTCATGTCGGCTATTCTTTTATGAAACGGTGAAGCTTAGTGAAACGGGGAACTCAATATATACCTGGCGGGTTTTCCCGTTGTCGGAAGGGAATTAATGCAGTTTAATGTAATTCACCCGCGCCACGTTCAGTGAGCGCGCCACGCTTCTTATCGGCGCCACGTTTCTTATCTGCGCCACATTTCTTATCCGCTCGCGACCCCTCGTAAGCCTCACGCATAGCAGCCGTGTCACAGGACAACACCCATCAGGCCCCATACAAAACCCAAAATGGTAGGCTGGGCAAGCTAATGCCCTTTTTGACGAGAGTGGGATTCGAACCCACGTCCGAAGACTGCGGAGATACTGAAGTCCAGAGGATGTCTGGGGAGTCACCTTAACACAGCGCCTTAGACCGCTCGGCCATCTCGCCGATGGATTGGAGCCCACAGCCTCGCACACAGCTCAAAAAGGCTTCTGGGGCGCTTCTGATAACGTTTTCAAAGCTTGCAATTGACTGCATTGTCCTTAGCTCATATATTTTCCCGATAGCTAGGCCGTGAAGTACGTGTTGCTTCCTCAGTTGCAGCAGCAGTCTCTGTAACTCCAGACGCGACCCTTGCAGGCTTTCTTGCACCCAGCTCTCGAAAGGCCATCACCTATGCACAGACGGGGACGCGCGGGCTCTGGGGCTGGGACGGGGTCGGCATTGGGCTCGGGAGCTGCAGCGGGGCCCGCGTCAGGGGCGGGAATTGGATTGGCGAGGACGGCTGTGGTGAGGGCGAGGACGATGATGTTGAACTTCATGATGTGTGGCGAGAGTCACAGCATTCACTCGCAACTCGCGATATATCTCTGTCATCTCCGTAGGGCAAAGAGTGCCCTTCTATCTGACAGGCCGTGCCGCTTGCCGTGATCGCCGAGCCTCACCCAGGTAACTACATCATGCTTACGTGCCTCTCCGATCAATGCGGGACTAGCTGAATATGTTTAAATCTTGTTACATCGCACATGATCACAGTGCGCACATGTGGTCTTAATCTTTTGAGCACATGACACGCAGCTGGAGCGCTAGCGCACGAGCGTAAAAATGTAACTGTGAGCCAACTCCTGCGTGAGCCGCATCTTGGTCTTAGTTAGGTCGAATTATCTGGGGAGAAAAAATGAGAGGGCACCTCACAACAGCATCATTCGCCGCGAGTTTCCTCAAGACAACCCGGTTGGAGACACATCTTAAGAAATGACATTCGAGTGCTTGACTGTGTGCTGATCGGGGCCCTGGCTGCACAAAGTGCCCTGGTCTCGGCTTACCGTAATTCCAACTGACGTTTCCTCAGCTACCATTGTCCGTTCCGAACCCATCTCCGACACCCACAGCAGCCCCACGCGCTGATAGGGGCGCCTTGACTACCGCCCCAGTGTCAGCATGCCCTGCCGGACCTGCCGTAATCTTTGGAGGACACAGGCGCTTTCCTTTGGATGGAGCTGTTGCTGGACGTCAATGAAATAGCTTTAGAAACACGAGCGGCAACGAGTGGCGAGATCTGCTTTTGATCGGAAGAGAGGCAGCTGTTGCGACAAGTTAGACCAGGAGGAAACGACTGAGAATGAGATCGGGGGGCTAGGCGGATCTTTTGAATACAGGGAACGGGTGAACAGACATATCGTGACAGGGGTTTACAGTCTGATTCCTGTATTACTCCACGTTGGGATCATCGTCGAGCTCAGTTCGTCACCGACAGTACCAACTGCACCACTGATTAGGGTACGTGAGATTATCGTGACGGCAAGCAGGCTTAATTTTTTCCTACAAACATCGAGGTGAATGCTTCATTGGTGGTTCCCACGCCGAGTAGCGTCTCAGCTTCCCCCGGGTCTCTGCTTTCCGCCTTGTAGTTGATTCAACTGACTCGCTTACCCTACCTTCAGTCCACTATGCCATATCGCCAGAATAAACAACAGCAGCTGTTGAGGTACGAGAGCACAAGGCCCTTGCACACCTTCCGGCACGACTCGTAAGTTGTGGGGCCAGATAGTAGGCAGAGACGCCTTCCACCTGCCGAAGCGAGTGTCTCGGCATCAGGCTGCACACTGGAGGCTGTGGAGGCTGGCGAGGGGAGTGGCGCCGCGTCAGGTTTGGTGTGAGGGAGGGGTGAGGCGGCAATTAACTTAGCGAAGATGAATAGCGCGACCTTCATGGTGAGTCAAGGAGCTCTGCAAGTTCGGACAAGATTATAGCACCGGGATTCTTGGATGGCCTATACAAGTCACAAGCAACATGGCAAGAGCTTTTGAGCTTTGAACAGTGTTGTCATGATTACTCGGGAAATTGAAGCAAACCTAATCCAGTATTTATTTCAAACCTTCACGTACTACCATCTCTTGCTTTCGGATCCCCTCCTTGCAGTCAGTGATGCACCCACTCCACACGTACACTTTTACGTTGCATCCCTAACGCAGCAGCAATTCGGCCCGTCCCTGTAAATTGGGCCTGCGCACATGGACTGGCAATACCGCTTTGATCTGAACCGGAAACAGTTGGCTCTTCTGTTACCACCGTCGTCTGGCGGCATTGGCAGAATGCCGGGCTCTGCGGCAGGGATAGGCTGCGCGTTTGCCTCGGGGCGTGCGTCGGGATTCGGGATCGGTTCGGCGACTGCCAGGGCGGCGAGGAGGACGATGGCGAGCTTCATAGTCACTGAGTGATGCTGAATTCAGAAAGGTATGGCGGAAATCGAAGTTGTGGCCCATGTGTATAAGACGCGTTTGTGCTCCAAGATGTCATCTTTTATCATAGCGGGAAGCGACCACTGCGCATCGGGCTCGAAAAAGGCAGCATGGTGAGCGGTCCAACTCTGCGGCGATGGGCGTGAGGCTGTGCGGTAAGGGGCAGGCAACGATGCCAGTTTAGAACTGTACAGGTCGAAGGTATCCCGGACTCCCCTGCATTCACATCAGCACTCCCCGCGTGGTTGTAGGTCACCTGCTCTCGGGCCTGGTTGTCAAGATGTTAATGTTCATTTAGCTAACCTCTTAGTTTGATGCTCGTCTTGCCTTACGATGAGTGCCATCAGGGCACATGGTCTCCCCCCACGTCCTATCGAGAATGTGCTAACCTTGGCTGCCGTGGAAACAGCAACCGCCAGTTTACAAGGCAGAAGAGGCTCCAATGACGTTGTTGTTGTGGTAACACATGGTGCCAAGCCTCAGCTTCTCGTGCGAGCTACCCGTTGATCAATAGAGTAATAGAGTACGATTGCACGGTCATGGATGCGCGGAGATGGGGCTAAAGCAGACGAGGTGTGCCCACGTGGCCCATGCGCAAAGGCTTTGTGTGCGCTGTGCGAGCGTGCGACGAAAGTACTTCAACTAAACCACCAGGTCTCCGGCTCTGGTCGCTCAGTGGTGTTGCTCGTATCAGACGCAACAATGGTGAACAACTTGGGATGTAACTGTGAATGTCAGATCTCGTCTCAGCCTCGCAACTGCCTGCAGCATGTGTTATCGGAGAACCTATCCGTCAACAGAGGATTTCTAGGCAACCAACAGTGAATGTACATAGTACGGCTAGCCAAGGCGTGGAAAGAGCGCTGCAAAGCCTTGGGCTTGGTTATCCAAGACAGTGCCAGCATCTTGAACGTCCAACGAGTAGCGGTGTCGGTGGAGGCTCGCTCTCTCCGTTTTCCACTCGGACATATATTATCGAGGAGTTCCTTCAGAGGTAGCTGCTAGAATGCGCGCCGTTGAATATAACCACAATCACGACCATGTGGGCCTGAAAGGGCGGCCAGATGAGCCCACACGAACCATGGAAGGATTCGAACGCTCAACCTTGCCCGCCACCGGCTCACCGGGCCGACGGCCTTTCAATTAATTGTTGGGTGTTACGTAAACGCGGAGAAGCGGGCTCATGTTGCCTCCACACGCGATGCTTGTGATATTGCGATCGAAGACACCAATCTCCGTTCTCTGTCTCCTCTCTCACATTCACCATGACGGGCGCGTCGTCTCCTTCCAACGAGGCAGACGTCTCGCCGTCTGGCAATGGCAATAAGAAGCGTCGCCTCAACACTCCGCGCACCAGTCAGGCATGCAGTGAGCTACTCGGAAGCTGTAAGAGCTGACAGGAGCGCGCTGCCGAAGTCTCAAGATGAAGTGTATCGGCGCAACGGACCCACCGTACGTTGTCCTCACCTGCATGACCTTTCTTCACCCATTGACTATCTACCATCTATCCGCATCTCCTTTCCTCCATCGTGCCATCCCGCGACTTCTCCTCCGCCTTCACTTGGGATTAGCGAGCTCACGCCAGGTGTCGCCGCTGCCGCCGGACGGGAGCGGCGTGTGACTTCGTGCCGCGTGCCAACGCCGCACGACCCTGGTCCCCAGGGCCTTACCCGAGCCACACGTGCACGGAACTGTGGCGTAGTGAGGTGAATAACCGACTCAAAGCCCTCGAGGCGGCCAATGCACGCATAGAGCGTCTCGAGGCGCTCCTTGCCGGGCACAAGCTTCCGCCTATCGCCGGTCCCGCCCCGGTCTTAGAGAACGGTCTTGACCCCGAATTAGAAGACGTGGAGCCCGAGTTCGCGGGCGTTCTATCGGCACTCGAGCGACTCAAACGTGAGCTTCCTGCTCATCTAGCGTGCGATGAGGCGTGGGCTCCGCAGACCGTTAGACGACTATGGGAGAAGTGCGTCCTTGCGATATGTTTAGCTGATGGAAGTTTCCGTGACCACATGCCTGGCCTTCACTTCTTTTCGGGGCAGGTATCCTTTTCACGCCCCACCCCCCTTTTGGCAGTGTCGATTCTGTACGTTGCCACGGCACACTACACGTCGCCCGGCATGGGACGCTTCCAACCCGTCTACTTCGCCGCTTTCACGCGCGCTGTGGGAACGCTAGCGGTCCCCGACTGCCCGATCCGTGGAACTTGCTCGGCGGCAGAGGATGGCGAGCCCGTCAGCGCCAAATTTGATGATGTGCTGGGGATCATCCTTGTCGGTCTTTTGGCGTTAGGCTGGGTCGACACGGTAGGCATGTGGGTCAACACCGCTTATCGCCTCCTTCTGGATGGGATGGCGGAGGAGCGGGGCCGGCGCCTTCACGATTGGCGCAGCCTATGGGAAGGTTTGCGTACGATCGAGCTTGAGCACTCAAGCCTGCACCTCATCTGCCCCGCACTACCTCGTGACCCGCCGGATCCACCTTTCTCAGCGACGGAGCAACGTGAGCCACGCGATGCTGGCGGTTCAATTGGCCAGCTCCTCGCAATCATGCAGCGCTGCATGCCGCGCTTTGTTGGCCGCGGCCTCCCTACCGTGTGGGCGACGGTTTGCGCCCCTCAGTCCGCCTTGCCCGACATAAGTGCAGAGCCAGAGGACATGGCGGCCATTCAAGCATGGGCTGCTGAGATCGACGCGTGGTACAATCAGGTGGCGGCTGAGACAATCAACGCGACCAATTATATCAAGTCTATCACGCTGCTCAATTACCACCTGCACAAGATATTTGTGCGTCCGCCACGAGGTGTCGGGTGATAGCTGATAGCAGGTTCTTTCCATCTTTTTCCCCCTTCGGGGGATCTCGTATACCTCCGCGTCGGAGCGCATTGAACTGCTACAATCTGCGCGTGTTGTGCTCAAAATTGAACAGAACTTTGAGGTGTGGAGCTCGTGGGATCTTGTCGTGAGTGGGCTCCAACCCGTCACATCCAACGTCAGATGGTAACGAACGCGTCGCTCGTACTGCTCCAAGCGTACGCGCAGGGCGCCGGTGCTCAGGAGGGTAAGCGCGCAGCCACTGACAAGCAGCTGACAGAAGACATCGACCTGGTCCAATACCATCTTAACCTGCTGAATGGGACCCACCAGACCGCTCCAAGTCTGCGTCACACACTGAGCACGCGTCTCGAGACGGCACTGCAGGCGATGCGGACGCCTGTGCGCACTCTCCGCCCGCTGCCTACCATCAGCCCCAATGTACCACATGAGGCTGAGGTTGTCGATTGGCAGTTCCAAACGGGCGCGCCGCCCATGCAAGCCGCTCAAGTCGTCGGGCACCAGGACCGTGGCTTCCTTTTCATGGACCAGGTGCCCGACCTCGGCCTGCTGCCTGCCGTGTCGAACCTTGACGTTGTAAGCAACTCCGTCGCGGAGTGGCCGCCATTCCTCGCCAGCTTGTTTGGATACGACACCAGCGCGGCTGGTCCGGGCCAGCAGTTTCAAGGCGCGATGTGAGTGGGCGTTTTAGTGCAAGGACGCGGAGTTCCGCAAGATTAGAGGCTTTACGGAAAGCGACAGCCGCATCCATAGCAGAAGTACAGCTGTAGCACGTAAGATTAGTCTGTATTACTTCTTCTCCTCTGTGTACCCGCGCGCGACGCCGGTGCGGCCCTGCTCAAGTGTGGCCGGCTCGTCCATGCCATACCGTGGTTCCAGACCCTGGAAGCTGCGGGTCGCGAGGAACATGGAGCCTGCCGACTCCAGTTTGGCGAGCGACATGTCGTTGTTGCGCAAAGCGACGTCCGTGCCGCCAACCCTCTCCTCCTCGCCGCCAAATGTCTTGCGCGTGCGATATGCGCCCGTCACCAGGGAGAAGTCGAGTTCCTCGTCGCTATGGGGCTCGGCGCGCTCACTTGCAACGACAGCCGCGGCCTCTTCCAGCGCTGCGTTGAGGTCGAGCGTCCATGCCGCAGGGTCCCACACGCCCTCCTTGCCCTTGAGGGCGAGCGTGAGCTCCCATGGCGTGATGATGGGTCGCAAAAAGTCCTTGGAATCCACGACCCCGCCCTCCGCGCATCCAACCAACACGAAGCATTCGATCTCGGCGAAATTGGCCAGCTTGGCGGGGTTAAGGCGTCCCACGCTCAGCGTATACGACTTCTTCTTCGCCAGCTTGAGCGCCTCACGGAGCTCGGCGACGAGGGCACGAGACGAGGCCAGGCCCACGTTCCCAACCACGAGGCCGAACACGTCCGCTGCCATTGCGGAGTGCAGGGCGAAGAGGCGGCGCGAGAGGAGACGCGAGGAGGCTGGGTGGACCGCCCACGCCCCTCGGTCGGCGTTGTAGGCGTACACGGAGTTGGTGGCGTGGTTCATCTGCAAGTTTAAGAGGGAGCGGCCCTCGGGACCCAGATAGAGGAGAACGGTAGAGGAGAGGGGGACGCCGGGTGGAGGTGTGAGGCGGCGGAGCATGGGAGCCTTGCCTTTCGTAGACGTGGTAGGGGTGGACACTGGGGATAAAGAGCTGCAGGCAGCAGGGGGGGTTGAGGATGAGCATGACGAGGCGGCTGCGCCGTTGCCGCAGCATTTTGTTGAGTCCTTCTCTGCGGCCTCGGTTGTGCAGCATGAACTCGGCTGACTCGGTCCCGTTGTGCAACACCCGGAGCCCGCGGGGGCATTCGTCTGGCTGGAGCTGGCTGCAGCCTTCCCAGCTAGCGCTGGCCTCTGAATGGTCGCGAACGACACCGGCACAGGCCAATCGCGGAATGCCGTTTGGATCTCGTCGGCAAGCCAGTCGTGCGCCACGTCCCACACGACGAGAGCACCGCCCTTCGCGTCTTCGCCCTCGAACTCGCCGGCTGCTAATTCCTTGAGGGCCTCGGCAGCAGCGGACACGTCAAGTGATTGGCGCGGGAAGACGTAGTGGACCGGGATGGCGTCGGTGCTTCTGTTAGCTGGGCTCCAGGTGGCTGCAGGGACTGCACGCATGATAAGGTGCAAGGGGATGAGAAGAGCAGGAATCGGCAGCACTAGATCAATTGTCGACACTCACGGCGTCAAGCATGCGTGCCCATAGTGCACAAGCAAGTCTGCGGGCAAGTGCAAGCAGCTGAGGATGTCGGGGCAGCAGGCACCGTAAGTGCTATCGGCGAGCACGTAGGCCTGTGCGCCGCTCGCCGCGATGCGGGTCTGGAGGGCACGATAGACGGCTACACTTGAAGGGAGGAGTGCATCAGGAAACTGCAACCCGATCTGGCGTTAGCTAGCTCACATAGTTTCGCACAGTCTTGAACCCTCCATCAAGGATGAGCTGGACCGTGTTCTCGATGTCGAAGGCCGCGTCGAGGCTGGACGCTGCATCACCCATGGATGATGGACCAGCCTCGGCAGGTTCGTCGACCTCGACATCCTCGAAAGCGTGTGCTGATGCGGTGTAGAAGGCCTCAGACATGGTGGATGTTGAGATGGGTTGTGCGTCCAAGATTTTGTCAGCATCCGCAATCCGCAATTTCAGGCACGGGTGGCAAGGCCACAATCCGGGCCGAAACGTCCGCTCCGCACTTCGAGTGCACAAAACAAATAATGCATACAGGAAATGATACAGATGGCGGGCAGTGCAATGCAGGGATTAGCGCTGTGCATCCGCGGCCTGCCCCGCGTGCTCTAAACTTGAACCAGCGGGAAGTTGAGGTGCGAACGAGGAGGTGGGAATGTACGTAACGGCTTGGATGTCAACTGAGCTCCTCCTGGTCAGAAGCAATTATGGCATCCAGGTCTTCGCGCGGCGGCTGACGCGCAAAGCGACGAAGGCGAGCGAGCTCTTGCGAAAGCGTTCTGTAGGTCAGCACCAACATTTGGGGTGACGCACATAGCCATATCTCGTGCCTCAGTGGTTTCGCGTGAGCTGCGCTCGGCATCGGCGCGCAACGTCTGTACTTCGGCGCTGTAGGCTTCAAGAGCCTCGCGATTCTTGGTCTGGACCTCTTCAATAAGGGCAGCCACGTCTCTAGACTCGGCGCTGATGTCAGCGCACGATGGTCACGAGGCACGGCGCAACATACCTTCGGTCGCGAACTAACACGAGTGCCTCCTCATATTTCTTCGAAGCCGCTGCACGCTCCTCGCGCATCTGAGCTTGGGAGCAATTCACCTCTTCCCTAAGAGCGGCCGCCTCACGCGTCCACGCCTCACGCATGGAATGTACGAGATCGCGTAGTGCATTACACTCGGACTCAGCCTTCGCGCGAGCTGCAGCCGCGACCTCCACTTCTCCGCGCGAATCGGCCTCAGCTTTCTTAACGCGCGCTTCGAGCTCTTTGCGTTCAGAAGCATTCTGAGTAGCGGATGCCTCGGCGGTTCGTGCTCGTGCAAGCACATCTAGGGTAAGCACAACACATGGACTGTCGACGCTCACCAGCCATCATGCGTTCCTTCCGGGCGATAACGTTGTTTAGCGCCTCTACCTCGCCACGCATCCGGTCACGCGTTTCGCGGAGATCCTCACTTCGGCGTGTGAGCTGGGGTCAACATTGCCACCAATAACCACGTACAGTCCCGATCTCCCGGCGGCAGTTTCTAACCTCCTGCTTGACACGGTCTAGATGTGATTTGGTGTGCTCAAGCTCAGTCTGGAGTGTAGCAATCATGCGCGAGGTTTTGCCATGAGGACCCGCTGGAATACGAGACGTGTTTTGCACGCCAACCACCGGTGAGAGTGGGTCACGCGGACGAGATGGCGGTGAGAGGTTGTCCAGCAGGCCCAGGGATGACGCGCCGTTCTCACAAAGACCATTGACGCCATTGGAAGCTCTTGACAGGGTTTCTGTTAGCTGCGAACAGTCGATCTCGGGAGCAGGGCTCGTCTCTCTGCTGCGGTGCATGCCTGCATGCAGTGACACTGCGTGTGTCACAGCTGAGCGCGGTATTCCTCATCATTAGCGTGACTGCTGTCAGACTCACGGCTGAGACCCAGTCTCTCGTCCGCTCGGGCGCCATCGGGTATAACGGATCTGCGCCGCACATGCTTGGTACTGCTTGAACCTCTCTGCTTATTTAGAGAGGATCGGGTGGGCGCGCGTACTCCCGTGAGCTGTGACCAGAGGGAGACTCACTCCGGTCTACTGAATCAATTGTGGAAGATTCATCGTCCGTTCCAAACTCAGTGCCAGTGCCGTCCAAAGTCAGGACAATTGACTCTGGCGAGAGAGCGGGATCCACGCCCTCAACAGCGGATGCGAGTCGTGTGTGCGTCAGTGACACGTGGCTGGGCACATGTGGGCTGCGCCGGCCTGCCCGTCAGCTCTGCATCGCAGTCTGGATCTTACCTTCATCACCACTGCTGAGTGCAAGACTGACTGTCCTTCTATGCGAGTTGCGAGGTGATCTGGGTGCCGTTGAATTTATGCTGAGGGCGAGACCGCTTATGGACGAGGCGAGGGAGGTGCGCCGCCCCCTGGCGACAGGGATGAACGACTGGGTGTCCGTCATTGCAGCTCACTGCTGCCTCCTTCGGGATGCGCGATGAGTGATATGGCTGGGGAAATAATAGATGACAGAAGAGAGGCCGTGCGACAGCGGACAGAGGGAGTGATGGCAGTTGGACAAATCAAACGTGGATGGGAGTAGGACGCGTCTACCTCTTCTCCTTCACAATGCCCCGCGAGAAGAGCCCAGGGTGAGTGGAGGTGGCATGTGGAGGCAATACCACGTGAAGGTTGTGAGCACGTGGTTGTAAATCCTAGGCATATCCGCAGTCCACTCACCTGGCCATCACAACAAATCAATCGCCCTATCTCTTTCTTCGCCACCTCGCACAATGCCCAAGCATGTCGGCCACCGAAGAGGACGACGAATTCGGTGACGAGCTAATCTATGACTCGGAACTAGACGAGACGTTACGTGCGGCCGAGACTCTCCCTGACATCGAGGATGCGGCTCAAGCCATCTCGCCGTTCGACGAGTTTCGGCGGCGCGGCAACCTCTCAGTCTCCGACTTGGTTGGCACGGTCTGGTGCGAAGTCCAGTTTGACTAGTGAGATTTCCCACCCTTGTTGTAGCTTACAGCAGCCGGTTGCGCACCCTCCCGTTCCTCCCCGTCAGCAAGCGGCCCACGACAATAAAATCTACCAAAGGCGCGAGCATCGCAGTCGACCAGGCCAAAGTGGAGGGCAAGGAGCGCATTTTAAAGCGAGGTGAGGTACGTATGATTACGATGTTTGCTAACCTCAGACGATTCACAAGCGGCTCGAGCGCGAAATCCACCCCGTAGAGGTCATCGTGAAGGCCACTACCCGTGAAGACACCTGGGGCCTGCGGTTGGTAGCCCTCCACTGACTAAATGCTAACGGCAGGATGTTGACGATGTTCTCGGCGATTGAAGCGCTGATAACAATCGGCAAGTGTCGTGAGCTGCCCGTTGCTGGGTTCGTGAACGACACCTTCGTCCTCGGCATCATCGTGATTCCCCCCAATGGGCCAGCTGACGTAAGGATGAAATCAAGCGCGTACCGATAGTCGAATCGCCGACGAGAGGCCGTCAGACGCGGGCGAGGCGCACGGAGTCAGGGCGTCAGGCGTCTTTAAACGATTTCTTTGGTGGCAAGCCTCTGCCCCAACCGCAAACGCACCGTCTCTTCGTGTCCGACTCGAAGACCCGCACGAGCGGCTCGCTTCCGAGGGAGGAAGACACACTCGCCGGTCGACTACAAGTCATGCTCTATAAGGAGCTACTGGACGCTCTGCTTAAGCCCCGGGAGGCTGACATAGCCCCGCGGGACGCGAGTGAGGTCGATGGCGGTGAGGTTGAGATGGGAGGAGAGGAGAATGCGGAACCGCCAGATCTACCGCCCGACGCGTACCTGCCCTCGGCAAGCCCACAGGGATCGGGGCTGTGGCGCATATGGGAGCATTTGGAGCTGGACACATCCGCTCACTTCACCGACGACTTCATAGCCCAGACTCGCCTCATCGTCGAGAGTAACGACCTGCGCTTCGGCGTTGGTGAGGGTCGCACCCTTGCCGATTACGGCCGGTCGTGGTCTCGCTACGTCGCGGCCTTAGGACTCGGCGCTGGCCCGGATGAGGGCAAAACGGACAATGCCCTCGAGCTTGTATACCGCCGCGCAGCGCCCAAGCGGAAGAAGGAGACGGCGCGGAAACGGCGAAAGGAGAAGGGGAAGGGCAGGAGACGAAGAGAAGCGGCGGCTGCGCCCTACTCGTCGGAAGTGACAACCCTCGATATAGCCTCGGTCGAGGTTGCACAGCGCGGCGCGCTGCATGTGGCCTCGGTCGGGGCTGCGAATCACGGCGAACTGGACGAGGACACGCAAGTCCAACTGGCACTGCAGCTGAGTCTGCAGGGTGATAGAGCGGCATCATCTCAAATTCTGGGCGTGGAGACTGCAACCAGCGCAAGCAGAAGCATCGAGGAACCTTCTTACACATTCCCCGGCTCCCAGCCGAAGGTTGGCGAGCAACATTCCTTGTCGGTCGCCGTCGTACCAGAGCCCGAGACTATTCCTGCGGTGAACGACACCGCCACAGAAATGGAGCTGGCTTCGCATCCTTCGGGCTCAGAAGCTGCACCTCAACCTAGCCTGAACTCGGCTGTGTCCAGCTCAGCCTTGGGCCTCGGGTTACCCACGCCATCACAGCTCACGTACCGCTCATTCTCAAGTCATACGAAGTACTACACGTCTGACAGCGAGCAAGAGCGCGAAGATGCGGAGCTCGCATGGGCTGTCGAGATGAGCCTGGCGTCGCAGGACTCTGCCCCGTCGGGAGTTGGGGTGAAGTCGCCACAGCAGCGGAAACCGCGAACCCGCTCGCCATCCCCCGCCGCATCAGGCTCGATTATTGGCAAGCATCGCTTCACGCATGACCCAACCGCGCTTGGGACGCACCTCCGCTCGGTGTTGCAATACTGGCGGGGGACGAGGGAGCCGCGCGGTGTTGGCCCGACGCAAGTGCGGCGTTGCCACTGGTGCGAGTTTGAGGATGGGTGTGAGTGGCGGCAGGCTAAGGCCGCCGAGGCCATGGAGCGATATCAATCGCAAAGGATTCTCTAACTTGTCATTCATTATTGTACAGCCTATACAATGTATGTTACAGACCTGCTATGCGTGGGATGGAGTAGTGTCCAGTTCAATGTCCTACACAAGCGGCGTCCACTGACACACGCCGCCAGTGCACACGCCGGCAACGCCGATTACATCATCGACAACGGCCCATGTGCGAACGGGATCCGTGAGAGCGGCGGGCAGCATGCGCCAATTGAACCCCTCTGCCCACACATCCGCCAGCATGCCGCTATCGAGGGCAGTGTAAAGCACGGCGACCCAGATGAAGAGGGCGAGCGTCGCGAGGTAGAGAGTGAGCCAGTCGTGCCGGCTGGGTGGCTCGATCTCTTCATTGAGATCAGCAGCGGTAAGGGGCAGGCTGAGGGCGAGAGGCGAGCGTGCGAGGGTGCGGAAGCGGTGCTTGGGTTCCGGGAGGTATGGGTTGTGCGGAGTGCGGGCGGTGGTCTCCGACTCGCACCGCTGAGGCGGCGCCAGTTCGAGTGTCGGCTCGGGGATGTCGTCGGGGTCGAGCACTTCCTTGGTGGGGAAGGGCAGGAAAGCGGACCTCGCAGCGCTTTTGATGAACGGGGCAGCGGCCTTGAGGTGAGCAAGGGCTGCTCTGACCTCGGCGCCGGATGGGAGACGCGAGAGGAGGGCGGGGTCGATGGCGGAGGTCTTGGACATGGGTTCGGCGCGCTCCGGGTCGAGAAACCACATGTCAAGGTCGAGGCGGTCGAGCGAGGGTGGCGGGGCCAGCTCGAGGGGTGGAGAGGACTCGCGAGACATGATGGAGAGTTGCACGCTTAAGCTTGAGCTTATTTAACGTGCGGACGTGAGGACGTGAGAGTGGGATCTACTAAGGCTGTGCGGATCAGAGGTGACCGTGCGGAACGCCGGTGTGTGCTCTTTGCGTGTGAGAAGCAGACGGCGGTGTCGGTGTCGGTGTCGGTGTTGAGAAGCGGGTGTCGCACCCCGGGCGTGTATCGATCGATCGGATGCTGAGTGGTTGGGGGATCCAAGACGCAGTGCATCTTTATGAAGGGACGCACGAAGAGATGTCCGTTGTAGGACCTGCCCTTGTTGCTCGCCCCCAGTCCCCTGCGGCAGTTGTCAACCTGTGCAGTTACGGCACCGATAGGCTGGGGCTGGGAATGTTGGTTCGGCGTGCTGGGCACATGAGAAGACTAGGGAGGTGTGGGCGGTATGCTACGCAGGTGACTTGTTCGGGTGTGGGGTATGGCGCGTGGAGGACGAATGCTGTGAGGCCGGGTCCGTGCCTTCTCATCCACGACCGAGGAGAACGGCTACTGAAAGGTTATGGATGGGAGTTGTCGATGACTGTAGCGACCTGAGGTAGTCATGTACTCACCTATTCTCCACATTTACCCCTCCTAGCACACCATCGGGCAGACATAACCCCCGCGAGCGTCATGTCGTGAGCTGTACCTGTTTGGGAGTCGAGTCTACCAGGCCCACGAGTCGCGCACTCCACCGCTCATCGGATGGAACTCGGTCTCCAGCTTGTCTGTCAGCTGGTGCGACATGCCGTCGCACTCGGAGAGATATCGGACAACAAGTCATGGCGTCGCGACTGCTTTCCCTCTCACAACCAGCATCACCCCGCCCGCCATCGACGCGCCGGATGGATGGGCGCGTCAAGGCTCGCCCCGTGCCTTGCTGGAGCCTCGGATCGCCTGATCGCCTGGGCCTTGTCAAGCTTGTGCATGCGAGTTTGACGTCAGTGTGTGCATATCTTCACTCCGTGCCCACCGGCAACGAGATTAATCTATTCTCGAGTTGCGTACCTCAGACATGATCGCGTTGGTGGAGTGAACATCTTGAACCAAACAAAGATGAGGTCCCCTGTCCCGGACTATCGGCCCTGAGCTTGAATCCGCACCAGACTTTGGGATAACACAACGAACGGATGTAAGTATGTACAGCAATGGCTGGTGGCCTAGTGGCGGTCACTCTCCACTGTACACAAAGCTCACAAACCAGCACCTAGGGCTGTTGTGTTCCACTGGACATCCGATGTCGACCCGAGTTTTCGTTTCACTTAATCAAGTTGCGGGACGCTTGGGATGACTCCCAACACATCTTCAGCAGTCAGACACATAGACAAACAGCGATTGCGATACGAGCCGACCGCCCAAGCCCCAAACTGTGCGGTAGTCGGCTCATGCGTCGGGACGGACGTTTGGTTCGATGTTCATCAGATCATTCGGACGAAACAGCCGCGGTCGTCGGCACCTCGGACAGTGTGGAGAACCCGCTGTCGATCTTGTACACTATAATCCGCCCGTTCTGCCACTGGGGGCCCATGGGCTACGCTTGTCTGGCACAAATGGATAGGGCATGGGAGATGGAGGACAAGGGCGGGCGGATAAGATGAGGGGTCGGCACATTTCGATTCGGGCCATTTCCTCCCTCTCCGGACTGAGAGCTTCCATCTCATTGCGATGGGACCTAGCACTCGTTGGATCCATGTGATGGCTCACTTTGACCTATCAGCGGTACTGGGTCTACATGTGACCTTTGTTTGTCCCGAGGCTCGTGGAGGAAATGGCTGTCCGGAACGGAATGGACGAGCGCAGGATGTAGAGGGGAAGAGTGGGGTCATTCACGCACAGACACAAGGTGCCGAGGCTGGTGGCACCCGAAGCCGATGCCGAGCTGTCTGTCCGCAAACACAACCAACGCCACACCTTCTCATGACGAAGAGGTGCAGAACGATAGGAGACACATGACTGAGAGGAGCAGGAGATACATCATTCCCATGCATTTGGTAGAGATGGGCGTGAGCGTCGGCGCGATTCGCGGGGATCTAATCCACGGCCCATTACCAGATCTCGGGCCGAGCGTCTGCAGCTGACCGGTAGTCCGGCGCGCGCCGCCAGGCACCGGCCCCGTCTCTTATGGATAATGGGCCGCGAATGTCTTCCGACAACATCGCGGGGCTCTCGGGCCACCACGCCGCCGAGTTGGCGGCCCGACATCTTTCTCACTTCTACATCAACGTCAAGGGCGTTATAAGGCATGGCTGGCCGCTATCCATCGCCATCACCCAGCCTCTGCCTCAGCCTTCCGAGCACCTCACCTCACCCCGGCCTACCCGCCTCAACCCAACCTACCCCGCCTCGCCCTCAACCTCGCCTCCAACATGTCGGCGATCCACACTGCGGAGTCGGAGAAGATCGATGACCTCCAGCACCTCGACAAGCACCTCGAGTCTGGCGGCGAGGTGAGTCCTACTGATCTCCCCGAGCTGGGCCAATGCCAGAATGAGCTCAAGACCGTCATCGCCCAGTCGAACATCCCGCGCTGGAGCGCCTCCTCCATCAAGCTCTATCTTGGCGTGTTCTGCGCATGCTGCTGTGCATTCGCCAATGGCTACGATGGCAGTCTCATGACTGGTTAGTGCTGCGTGTCTCACGCATGTGACTGGCGACGAGGCTGACATCAGCCATTCTGGCGATGCCCGCTTTCAACAACCAGTTTGGCTCGTACGACAGCAACGGAGTGTTCAACGAGATTCAGACCAACGGCACGCTCACTGGCGTCATTTTCTCGCTTTACACGGTTGGCTCGATGGTCGGTGCCCCCTTCGCTGCCATCATCAGTGACCGCCTGGGCCGCCGCAAGGGCATGTTCCTGGGCGCTTGCATCATTATCATCGGTATGATTCTGACCTCGACCTCGCACCACGTCGGTCAATTCATTGCTGGTCGCTTCGTCCTCGGCTTTGGTATCGCTGTCATGACGGTTGCTGCGCCCGCCTACTCAATGGAGATCGCACCGCCCCAGTGGCGTGGCCGCGCGACCGGTATCTACAACTGTGGCTGGTTCGGTGGCTCCGTCCCTGCTGCGGCCGTTACCTTCGGCACGTCTTTCATCAAGGGCCAGATGAGCTGGCGCCTCCCCCTCATCCTTCAGGCTGTCGCGTGCTTCCTCGTCATGGCTATTCTCCCTTTCGTTCCCGAGAGCCCCCGTTTCCTCATCGCCCAGGGCCGCATTGAGGAGGCTCACGACTTCCTCACCAAGTACCACGGCAACGGCAACCCCAACGACGCGCTTGTCGCCTTTGAGCTCCGCGAGATGAAGGCCTCGATCGCCCTTGACGGCATTGACAAGCGCTGGTGGGACTACCGCCCGCTCTTCCTCACCCGCGGCGGTCGCTGGCGCATGGCCCAGGTCCTCATGATTTCCGTCTTCGGTCAGTTCTCGGGTAACGGTCTCGCGTACTTCAACACCATCATCTTCAAGAACCTCGGTGTCACCACTGTTGCCGCCCAGCTCGGCTACAACCTTCTCAACCAGGCCATCTCCGCCGCTTGCGCCCTCACTGCCGCGACCCTCACCGACCGCATGCCCCGTCGCGCCATCCTGCCTTGGGGAACTCTCGGCTGTGCCGTCCTCCTCGGCATCAACGGTGGTCTCTCGAGCGTCCTCGACAAGCAGGTCAACAAGGCTGGCTTCAACGGCGAGGGTCCCATCTCCAAGTCGGTCGCCCAGGGTGCTCTTGCCGCCTACTTCCTCTTCAACTGTCTCTTCTCCTTCACCTACACGCCGCTGCAAGGTGTCGTCCCCGTTGAGGCGCTCACCACCACCATGCGCGCCAAGGGTCTTGCCGGTGAGTCACTGCGCCGTCCATTCCTTCACTGGATCTCTGCTGATCCCAGCTTCCGGCTTCATTGTCTCCGCTATGGGCTTCATCAACCAGTTCGCCGGCCCTATCGGCCTGCAGAACATTGGCTACCGCTACGTCTTCGTCTTCGTGGCATGGGACTGCATTGAGGCGCTCGCCTGGTTCCTTTTCGGTGTCGAGTCGCAGGGCCGCACTCTCGAGGAGCTCGACTGGATCTACGAGCAGCCCAACCCTGTCAAGGCTTCCAAGCGCGCCAAGCAGATCGTTGTCGACGAGGGCGGCTTCCAGGCCACCACCCACTAAACGCGGGCGCCTCGGCTCTCCTCGGCTCTGGTCGCGCGCGGCCACCTCGCCACATCACTCTTTTGTCATTCTTAGCATTCATGTCTCGCAACGATGGTAGTAGTAAGGGAAGGACGGAAGGGAAGGTTGTGTTCTCTAGGGTTTTTGGCGATGCACAGTTATCCCATTGATCATGCGAGCAGCTGCGAGAGAGCGCAGTTTGCCGGAACCGATATCGCTTGCCCCATTGCCTCGCCCCATATGATGATTCGTCAGGGAGCCTCACTTCCAAGGATTATCATCTCGATCTCACAGCTAACCATGTGGTACGCGTCTGTACATCGGTCGAGGAGGAAGTCGTGGCATGGTCGGAAGCCCGTAATAGCCCGATTTCGGCGAGTTTCACGGATATTTTCTGTGTCCCCCACCCACGCCACATCGGCACACGGTCACATGTGCAGTCGTCAGTTGCGTGGTGTTGCTGCGCCTGTGGCGCTGTAAAGAGTGAAACACTCGCATCGCCTCGACCATGCTAGGCTGGCTCGCCGAGCTCAGGCTGAACGGCTCCATTTAATGGGGTGGATAGGCAGAACGTTTGCGGCCGGTGGTTCGAGACCAGCAATCACCGGAACCACCATATTTTCTTCTGAATTCCAGGCGATTCGCTCGCTATGCACGATCCGTGAACCGGTATGGCACACCGGAGCATTGCACCTGCATGTGCCACACTCGGCTCGCACGAACGTGTGGACCACGTGTCATGTGTGGGCTCGAATAAGTAATATGCGCCACACCTCGGAGATATCGGGAATTGCTCAGTTTGGGTGGAGCGTTCACATGACATGACCGAGAGCTCGGCACGCTTCTCTCTTCAGCCCACTTCACAACAACCAACGTGCGTATTGAGGTCGCCTGCCGCTGCCCGTGCTGACGCTTGCCTCACTCGAACACTGCATTGCCTGCCCGCCGCGTTCTCCTGTACCCCCTCCCCTTCCCTTCTTCCCTCGCACCGCCGAATCTTCTTTGCCCTACAGATGCGTGACAAGTGGAGGAAGAAGCGTATGCGCAAGCTCCGTCGCAAGCGCAGAAAGATGCGTGCGCGCTCCAAGTGAGTTTGCCGGCCCGGAGCACGCTGACACCAGGTAAACGACTCGCTACAGTTCGGAACGAGCCGACTCGTCGGCGCGGGACGGATGAGTCTTCATGTCTAGTATTCGTATGAAAGTCGAGTGCGAGGCAACTGCGCGAGAGCGGGCGAGAGGGAGGGGGCCGACATGGCTGGTGCTTCACTAACTATGGGTGGCGAGGCGAGGCGAGGGGAAGGGGTGCGCTGGCAATTCATGCTCGTGTGACGGCGGAAGGGGGCGATCGGCATTGGAGCTGCAGAGTTGCGCCCGTCACTGCGCCCTCCGAGCTTGGCAGCAACTAACAGATCCTACACCTTAAGTTTTCGGCGAGTGGTATGAAGCCGACCCGCGTCGCCCCGCGTCATGCGCGTCAGAGGCACCCGCGTAAGACACATGACGCAAATTACAAGATGCATTCTATCCCAATGTCATACGCACTCTACCGCAGCGCCCATCTGCACGTTAGCTCGCCCTGCAATACGACTCACGTCTTGACCACAAACAGCTCGTCCGGCAGCCCCTGCTGCACCTCCTCCTTGACGACCTGCAGCCCAGCCTCGTGGAACACCTCGAGCCACTTGCCGTTCGACCTGATGTCAACTTCTATTGTAAGCTGGCTCACCGTGTGAGACTTGAGTCCTCCTCGTCAAGGAACTCGTCGGCCCGCCCGCCCGGCCCGTCCTCGCAGCAGTTCTCCTTGACCACAATGAGGGGCGCTCCGCCCGCATCCTCGCTTTCACCCATCTGGGGCGCGCGCAGGGCGGCCTTGGCGCGGCGCAGAAAGGCAACGAGCTCAGCATGCGACATGTGTCCTGTATGTCAGTCGTGCGCATGATTTCAGTGGTCATGTTCCGACGCACCCAAGCACCACTGGCACCACACACTGGCGTTAGTCCGTTATGGTCCATGAGCACTCACACGTCGTACTCCACCGCCGTCTCAGGTTCGCCGAACACTCCCTCGCCCTCCCGCGCCTCCCCCACCAAGCCGGCCGTCGCATTGCCCCGCGCCGGGAAGGCCGGGTCCAAGGTCTGCAGACCGGCCTGGACAAACCAGACACGCTTGCCGCGACCCTTGTTCCACTCGGCCACCCTCCGCGCATTCTCCTTAGCCTCGGCCTCGTCGCGAATCTTGCCCGTCCGAGGAATGTCGCGCCACTCGCCGGCGGACGCGGCGCGATGCGCCTCGCCTATGAAGTGCGCCACGGGCTCAGCAAGCACGACATCATCGAAGAGCGGGAGGAGTACAGTGTTGGTAACGCGTCCTATGCCTGCGCCGACGTCAAGGGCTGTGAGGCGGTGAGTCCGAGGAGTTGGCGACGGGGTGATCGGGTTAGGGAAGGTGGCGAGCTGGGGGAGCAGGGAGAGGATGAAGAGACGCGAGGAGAGCTGGTCTATGTGTGGTACGGGGCCGTTTCCGAAGCCACCGAGAACGCCGTCGACGCTCGCCTCAATTCCGTCCCAGTACTTGACTCCCTTGGCGAAGTCGGGACCGGGAGGGCCCTTGCGGAGCGCGGACCCCACATTTGGGCGCACGCGCTTGGATGAGTGCTGGCATTAGCTTGAGCGACAAGTGATCTACCTCGTCGTCGGCAGACTGTAATCAGCGGATGTCTTCGTGGTCAGCTTACCATCTGATGTCAGGGGTGCAGCTGCGAGGCTGGTGAGCTGGAGACAAACAACGCATGATGTTGCCGAAATCTGAACGACCGACCTCCACCAGTCAATCTCAGGCACAACAATCGCGACTCTGCCTCGGACTCGTCGGTCTTATCATGTTTCGGCTCTAAAGCACGTGGGGCAAGGATTCAACATCACGTGATGAAACGACGAATCCTGGGTGCGTGGTGGTGTCGGTGGTCGCGAGCAGTGTTGCAACCCAACCGTCAAGCCCGACCAGTCTAGTGAGCATCCCGACACCTACCGCCGACGACGTGCTGACCGTGCCCCCGCTCTTGCCTACTCTCGCCTGTCCCGCTCCGCGTCCCGTCCGCGCTCTCGAACCCCGTTAAATTTCTTCCCCCTTCCCCTGTTTCTCGACTCTCGACTTCCCACCGTCCATCGATTTCACCGCACAGCCAAAAATGGCGTCGACCATCCCTATTGTCAAGAAGCGGACGAAGACGTTCAAGCGTCACCAGTCGGACCGCTACCACTCCGTCAAGGAGTCGTGGAGGAAGCCGAAGGGTATTGACAACCGCGTTAGTCTCGAGCCGAGAGATGGCCCGCTGGGATATGGGAGGACCAGCGCGTGCGCGTGCAGACGCGCAGAACGCAGTGCGACATCTGCGTAGTCTGCGTGCGCGCCTGCTAGGCTGTGGTGCGGCAGAGCTGCGTGCTCGAGTCACTGGGCGCGGTGCAGAATTTGCCGCCCACCGCACCTCCCACAATCCCGGCGAAGCCCAGACATAAACCACGCTAACCCCCAGGTTCGTCGTCGCTTCAAGGGCCAGACCCCCATGCCCAAGATCGGCTACGGCTCGAACAAGAAGACCCGCCACCTCATCCCCTCGGGCCACAAGGAGGTCCTCGTCCACAACGTCCGTGACCTCGAGCTCCTCCTCATGCACTCGGGCAAGTACGCCGCCGCCGTCGCCCACGGTGTCTCGTCGAAGAAGCGCATTGAGATCGTCGCGCGCGCCAAGCTCATCGGCGTCAAGATCACCAACGCTGCCGCCAAGCTCCGCACCGAGGAGGCTTAGAGGGACCGATGTATGACTGGTTGCATAGGCGAGGGCGGCTGGCTGCGCCGCGTTGATGCAGCACTGGGCTATTGCGGTGGTTGGTGTGGAGGGGGCAGCAGTTTGAGGAATTGGGCGAGGGGCGAGAATGCCGAGCTGCTGGATACCCTCTCTACATTCATGGGGTCGAGGGTAATGGCTCTCAGTCCGAATCGTCTGAACGATAGCGCGTCAGAACTCATTGTCGATACATCAACTACTGCGCGTCAGAATTTATCGGGCACATCGACGATTGCACGTCAGACCAAGTTATTGACACAGCGGGGCATAGGTGAGAACGAGACGCAGAGCTCCAATTCTTGCCTGCACAATTCCGTCCCGATGAGCCATCACATCTTAGTTCTACGTGTTCGTATCTACATCCTATCTAATCACCTCACTGTCTCCCACTACAACCGCGACCAGTTCGCCGGCTTGGTGCCGATCACGGCCTCCGAGCTGCCCCCATCTCTGCGGAGGTATCGCTCCATGCCCGGCGCGAGGCCGACCGGCAGCTCGTCCTCTGGTGGGTGGTACTTCCCGTCTCCCGGCTCTTCGAGGACCTCGCCGTCCGCAAGCTCGATATTCGAGAACTGGTATCAGCCCACCCTTGCTCACACTCACGGCCCAGTCCCGCTCGACGCCGCCGGGCATGTAATCCGCACGGCCGTCATACACGCCCTCCCACTGGCCGCACCCGCCCAACGGCCCCGCGCGGCGGCGGTACAGCGACGTAACCGCACACCCGGCGGTGACTTCGCGCTCCATGTCGCCGGTAAGCAGGCGCCCGATGGCGATGACGGTGGCGGCGTGCCCGAAGATCACGGCGGACCGGACACCCGCCTCGTCCATCCGCGCGACCCATGTGTCGAGGAACAGGCCGATGCGCGCGTGCAGCCCGCGCAGGCTCTCGCCGCGCCGGCTCGCATACACCGTGCTCGTGTACTCCATGTCCACCATGCCCGCGGGGAAGTGGGGCGCCAAGCTCGCAGGCCCCCCGGGCCGCGGGTGCAGCCCCGTGCCCTCCTTCGTCGTCGAGTACCACTCTTGCACGCCGTGCTCGAGGTGGATCGAGTGCGGGGTGCCGTGGCGCTTCGTGAGCGCCTGCGCGGTCGGCAGCGCCGTCTGCACGCAGCGGTAGAACGGCGAGGAGAACACGCGCTCCGGCGGCGGGTGCGGGGCCGTGCGCTCGGGGTCGGAGAGGAAGCGCGCGAGGTCCTCCGCTTGGATGTGGCCGAGGGCCGCGAGCTGGCGTCAGCGAGTCCAAACACAGCCGCATCATGGCCTAAAGTCGGTCCACAGACACGGAGACTACTCACAGGATAGTCACGGTCCATGCCCGTCGGCGCGTGGTGGTGGCTGCTCGTCCAGTTCGAGCCATCCGACAAGCTGCCAGTCAGCAGAATCGCGCACGCAACGTACCGGAAGCCGTGCCGGCACACGTAGATGTACTCGAGCATATTGCGCGTTTGTTGAGCAAGAAGAGATGGAAGAAGTCGGTTGTTGGACGCGTCTCTACGGTAGTGGGCTCGGCAGGCCGTTAGCCGGCGTCGCGCGAGATGGGCTCGGCGCTGGCCGATCTGCTGGAAATTCGGGCCTGCCTCTTCACCACGCGGCAGTTCAAACTTTTTAGTCCCGCAGCCCCGCCGAAAGTTGTAACTGCCAAAGCTGTTTGCGGAGACGATGGAGAACAGCGAAGCGCCACTCAGCGATCTAGCAGAGCGGAACGCGTCTTGCCGAACGGCTACCACTTCCACTTCCAAGTCGCCTGCCTCATCAAACCTGCTACACCTCGCGCGCAATCCCCACACGTGATGGCAAAAGTACATCTCCAGAACACCAGCACGAGCCGCGGCAAGTCATCATTGCATGCGCGGCGACCCGACCAGTATCCCAAAGCCGCTCCCGCATGCTACCCCCTATATGCAGACGAGAAGACACGCTTAGTAGCCGAACTTAGCGAGGGTCTCGTTCTGGGGAGCGTTGGCCGCGGCCTTGGCGCGGAGCTTGCGAGCAGCCTCCTGCGCAATGTTAGCCCGCTGTTCACTCTACTGGATAGCCGGCCAGAACTCACCTTGCGCTCGAAGTAGGCCTGGCCCTTAACCTTCCGCTTCTCCTCGAGACGGTCAACGACGTCCTTGTAGCCCCAGCCGACCTCGTGCGAGATACGCTTAAGAGTAGCGTACTTGCGGCCGGGCTTGAGGCGGAGGACGCGGAGAGCAGCGGGGACAACCATCTTCTTGACCTTGTCCTGGGCGGGCGGCACACCGTCGTAGAGCGAGATACGGCGGATGGCGGCGGCACCACGGGCGGTCTTGTGGGGCATCATACCGCGGATGGCCTTGAAGAGGATGCGCGAGGGAGCGCGGTGGTGGAAGGGGCCCGACTTCTTGGGGTTGACGATGTGGCGCTTGTGGAGGTACGCGTGGTACTTGAGCTTGTTGCGGAAGAACGAGCCCGAGACGTTGATCTCCTCGCAGCGGACGACCGAAACCTTCTGGCCGGAGAGAGCCTGCGGGGTCAGCATGTTGTTGTGAACGGGGGAAAAAGTTGTTCCTCGATGTAGCTGTCGCCTGACCGACATCTCACGAGGTGTGAGAAATCTGCGCAGATCACTGCGGGCGACGGTTGGTACCAGCAGCGGCGCACACGCTTCGCTTGCACGCCTCGCCTCGCTGGCCGCGCGCGCTCGCCAATCCGCTCCTCCTGCGCCGCCTTCCTCCAGCCCCATCTTAAGGCTGGTCAAGCTTCCACCACAGCGTCTTCTCCTCTCCGTACGAGACGCGAAATACCCACCTGCTTGGCGATGGTCGAAGCGAGGCGGCCGAGAAGGTGGCCCTTGCCGTCGATGACGATGGGCTGGGACGAGAAGGTCGACATCTGCAGTGGAAATGCGCGCGCGACAAGAGTGCGAAAGTTCGAAATCGAAGGTAGGGAGGGCACGGGCGAAGATAGGAAGTTGGGGGAAAGGCAAGAATCGAGATCGCGCAGAGTCGCGGAAGAGCAGGCGGTCAGCACACTTGTGTCGTCGTCGTCGCCGTCGTTCAGTACGCACTTTTGGGGGGTGTTGAGGGATAGGGCCAAGTCGGACGTCGAGGTCAGCACTCACCAGGCAGCACTCGGTCGAGTTTGGGATCGGCATCAAACCGCTCGAAACTCCGCGGAGAATTGGCAGTGGCGAATGTGGTGCCTCCCCCTGATTCTGCCCCACTTTTGACATTGGTGCAGCCACGAGGGAGCCACGTGGACTCCTCGTGGAGCGATCTTGTCTCCTTTGATCTCAACCATCGGGCCGCTGGCGTCGGCCTGTTCGGGCCCAGCAATCGGGTGCATGTGAAAGCAACATCCGCCTTACAACGGCCGCCCCATCGATCTATTCCACTCCGCCTACGAGCCCATATCCACGCACCTGCTTCACGCTGCGCGTGGCGCGCCGACGTTGTCCTATTTGGTCTGTGCGACAGACACTACTTATCGTCTATGATCGTGATCGGCGCTGGACATGACAGAACAGATCGTCAATGCCAAGGACTCCTGACAGACCTGAGGTGAGCCAACTTGCCTCCCGTCATGACCTGAACGCGGGAATGTCGGTTTCGTCTTCTCGACATGAAGCGGAATCTGGCGGGAGCGGGAGTCGATGTGGTCGACGTGGGCTAGTTGGGGTGATGCGCAGCAGGAACTGCGCAGCGAAACTCAATGCATGCAGGCGGCCAGGTGGCAGGCAGGTGGCAGGCGGCAGGAGGTCCTTTTAATCCTCTTGCCTGTGCCTGTATCAACTGAGCGTCGCCGGAATCGGCACCAGGAACAACAATTACCCAAAGATAGCTTTTGAGCTCTGTCGGCTGCCAGCCGGCTCAGCCACCCTCTGTCAGCCTGCTCGCCTCCCGCCCGCCAGCCTGCTCTTGTGTACCGTGTTACGGTGGGCTTGACAACTTGAATGACACCAAAGTGCCAAGGTGAGGTGAAGGTCTGGCTCGGGAGGGCTAAATTATGGGGAATGAGGAAATCTCGCACGGCGGGCCACAGATCACGGAAGCGAGTTCCCTACATCCCTACGGGACGGAGAAGGCCGTCATGGGATGCATGGGATGTTACTGGTGTTGAAGAATCGAGGCTTGGGCCTTGAATGGAGTGAAAGGTGCTCGCTTGCATGCTTGGCAAAGTGGCATTGCGCGTCTGGATGTTGTCTGGGAACTACTGTAGCTGGGCTAGCTGGGCCAGCTGGGGCCAGCTGGGAGGGGCCGAGGATGCAAGCAGAGAGGGAGGAGGATAAGGTCTAACGCAAAAGTCAGGCAGAACTGAAACCCTGAAAGTGATGTTTAATTCATCTGATGACCTCTTAAAGTCCTTCTGGCGTTGGAAACTTCGGCTCATCCTGCTTTTTTGCTTTGGTCTGAGACCAAGGCCATCAGCTAGCCATCAGGCCGCCACACGCCGCCACACGCCGTACTATCAAGCTATCAAGGCTATAATGCAAGCTGCAGATTCAGGTGTTTAATCAGCCCGGCCAGGGTGATATCACCACTCGCGTCGCAAGGTTACTACATTGTGAGAGGCGCGAGAGGCGCAGTCGCGTCGGTGGAAACCCTCGTGCCGTGGTGGTGCCGTTCGCGTCCCTTTTGACATTCCCTGTGGTTTGTAGGCAGTCGGCTCTCACACTCTCCCCTCCCCATCCCATCTGCAGGCCCTCTGGCCTCTGGCCGTCTACAGTACAGGAGAGCTTTGCAGAGAGCGCAGCAACTTTGACTATCCTCCGGCCTCCGGCCTCGACCAGGCCTCCACAGGCTTTAGATCTCCTTCATGACACTTGCCAAAGGTATCAGCCGCCGCCCCGCCGCGGTCCTGCCCAAGCCCCTACGTGTCCCCGCACATCGGCGGCCGACACACTCCGCACACACTCCGCCGCACGCCGTACGCCGTACCGTGTATGCCACGTACCCTTTCTAACCCTTGGATACCCTGTGCTTCCCTTCACCGTACGGTCCTCACTCAATTCATGTCGGAATCACCATTCTTCGTTCCGCCGGCATACCCCTCCTTCCTCTCACCTCGGCCCCCTCCACGCTCATCTCCACTTCTCTCCAACCTCCAGTCGTCCAGTCCTCGCCATCCCACCCCTCTTGCTCCTTGCCTCTACCTCTATTCTTGTCGCTTGTATCACCCTCTCCATCACCTCAACTCCGCCAGCGCCCCCTCTCACCATACTAGCCACGCGCACACCGCCCCAACCGCCCCGATCACGTTGCTGCTGGGACGCCAAAACAAAAGTTGCGTACCCAATCCGGATAGCGACCGAACGACAAGGTGCCACGGACCGCGTCGCCCTTGCGCTCGGACATTGCCATCTTGCTGTGCAACTGTGCACTCGTGCCAAACGTCGACTGCCTCTCGCTTCTAGGTCGACATCGGGGCCCTCGTGAATGGCGATCTGACATCCTCTCACGACCCTTATCCTCACATCCCTCATCTCTCATCCTGTCCAACCTAGCAACCTGCAACCTCCTCTCTCCTCGTCCATTCTTGTCACCTAGCGCTTCAATTCACTCGTTTCCAACCTCGTACACTCGTTCAACCTCGACTCGAGCCGCCAGGTCGCGCCCGATCCTCATAATCTTGCATCTATCGCTGGCCGCGAGATCAACTAGCCCCCCCCCCCCCCCCCCCTGCGCACACACTGCAACACCGCAGCGACGTGCCCCTCTGATACGCGTTTCAGCTCTCGCCCTCCTCTCAGCTGCACCCACGCGTTAACGTCCTATCTCGAGCACTGCACTTTGCGCGTCGCGTCAAAGACAACAACAACGTATCCCCGGTCTTCGCGATCTTTCAGGCCACTCCGCTTATTTGGAAGGGCAGTGACCAGTTGTGAACACTTCACCTTCCCCTCTTGCACTCTCGTTAGGACAGCCCGTGCTTCCTCCGCATGCCTGCCCCTCCTTCGCACCACTCGTCGTCAAACAGCGCCTCGGCATCTCCTCCAGAGAGCCCCAGTCTCCAGACCCCAGGCCAGCTGTCGCCGAGACTCCATCCCATGACCGACATCAGCTCTGCCCCTTTGGGGCACAAGAGCTCCAATTCCATCGGACTCGACTTCTCCAGCAGCGATAACGCTCCCTCGACTGTCGATTTGTCAGATGACCTTCCTTCCCGTCCGGCCTTTGCCCCTCACCTGCACTCCACTCACACGGACTCGTTTACGGCGTACACAAGTTCAGCTCAGCCCACAACCACCACCCAGCACCGCGGCCATCTACCACGAGTCCAGACGGAACGAGGACTGATTCCTGGGACACCCCCAACGCCAGGATCTGAAGTGTCCACACCACACGGGAGGAGAGACTCGCCCGCCTACAGCGACTCGCCGTACACGGACGGTTTCCCCCTTTCAGGCGCCAACGGCGTCCACGCGTACTCTGCCCGGGATGAACCCCCCGCTCCTACAGGCTTTATCGGCTCAACGCCATACTGGCTCGGGATGTACTTCTTCTTCAACCTTGGACTCACCCTTTTCAACAAGGTGGTCCTGGTCTCCTTCCCCTTTGCATACGTGAGTCTTTGCGGAGTTGGTAAGCGCGCGATACTGACGACGCAGACTCTAACTGGACTCCACGCACTGTCCGGGTGCGCTGGTTGCTATATTGCCCTTGAACGTGGCGCCTTCGTGAGTCTGACACGGCCGCGTCTTTGTTCGGTACTGACTCCCTAGACGCCTGCGCGATTGACCCAAAAAGAGAACCTCATCCTTGGCGCGTTCTCCGTGCTGTATACGATCAACATTGCTGTCAGCAACATCTCCTTGCAACTGGTGACTGTGCCTGTGAGTTTGCTAATGCTTTGCGACCACTTGCTATCGTAATTGACGCCAGTTCCACCAAGTGGTGCGCGCAGCAACGCCGCTGTTCACGATCTTCATCACCGCTGTCCTTTTGCGTCAGAAGATCAGCATGATGAAGATCGTCAGCCTGTTGCCCGTTGTTGCCGGAGTCGGGTTTGCGTGAGTCCTCGAATTTCTGACGACATCAAAGAAGCCCATTGCTAACACCATAGTACCTACGGTGACTACTACTTTACAGCATGGGGCCTTATCCTCACACTGCTCGGCACGTTCCTTGCCGCGTTGAAGACTGTGGTCACCAATCTCATTCAGACGGGTGGAGGCGGTCGCCTCAAGCTGGTACGTTGACCCCGAGGCGAAGGCCGCATCGCTGACCCGTAGCATCCACTCGACCTCCTCATGCGCATGTCGCCGCTTGCGTTCGTCCAGTGTGTTTTCTACAGCTGGTACACGGGCGAGCTCGAACGTGTGCGCCGTTATGGCGCAACGCAGATGACGCGCGGAAAGGCAGTCGCGCTGCTTATCAACGGCATCATCGCGTGCGGCCTCAACATTGTCTCCTTCACCGCCAACAAGAAGGCCGGCGCACTCACCATGACTGTCTCAGCCAACTGCAAGCAGGTCTTGACAATCGCCCTTGCAGTTGTGCTATTTAACCTGCACATCTCCATCACGAACGGCATCGGCATTTGCCTTACTCTGAGCGGCGGCGCGTGGTACGCTTACGTCGAGTTCAAGGAGAAGCAGAAGCGGCAAAAGACGACCGTCAAGCTTTCCGAGAAGGCTTAAGAGCGCCATACGTAGATCCGTGTTGGCCAACACCTCGCATCACTGTCATCTAGTCATCCTATCATCACACTACATCAGCCCACATCAGCCCAGTGCTGCTCATGTCTGTTCTCGATCTCAATGCATATTGCCATTCGCACAATTGGCGTACGGGGTTGATAAGGGGGTGGTGATGTTAATGATTCAGTCGGGCATGATCTGAAATAGTGCAATGCCGACACCATCTCACCTACAACACTCGCTAATGCGTGTAGCAACCGATACTTGCGCCGCTCAATCCGGCGAACATTGGCGCTCAGACCCCGCGTCTCACAGACACTGCGACACGGTCAGTCGGCTTCGACGTGATGGACGTCCACAGAGTATTCTTCAGTGTGGAAGCTGATTTCAACCCCACCTCGGGTCTAAACGGGGTCGGGGGTTGGGCCGCAGTTGTCCGGGAACGTCGACTGAGCACCACAGCGAAAACCTATGCCTCAATCTATGCGGAGGTGGATCTGTCCTGCCTCGTTCCTGCGACCCCCGCACGCCATTCGACGCAGCAAAGGCCTGGTATCACGATCGCAGAGGTAGACTGATGGGCGGAGGCGTGCCGCGGCTGGGACGCCGGTGTGGAAAGGGACATGTGCGGGCCGTGTTGGGAGTCGTCGAGATCTGCTGTGAGATATGGACGTCCGCCGCATCCATGTTGAAGCTGGACCGAGAGGCGCTAGTGAGATGAGACTGTTGTCAGTACTCGGTGTCGAGAGGAAGCTCAAAGATATCATACCACCATCTTCGACGGCTCAGTGAAAGTGAGTGTGTGAGTCCACCAGCCTGATGAGGTCGGCTGCGTTTCCGACAGTACGCCTCGCACATCATTCAGCTTTACGCGCCGTTGGTTATCACACCATCTGCGCGCAAACCACCCCGACTCCGACCCGGGGTAAAAGCGCAAATGCTGCAGCCCAGCTACTGCTCCGCGCCGCCCCGATTATCTCATTGCGCTTGCATCTATCGCCCACGTCTTACAGCGAGTCGCCAGTGGGGTCAAAGTACCGCCACTGGTTCGGCTCGGGCTTCTCCTCAAGCGACTCCCAACTGGCATCAGCGCAGCCTCGGGCCTCCCACTCACGCCTTCCACTCGCCCATGGAGCCGACGAGCTTCTTCTCGCACTCGGCCTCCTGGATCGCGACCTCGACCATGGTGCCGAGCTCGCGCTCGACGGCGGCCACGTCCTCGCCTGCGCGCTCGACGATCGCCATGCGGTGCTTCGTGAGCGCCTCCGTCGCCTGGCGGTACACGGAGGACGCGGGGAGCGCCGCGAGGCCAGTAAGCGTCTCCGTGTACAGCGACTTGAGGGCCGGCAGGGGGCGGGGGTGTACTGCCAGGCCCGTGATGTTGGTGGTCTCCTTGAGCGCCCTGGGATTAGCGAGGAAGGGGGGGAGCGGCCTCCGACGAGGGAGAAGGCGGACGAGGCGGGAGGCTCGCGCATGTCCGTAGCGTCCGAGGTACAGGTGCGCGGAGCACTCACTGAGCGGCGTAGAAGAGTGGGCGGGTGGCGCGGAGCATGGCGGAGTGTGGTGGAGATGAGGTTTGACGGAGACGGATCGGCGTGCTAACCAAGTGCGATTGATTGGGTGGATGAGCCTGACGCGGAAGCTAACTGTATCAGGCTCACTGTCCACTCACCTCCACCGGCCAAGACACCTCCATTCCACCTCCACACGCAGCACATGTATCTTGGACGTTGCTTTGGTCGCGACGCGCGCACTCCCACACCTCGCGCGCCGCGATGAACACCCCTCCGCCACCCGATATCGTTCTTCCGCCGCCGGAATCACCTGCGTCGAAGCGAATACGCCGCGCAGCTTCTCAACCACACACTAATGATGGCGCCGACACGAGAGAGGAGGATGTCCCAGAGGAAGTGGAGCGTGGACGCGTGAGTCCTCGCGACTGACTTTCTGACGGATAGGAGTCGATGTATGTCCGGCTGTTCAAAGGTGAGCATGCGGCAGCCTCACAAACTGACCTAAAGAGATGATCCAGACCGTTCTCGAGTTTGAATCTTACCTCTTCTCGCCGCAGGAACTCTGGGTGCTGAAACACATCATCGACCTTCCTTGTGAGCAATCTGGTCCGAGTGCGAGCTTACACCAGATGATCCTCTATATCTCCTCACGCGTCTTCTCCTCCGGCGTCGGGGCAAGGTGCACCCTATCGCCTCGATCGCGCCAACGTACTCGGGGGAGCTCGGCGAGGAGGGCGTCAAGCGCGCGGCGAGAACGCTATGCGAGCGCCTAGACATTCCAGACGATATCTTGGAGCAGCCGAACGAAAAGGCGCGCTTGGACTTGTGGGGGACACGGAAGTGCATACCGGAGCGCAAGCCGTCCGCATCACGCCGTCCATGGACGGATTTGCCGACAGGCTTGAGCGCGGATGAGGAGCGCGCCGACCCCGATCTGGCAGAGGCTATCCGCCAGAGTCTGTGGGCGGAGCAGCATGGAGATATTTCAACCGCAAATGGCAATGTGTCCGCCTCTGGCGCATCATCGTCCGGTACGACGACGCCCGCTGCACCGGCCGGCCCATCCTCGGCTCCTACCTTCTGGGAGATGTTTGAGAACCCGTATGTTCAGACTCCGGTTCGCTCGCTCGCGCACGACGAGAGCGAGCTCACACTCGACGACATCATGTCGTGTGTCTCGGCGGACGATCTGCGGCGAGTGGCCCGTGCGCGCAAGGTTCCGCCCCAGCTTCTCGTTACCCGCGAATCGGTCATGAAGGCTCTCCGCAGCATCGCGCACAACCAGACGACGCTCTCGTTCACCCACGTCGACCGCAAAGGCAAGGGCAAAGCGAGACCCGTCGGCTCCTCCACTCGGGTCACCTCGACGTCGGAGCGTCTGCTTCTCGCGCAGCTGATGCCGTGTCTCGGCGGTCACGTCATTCAGATCGACCCGTCGCTGTACACGCTCATCTCGCGCGTTAACCTCATTTTCTCTCGCACACCGCCAATATCCGCGTACACCCCTGCGCTCCTCCTCCCGCCCATTCTTGTCTCATCTCACCGTCGACGATATCCCGATTACGGGACGCCCACACGCTCAGTCATCTGGAGGGATCGAGGCGAGCTGCTCGACTGGGAGCATGCGGTGCACTACGCAGCGCTTGTCTCTGAAGTTTTGGGGGACAATTGGGCTGAGCAGCGCAGAGGTGGCGGCCCGGTGCAATCTTTGTGGAGAGGACAGCCACTCACGCGCACAGAGGGCGCCAAGCTCGTGCGCCGTGTGTGGGAGAATGTGTGGCCGCAGTGGAAGGAAATAGTCGCTGGCAAGGGCGGAGAGGCAGTCGACGAGAAGACTGAACAAGGCGCGCTGGCGAGTGACCGTTTTCGAACGGCTCACGTGCTCACACGCATCGTAGCAAAGGTAATATTCACCCCCGCTCAAAGCTAACGGCAGGGCGCGGATGCCCTTGGTGTACTGCACGAGTACGACCTCGAGTGTGAGGTCCTCCGAGCGCTTCTCCGCCAGCGGCGCTGGCGTCGGGGAAAACGAGGGTGAGCTCAGAGGTAGCCTTTGGCTAACAACAGCGCTTGGTACGACCGCTTAGCCCTCGTTCTGATGACGCATTACAAAGCATCCGAGGCACAGAAGCTTGAGAAGATGGAGGAGGCGACCCAGGTTTGCATCGATGGACTCCTCGACCCTGACACGCATCTCAGTAGGTCTTTGTCCGTTCGCAACGGCTAACGCAGTCTACCGCCCGCGGCTTTCTCATCGCCTAACCCGGCTCGAAAACAGACTGAACCTTCCCGCTGATGAGCGCCATATCAGTTACGCGCAATTGCTGAAGTGCGAGACGCGCGAACTTGTGGCGGTCCGGTCGCAGCAGAACATCGGTATGCCGTCCGCTCAAGCTGGTACCAATGGCCGGCGAGAGTCAGCCGACTTGGGACTGAACGAAGGCTCTCAGGATACGGGCTCTTGGCAGCAAGTCGGCAAGAGTGCGTGGGCAGGGCGCGATGGAGAGGTGACAGTGGAGGGCTGGGTGCTTGAGTGGTGGGAAGATAGGGGATACGAAGGGTGAGTGAGTGCCACGGCATAGCTCACTCCAGCTACCACGCCGAGTCGTCGATCCTCACTACTTTGTTCGCGCTGCTCATGTGGCCCGTCCTTTTCCATCCCCTTCCCGGCGCATTTGAGACATACTACCAGACCGCTCCCCTCGACCTCGGAGAGGATACTTTCGCGCGCGCCCGCGCTTCAATGATTGAAGAGCGGCTCACAGAAATGGAGTCGACCGATGCGGCGCTCGCGATGCTTCGCGAAACAGACAAGCGTGAGCGCGAGCGGGGGACCTGGGCCGTCGGTCTGAGCTGGGACTTTGGCCAGCGCGAGCTGGAGGAGATTCTCACTTGCATGGGTGGGCACGCGATGGCGCTTATCTGTCGCATGCTATCCGAGGAGTATCGGTATCGTGCGAGCGGCGTTCCTGATCTCATGTGAGCTGACCACCACGTCTCTCGGCTGACTCCAGCGTGTGGGATTACGCGAGACGCGAGGCGCGCTTTGTTGAGGTAAAGGGGCCGGGCGACTCATTGTCGGACACACAGAAGATCTGGATCGACGTCCTCCTCTCCGCAGGGGTGCCCGTCGAGGTGTGTCGGGTCAAAGCAAAGGAGGACGCGGACGGGAGACCGATCATGCGCACGAAACGTACTGATTCGGGGAAGAGCAAGCGTGCAGCCGCGAAGGCGCCCGAGCCGATCGTTGTGGACGACAGCGAGGAGGACGAGTGGACGTACGAGTCCGGGGACGAGGGTAAGCCCGAGGGGCGCTGGGCGCGGCCTGGCGAGCTGAAGCGGCGGAAGTAAGTTGGTTTCTGTAGCACTACTTCATGTACAACTTTGCATCTTCATTTTACGTACGTACGTTTCACGATCTACTGCTACTTCCTGCCGTCAGCTCGGTTCTTGTTCGGCCTCGCTTTTGGAATACAGGGATGATACACGTCGGACGGTGGCATGGCTTCTTCAAGCGTCTCTGCGGGTCGGCGACTGGCGCGGCATCGGCATCGGCATCGGGGACCGGTACGGGCGCGCCGAGCGCGAGTGCAGCGAGAGTGAGGAGGGCGAGGATGTCCATGGTGTCGGAGGTCTAGAAGAATGTGGGCGACGCTGCATCTGTGTTTATATGTGAATACAGCGCGGGGTGCCTCATTGTTTGGGTCGCGGAAGAGAGGCGGTTGTGAAGCGCACGGATAAGGTTGGGCTTGGCGGAGGGGAGCAGCTGGGTCTCGTACGGCAACCGTCTTCCAGAAAGATACGTCCTGCTCGCAAGGAGGGCGGGATCTCTAGTTGTCATGGAGGACCGCGGTTGAGGGAGAGTTTGGGTAGTACAATGCAGGTGGCGAGTGGCACACAGAGAGTGACAGTGGGAGATCCCACATTTGACTTCCGCCTACCATTCGACTGGACTCGGCGGAGCCCTTGACCTGCTGGGAGGCACACAAGAGGAGGGCATTGGCGGGCAGAGAGACATTGTAGTGCCGCGCATTGCCAGGCTTGACGATAGTACATGTTGGGAGTGGCGGCCGCACATGGCGCCGCCCACGACCGCCACTCGCAAGTTCAATTGGCGCAGCGGTTAGCGCGGCAGATTGCAATTACAATTGTAATACATCTGTAGGTCCTTGGTTCAATTCCGAGATTGAACTTTTTGGGTCGCCCACACTGTGCGACTCTGTCCCAATGCGTGTCTAGATGCTTCACCGCACAGCGGGCATCCGTGAATGAACCCCGATGTCGACACTCGCACGCCTGTGAATCGGTAAGGCAGCATAACTACGGCGGGGACGTTGGGAACCGTCCCGCGCTTGGAGACTCGCGTGGGAGCCGCGAAACTCCCCCGGATTACAGAGATATGACACAACCACAATCTAGTGATCACGAGTGAGGCCCATGCTCGTCTGCACTCAGCAAGACACCAGCAGTCTTCCGGACAAAAGCAAAACGACAACTGCATGATTCGAACATGCGCTCCCGAAGGAAATTGATAGACACCTGGATACCCAGGAATTCGAGTCAATCGCGTTAACCACTCCGCCAAGTTGCCTCTGGAGTCTCCGCGTCTCGGTGGTCATACGCCGCTGCCAGGGCAGGGGAATACTCCCGAATGCCACTGACCAAGAGCAGTGCTGGACGGATCACCGATCATCGAGCGCCCGGAGCAGTTCGAAAGACTACTCATGTAGTGCCGGGCCAAGATACAGCCACAACGGTGGGACAAGGTACCGGCGTTACTGGTACGATCACGTGGCGATCGCGCCTGCGCCCTGCGGATCTGCGTCGAACCGACCATTGTTCGAAGCTCATGAAGGAGAGTATGGGAGTATTGGTTCGGATAGTCGGAGTGAGACAGACGGACTGCGGCCACACTCGCTGGGATATAGCCATTGGGATGGTGTAGGGAACGAGTTCGGGGATCCGACGATCTGTCATGCTCCCTCTCCCTCGAGGTAGGCAGCCATTCCTAGAGGTGCGACGATCTCAGGTTGGAGCAACGAAACAGCGGAACCAAATCATGAGCCTTCACCCAGACAACTATGACTCCCTCTGCCCCCAAACTTCTGCCGTCCATGTCGTACATCTGGTACGGATTGAATCTACGTAAAAGACGTGATAGTCGTCTATCCCGAGCCGCCCGAGTAGACGCGGCCGAAGGCGAGCTCCTGGAACTTGTCGTAAAGAGCAAGGACACCAGCGCCGGCAACACCACGGAGGATGTTGGCGCCAGCACCCTTGAAGAGCGACTTGACGCCCTCCTTGGCGACAATCTGCGAGGCGGCGTCGAACATCGACTTGTAGTGGACGGTGCCACCCGAGGTCATCATCATACGACGACGGATGGTGTCGAGAGGGTACGAAGCAAGACCAGCCGAAGTGGTAACGACCCAGCCGAGAGCGAACGAAGCGAGGACGTTGCCCTGGAGAGGGCCGACGAGAACAACGGGCTTAACCGAGTCGTAAAGACCGAAGTAGAGACCACGGTAGACAATGATACCAACGACCGAGGGAACGAAGCCACGGTAAAGACCGGCGATACCGTCCGAAGCAATGGTCTTGCGGTAGACGTCGATCAGGCCGTTGAACTGGCGCGAGCCACCCTTCGAGGCCGACTTGTTGTCGTTGGCGAGACGGGTACGGGCGTAGTCGAGCGAGTAGACGAAGAGAAGAGACGAGGCACCGGCGGCACCACCCGAGGCAATGTTGCCGGCGAACCACTTCCAGTAGCCGTCCGACTTCTTGAAGCCGAAGAGCGACTTGAAGTAGTCCTTGAAGGCGAAGTTAAGGGCCTGGGTGGGGAAGTAACGGATGACGTTGGCGGTGTTGCCGCGCCAGAGCTGGGCGACACCCTCCTCGGCGATGACACGCTTGAAGCAGTCACCAATGCCGGCGTAAGGCTTGGAGAGACGGCCCTGCTTGATCCTGACGAGGTTAGCAAAAGTTGAGAAAAAAAACTCGCGCAAAGCTGCGCGGTTGTGAGAAAAAGGAAGGTACTTACATCTCGTCCTGGTTCTGGACAAGGAGCTTGACACGCTCGATGGGGGCAGCGGCCGTCTTGGAGACGGCAGCGGAAACACCGCCCATCATAAAGTCGGTAAGGAAGGCCTTAGCGTCCTTTGGCTTCTTGATCTCCGCCATTTTTACTGCTATAGTGTAAGCGACTGGCCGTGGAGCGGAGCATGTGTGGTGCTAGAGGAAGGGGAGGAATGTGCGCGCGCAGGGTGGGAACTAGGCTGCCCGGGGTGGAGTCGGAGAGTGAAAAAAAGGCAGCGCAGGCCCCTCAACAGCGACGAAGGCTGAGATGGTCGCTGCCATCGAGCGCTGCGAGACGAGTGTGTAGCAGGGCGTAGGTGCAGAGGAGGCGGATGTGCGCGCGCAGTTGAGAGGAGAGCTCACCTTCTCGAACCGGGGGTGGAAAGTGAAGCGAAAGAGAGGTGGTTGGGGAAAGGAAAAGCCGGGGGGACGGGGATGAGTGCTTTTCAAGCCAGCGTCCCCAGCGCGAGTGCCACGCCTAGCCGAATGTGCCCGACACCATTTTTTCACCAGGATTTCTTGGGAATATGTGTCGGATCAAGGGGCGGCGAGAAGCGGGCAGCCGGAGAGAGTCACCGCAGGTAGACATCCCAACAACGCGGCCGCCCAACGCGCGCGAGCCACAACGCTTTCTTCAGGGAAACGGTGAGGGTTGTGCCGGGTCAAGTCGCTCTTTCCTCTAGCCCCTAGTGGTCAATAGCGCGGTCAATCACCCACTCTGGCCACTCTGGCCACTCTACCCCCCCCCTCCGCCCTCCCCTCCGCCCCTAGAGTCCCTCGTGGCCTCGCTCTCTCTTTCTCTCTCATGCTCTCAGCTCTCGGCTCTCGGCGGAACCCCCCACGGCGGACTGGCCGTCGCTCATCCACAATCCTCCCCCATCCCCTCACTGTACACCCGCGCACCACCGGCCCACCGCGGCTATCCCCCACATGGCTCGTGTCTCCGCCTCTCCGCCCTTCTCGCCCTCACCCCCTCCAACCAAACAGCGACGTCCACCAGAGAGAGACACCACACCGAGAGGAGAGGGTCTGTCAAACGAGACATTCATCACCAAGGATTACCAGCTGCCGATCGCCCCGAAGCACGCCGAACGTATGTACACCATCCCCGCCGCAAGTGTCCCCAAGTGTCTATCTATGCATGCTCCAACCTGCTCATCAGCACACCAGCGTGCAAGCGTGCAAGCAAGGCGCCCCGAGCTGGCCCGACCCCATTTTTGGTGGGCGGAAAATCTCACGTCCCTTTGGTACCTTGGTGCGCGTCTGTCGGATCGTCGGAGCTACATCGGCCCAAGTCCCGCGCCGCCAGAGTGCCTGAACATTCTCGGTGGTGCACAATCCTTGGCGGCTAGGCGGACTTTGCGGTTCACGGTTCATGGTTCATCGTGCTCGATGGTTCAAACGCCAAACGACGCGACGAGATGCCAAGGTACTTGCCTGCTTTGACAAACCACAAACCTTCTGGGGTCACTGCGGTGCTCCAGGCTTCTCGAGCCGCCACATACGCTCTTGTGCGTGCTTCGCCGCTTCTGACGCACTCTCAGACGACAAGACGCTGTGACGCCGATCTCCAGCTTGTCTCCACCGCCAGCCCCAGCCCTCCCTGCCCTGCTCTCCATCGCACTTATCGGTTGACCAACAGCTGGCCAGCTGCGACACAGGGCCGTGGCGGGCATGCGGGAGTGCCAAGGGGGCCTCGCATCTCGGATCTCTTCAGAGGCCTGAGGCAATTGCGTTATCGCATCGCAATCCAAGCTCACCAGTTGCACAGGCCACATCCATTCGCGGTCTCCAATTAAAAGCGGCCGATAATACATCGAGATGCTCCGCTGCAGAACCACCGTAGCTACCAAGCTACCAAGCATGGATGTGGATGAAGCGTCGCGCTTCCGTTGTCCGAGCGCTCCGCCTCCAGCATGCACATCTCCGCAATCGACAGATCGGCACCGTGTCGTGTGATTTATGCTCGGAGTACGTGTGCTGCTCATGGCTCGACAACTCGGATTTCCAGCTCTTTCCACTCTCACGCGATCACGCAGTATCGGCAGTGTCGATCCATGTTACAGAAGCTTCGAATTACACGCTTCCGCCGTGCGAGATCGCCGTCGCGTGAGACCATGTGGTTGTGTCCGATGTTGTCATATACATATGCCTCGTCATATCTCACCGCGTGGGAGAGTCAAGCCGCGGTCAAGTGCGCATATCATGTGTCGCGGGCGGCGGGTTGCGTTTCGCTCAATCGTATGCGTGAGGCAGCACGTCGGACTGGAAATACGCTATCACGCCCTACCCGGCGTGTTCCAACAGTTGACAGGCATCCGCGGCGCGCGGCCGACGTAGCAACGATGCTGATATCGCTGGTGACGTGCCCTGACGCTTGCTTGGGCGCAGCCGTTCGTGAGACGCCCTTCACCTTCACGTTGCAGCCGAGGACACAAGGACACAAAGATACTGCACAATACGTTTTGCCTCTCGACAGAGCCGCCCCGGCTACCGCCCCCGCGCATGAAACATGAAGGCTTCGTCCAGAAATCACTGACGGCCGAAGCAACGGCGAGTCGCGGGCGGGTGACGCAGTGCTCCGCTATATGTAGCGGCGAGCGGCACCCCAAGCGCGGTGCGAGTTTTGCTGACGCTGCGATGCATGATGTATACGGTGATGGCTTCTGCGCGATGAGTGTGAGGCTGCAACAGATGCAAGAGGGATGGAGCAGCGGAGACGTAATGGACATTGAATTTCCATGGTTTGGTGGCGACGGGATCAAATTTATGTGTGTGGAATGGGTGGTGAGGTGTGCGGCGCGTGCTCCAGCCCATGGAGGAGGCGAGCGAAAGAGATGAGTGATCATGGAGCGACTGACATGGACGCGCGCACAGCGATCACTCACTTGCACTCGATCCACTCACTTCCTCCCTCCCCCCGCGATTCTCGCCCTCCTCAAGTACTCCCCCGCCCCGCCTCGTCAACGACGGCTACGCCCTTCTCCGTCCCATCTTCCTCAACATCCGCGTCACTCCCTTCCTCCCTTCTCTCTATCCACCGCAAGTCTCCAACGCACCCGCGCATCGTAGCCACCCGGTGCGGACGTCTCCAGCTGTCATGTCGGGGGAAGCATGGAAAGACTTTGAAGTGAGTCATTTCTTGGACGCGCGGCGCCCAGCAAGCTCCGCCCACCACTGTCTCACCTCATGACCATGGCTCTTCTTTCTAACCGCAGCACTTCATCAACTACTATGTGCCAAAGCAGACTGTCCCTCGCCTGCGGCAGTTCGCCGCCGTCATCGAGAAGCATGCGAGAATGAGGTTGATATTGCGGAGCCAAGAGCGGAAAGCGGACGTCGTCCACAAGTGCGCAGTGCGTGCGTTCCGAGCTAACGCGCAGAATTCAGGTCGCCTTTCAGACCATGAAGAACAACGACCAGGTTGCCATCTACCAGGCTGCAAGGGCCGAGTGCGAACAGATAGGCGCAGGGCATTACTCGGCTCACTCACACGTCCTTCCTCCACCCACTTTTGGAACTGTGACCGCCGCAAACTCTGCAGCGCGGTATCACAACGCCATGAGTGCTCCGACTAACGGGTATCCGGCGCCGAATGGGAGCGGGTGGAGAGGCCCAGCTGTCGCGCAAGCCTCCAGTAGTGGACGTGAGTGAATCGCCGGATGCAGTGCTGACAACAGGCGAGCCGACTTTGATCGACTGGAAGCCCAGCCCGATGTGGAAGCCTCTCAAGGCGTTGACGAACATGGAGGCCTTGCCAGGTGAGCAACCCGCCACCCCAGCGTTAAACCTCCAGACATCCACACGAGCGAGAGCTCCCACGTACGCCGCGAGAAGCGTGTCATTTTCTCCTTGCCCAACGACGTGATAGACGGTCTGAACAAGTCCAAGTGCGCACCAGGGAAGGGGCTGAACTGACATCAGATCTGATCCTCATGTGCGCCCAGTGTACTCTGTGAGACTCTTCTGCACGTCGTCTGAGTATTTCCGGCCACCAGGCATGTATGGGCAACCTGGGCAACCTGTCCCCACGAACCGCAACGTCCCGATCGAGTACCCCGCCAACCCCGATGTCGTTGTCGACGGGCATGTTGTGCCATTCAAAGCGCGAGGTTTGCGAGGGAAGGCAGGCAGTGCGCCTCCGCTGGACTTGGACAAGTCTAGTCGTGGGCTGGTACGCACGGCGGGACGGATGGCGAGCATGATAATGGCGCACCAGGGGCCGACACCGAGTAAGAAGAAAGAGTACTCCAAGGTAAGAAGGTAAGGGGCAGGCGGATCACTGACAGCAGAAATTCTTCTTCCAGGTTGTGTACTGCGAGTTCACGAGCATGGAGGACCTCTTGACGAGACTTGAGGGTTTGGCGCCTACAGACCCGGAGGCCGAGTTGGCAAAACGTGGGTCGCAGAGGGAAGGCGTACAGCTGACATCAGTCCGCCAACGGGCAGCAGAGGACGACGACATCGAGGTTGGCACGTCGACATTGTCGCTCAAAGATCCGGTGCGTTGCCATGTCCAAACAGTGGTCTGACGATGTAGCTCTCCGGCATGCGGATCACGAAGCCTATTCGCTCAGTCAAATGCTCGCACTTGCAGTGCTTTGACGCTAGATGGTGGCTTGAGTCGAACAAGACCCACCCACAGTGGCTCTGTCCACACTGCAGCAAGGAGCTCGACTTTGAAAGTATCATCTGCGACGGCTACTTCCTGAGTATTCTGCGAGCAGTGCCCGACACGTTTGACGAAGTCACTCTGGAGCCGAACGGCGAGTGGCACACCCAGAACAACCAATACGGCTCCATCGACTGGCTAGCTGAGCACGGAGCCGCACCGCCGGCGACTTCCGCGGCGATGAAGCGTCCTCGCTCAGACAGTCCAAACGGCGTCAATGTGACGCCGGGCAAGCGGCGCGCCATCGAAATTCTCTCGGACTCGGACGACGACGACGACAGTGAAACGCCACAAACGTCCCTTGCCAGTGGCCGCGCCAGTGGGTATAGCAGCACAAATCACAACTCGCGCGCTATCTCGCATTCTGTGCGGTCAACGGCCTCGGTTCAGCCTCCAGCCATCATTGACTTGACGTTGTCATCAGATGAGGACACAGACGACGAAGAACAGCTGCATTTTCACCAGCCGGGCGGAAGTTCCACGAGTCGCGAAGGCGCCGGCTCGTCCGGAGTTCGTCCGGCGACTGAGACTGTGACCCACGCGACGTGGAGTCCTAAGCGCCCCGTGACGACACCCACTACCCAGGCCAGTCCGTCGAGCAATACTGTCCCAACGGGGCCGCGCGTCACTCTGCGATTCGACCCGCGAGGCTCATCCAACGCCGGTGTATCTGCACCTGGTGTGTACGGCGGATCGTCGGGTATCCGCACTTCGTCACATCAACCTGCCTCCTTTTCTTCCGAGGGGTTGAGCAGTGCACAGATTCTGCAGGCCGCCGACCGCTTCGGCCCGCGTGCGGGGTCGTCGTCGTCGTCCTCGGCTCGCCCTAACCCTAATGCCCCAGAGGCAGGTTTGACTGCCGCGCAGATAATGGCGGCAGCAGAGCGCTTCGGCCCACGACCTCATGCATCCTCTAACCCACCGCCACCGTCCATGCCGCCCAACCCAAGAGCTGCCGATTCTGCCCAGCCTCAAGCCCGATACTCGAGCACGTACCGCCCCCCACCCCGCCCACCTAATGGGTACTCGCACTACAGCTAGGACATAAGCGCTCATACGCACATGCGTCTTATTGCAGCAATACATTTTTTACATGATGACACTAGGCTAGTCCATTGTACCACACATCACACACAGCATCGTCCTCTTGCAGTCGCGCCGGTCTCAGCTCCCCTGTCCATGCAGTCATGTTGTCTAACACGCGGGCGACGCTGCGGTTAGCGCGGCCACATTGCAACTCACAAAGCGGAATCTTGACGCTGGCGGCAAGCCCTCCCAACGACGTCTCCTTGTAGTGCGAGTGCATGTCCATGGCGGTTGTGCGACACGCCTCGATCGCGTCGTCCAACGACACGGTATGCTCGCCACTGGCGGCCATGGCGAGCTGTGCAGCCGTGACAGCCTTGACGGCGCCGAGCGAGTTGCGCTCGATGCAGGGGATCTGCACGAGGCCGCCGAGCGGGTCGCACGTAAGGCCGAGGTTGTGCTCGATGCCGATCTCCGCCGCTTGGAGGATAACCGCGGGCTCCGCGCCGAGGATGGACGCGAGCGCCGCCGCGGCCATGGAGCACGCGACGCCGACTTCGGCCATACACCCGCCCTCGGCGGCGGAAATTGTGGCCCCGCGCTTGAAGAGCATGCCGATCGCCGACGCCGTGAGCAGAAAGTTCATCGTGTCCCGCCGCGGCTGCGTCGAGATGTACTCGAGCGTATACTTGAGCGTGGAGGGGATGACGCCGGCCGCGCCGTTCGTGCTGCCGTCAGCTTCCGACAGACGTCTACTCACGGAGCAGTGACGACGCGCCCGCCGCTCGCGTTCACCTCGTTCACCGCGATCGCCATGCACGAGAGATACTCGATGCCGGGGAAGACGGGGCGCGTGGAGAGCGGCACGATCTCGACGGGATGCTCGACGCGGCCGATGCGCGTCGGGCGCTCAGGCTTGTCGAGCGCCGTGCCGGCGCCCACGCCGTGCGCCTTCGGCACCGGCATCGACGGGTAGAAGCCCTGCTGCAGGCGGCGGTAGAGGCCCGGTGCGCGGCGCTTGACGTTCAACCCGCCGGGGAGGTGCGTTTCGGTCGTCGTCACGCCCGCGCGGATGCAGCTGTCCATCGTCTCCCACACTGGTGTGAGTCTGGCGTCGCTCGTCCCCGTCGCTCGCCACTCACGGTGCAGCAGGCCAGCCTCGATCTCCTCTTCTGTGCGGAACGCGCGCTCGTTCTCCCACATGACCTGCGCGATCGTCATGTTGTGCTCCACGCAAATGTTGTGCAGCTCCTCGGCGGTCGCGAAGAGGAACTTGGGGCGGTGGGACAGTGCGGCCTCAGTGCCGGGCCCGTCCGTGCCCTTGTCCGTGATGGCAACGATCGGCTCGCCGCGGCTCGTGGAGAACTCGCGCCTCGACTCCTCCGCGTGCCCGCTGTGGATGTCGCGGTAGTACATGTTTTCCGCTACCTGTGTCTCGTTGTTGACCACGAACCCGCCGCCGATCGAAAAGTACTGGTTCGTCGCGAGCATGTTGCCTTCGGCATCAAACACCGTAAACGTCATGCCGTTCGGATGCGCCGGCAGGGGATTCAGGTGCCATGTCTGGCGTCAGCCCAGTCTTTTCGGGACCCACCAAGTCCTTGTCAAAGTCGAAGCGGACGCGGCGGTGCTCGCCCCCGTCGAGCCCCAAGTCAATCTGCCCCACCGCCCGCACTTCGTCGATGACTACGCCGAGCCGGCCGACCTCGACCGTCTCGGGGTCCTCGCCCATCAGGCCGAGGAGGACGGCGTGCGGCGTCATGTGCCCCATGCCCGTCGCGGCGAGCGAGCCGTGCAGCGACACCTTGAGCGAGTGGATGTGGTCGAACATGGGCCGCGGGAGCGAGTGGGTGAAGATCTTGGCTGCGCGCTGCGGCCCGACCGTGTGCGACGACGACGGGCCGATGCCCACCGAGAACAGGTCGAAGGTCGAGATCACCGCGTGTTCCGGCAGGTCTTTTGCGGCGCCGGGCTGCTGCGACGGCGGGAGCTGGGACGTGGGGATGTTGGCGGGGGAAAGCGCGTCGTTCACGGCCGGCAGGGAGAGGTGGCGCCGCCCCGGCGCCGAGGGAACCGCCGAGCGGAGCGGGGACGGTCGGAGCAGGGATGGGCGGAGCGGGGCATTGACCCGGGCGGCGGCGGGGCGCATCGCCGAGCGCGCGAGCTGACGTCAGTGGCCGACACGGCGGGAACGTACAGAGCTGGTTCCCAGTCGTCGCAGCATGATGGATGAGTATGCGATGAGGACTGCAGTGCACGCAGGTCATTAAGTATCGCGGGCAGCGGCATGCCGCTGCATGGGCCCAGGATGATGTGGGCTGATGGCCAACGGTTGTTGTTGGAAAACATGGCGGGATTGTTGGACAACCTGGGAGCCCCATGTCCAACTTGCGGTTATCGCCAGGCACCGAGGCCAGGCAGCCGCGGCCGCTGCCAGCCTGGCCAAGTGACGGGTGGGCGTTTAGTCACGTCAGCCTCCACCCGCATTCCGCGCAGGATCCGAAGCGGCAGACTCAGGGCGGGGACCACCACCGTGTCGGGAAGTCGCCGCGTTTAAGAGCGCCGAAATCAAGGGCCGTCAGAGGAGGTGCATCTAGGTCGTATGCTTTACAATTGTCCTAATGAGAGTCGGAGTGATACCACAGGAATGCGCTAGGCAGCGTCCGTTTGGTGGTGCGGTGGAGATCAAGTCGAGATATGAACAGAGATGGGGTGTTGACTATTAACAGGTGGAAATGACAACATGCGCAGCCGCGCGATACACAACCGAGTGAGAGTGGTCGACTAGAGGCGCACGAGCATGTATGCCGTCGTAAGAGCCACGGCGAGCAGCCCCACACTGACCTGCACCTGGGTGCGGCTAGCAGCGCCGTAGATTGAGTCACCCGGCCACCAGCCATTGCCAGTCGCCATGGCGCCCATGAAGTCTATCGAGAACGTACCGAAGGGCTGTGCTGTAGTCGCATACGTCTGCGTGGCCTGAGGCTCGGGCGTCGACTCGTACAGAGCGTCGGGGGAGAGGTAAACGATGGCGATAGCTGGCGCAGGGACGGGGACCACACACTCGCCGTTATGGCAGGCAAACTCCTGCGTCTCAGTCGCGCCGTAAAGCCGTCCGTCCGATGCGAACGAGTAGCCCAAGGTTTGACCTGCCCAAGTGATGTTGTACTGTTCGGACACGGTAGGGGCACGGAAGTAGCGCACAAAGACGGACGAAGGAAGCGTCGCGCGCTTGACGGGGGGAGATTGGGCGTTTGGGTCCGCAGCGGGCGGGGTACTTGCGGGGTCGCTAGCTGCGGGGGTTGAGGCCGGGGCTGGGGCCGGGGCCGGCTCGGAGGCCGCAGGTGTGGTAGCATCGGAGGCTCCAGGTGCGGGGTTAGCGACCGGGACAACTGGGTCATCTGCGGGTTCGGCGGTGCCATCGTCTGGGGTGCTCGGGCTCGCGTCCGTGACTGGTGGAGTAGGCGGAGGGGGAGGCGCTACACGAACAAGGTCTGAGAGAGAGATAACAGCGTTGTAAGTTGACGCGCCACTGGGATCTGAGACGTAATTGAAGAGCACGACGCGGGCAGGGGCGCTGTTTTCGTAGACCACGTACGCGGGATGGAACATGTCGCCTCCGTCCGGAAGAAGGTCGACGACCTGCGCAGTGCCAGTGCGCCCAAAGGCCTCGGCGACAATGAGGGTCGAGTAGTAGGTCGTACCCGTAGTCCATTGCTTGCCAACGCCGTCGAATGGCGGGGGAGTGAAAGGCTGCCGTCAGGATGCTCTCATCTCTCCTCCCCTCCCACGCATCACCCGCGGCACCTTGCTTTCGCTTGGTACTTTTGTGGACCCTCAGTCGCGCCCCGCAGCCAATTCGTCTGCACTCACGTTGTAGTACACGTTCTGGCCACCAACGTGTAACAGTGCTGTGGAAAAGTTGCCCCACGCAAGCTGGAACGCCCAGTCGGCGATCCACATGGCAGCGCCAAAGGAGTCGCTTAGACCGGGGAAACCACCACAGGATGCCGTGTTAAACTCGAGCATGAGCATCTCCTTGCCTCTAGCCTGTGCAATCGCTGAGCCGGCCAGGTACTCAGCCGTAAGAGCCTGCACGCCTGTATGATTGAGGAAGTTGGGGAAGATAGCCTGGGGGTCTATGACTCTACCGTTTATCTGACAGTTGTTGGCGGGATAGCGCTGTACCGTCACAGCGGCGAGATAGTCGATGTTCTCGTTGAGCCAAGTGGTGCCCAGGACGTCCGGGAGGTCAAAGCCATCCACCCTGCAGCAGACACTGGGGCCGAGGAGGGTCTGGTGGTTCGTGACGTCCGGGTTGCCCATGATCTTGGTGCGCGCGGTATTAAACTCGTTGATGTAGTCGACCATCCCCCAGGGCTGCGGGCGTTTGCCGTGTCTAAGGTACCTGGTTTTAGCAAGCAGAGCATACCTGGGGCGTACAAATCAGGCTCATTGCCGAGGGCAAGGCCTCGGAGGTGGGAGCCCAAGATTTTCTGGGCGTACCCCGCGGCGATAGGCATGTTGTCTGAGATCGAGGCGGCGTTGCTCTGGTTGAAAGCAAGGCCGAAGTACCACTTGGCGTCGACCAGCGAGGAAATGTTGGCGAGAGTGTACAGGAGGTCGAGAGAGTATGAGACGATGGGTGTCTTGGTAGGCATGTTGGGCGAGTTATCCTTGACTTTCTGCAGACTTCCTCCTTCGGGCAGCCCGTTGACGAACAGAGAGCTTCTATCTTGTGTGTTGCCACCGACACGGATGATGGGACCGACGCCAGCGCGGTTGCGGATGTTGGCCATGTAGTTGAGGAAGGAAGGTTTGATGCGCTGCGGCGACAACCCCATGACGCTGGTGGCTATACTAAGCTCGATGGAAAAGCCGAGGAAGTTGCCGCGCTGCTTGATCGAGAGGGGATACCCTTGGGTGTTGGGCGAGTTCGGGATGCCAATGGTGACCTGTGTCGTGGGCGGTTGCGGCGGCGGGGGCGGCACGAGTCTCGTCGGGTCATACGCTCTAAGGCCGGTATAAACGGGTGGCGGGGCATCGACGACGACGGAGACGGTGGGCACGTCAGTGTGCGTGTCCTTGCCGTTGTAGAGAGTAAGCGCGAGGACGGGCGCGAGCAGCGGAGCGAGGAGGACCTGTATCAACATGGTCGTGGTAAGAAGTTGGTGAAGGAGTGTGGGTGATTGCGAGTCCAACGCTCTTTGATGAGTGCGGTGCGGTGGAGATGGGAGAGGGAAGAGGAAGGAAGGCAGCGGGCCGCAGCTGGCAGCGGACTGCGGCGTGCGGTGTGCGGATCAGAAGGCGAAAGCGGATCGGAGGATCGGAGGAGGATCGAAGGAGAGATGGGAGAGAAGAGCAGGGGAGAGTAATGCTGAGCAAGAAGAACGGGCGGCGAGTCAAGAAGCGGTAGTTAGAAGAAGGTGAGTAGAGAAATGACAAGAGCATCATTCCAGCCAAGCTGTGGCCAGCCGTCAGCGTTCTCTCCTGTCAGCATGGCGTGTGCGCGTTCCAGCTTCGCCAGCGGCGGCGATGCAGCGAGGGCCGTGAGATGTTGCAAGGAGAAAGGAGCGGCTTACGAGGGGCGAGCGCGATGATCGCGGCTCGTCAGGTCAGTGCACGGGTTCGAGGGCGTCGACAGTACGAGTAGCGAGGTCTGTGTCATTCCGTCGGGGGCGTTGAGACCGTTGCGGCCGTCGAAGCACCACCGCGCATCTGATCATTGTACCGTTGTGCGATGACTGCTCGAGCTCCATGCATGCCAGGCAACAGGTCCAGCGCGAAACGGCGCCCAAGCTGATGCGCGGATGAGCAGTGACGCCGATTGCGCGAGGGCTGCGCGGCGCCTAAAGCAGTGCTGCGCCGGCCTCTGCAAATTCTGCACGCTCTGTACGCTCTGCTCGCTGTGATTGAGGAAAGTGAGCATTGGGCACCGGTATTTTGGGCGACCACGAGCGAATGAGATGGGTTGCAATGCGAGATGAGATGTGGTGCGTGCGGCAATCATGAAATGATGAAACCGTCCTTCAGCCCTCTTGTTGATCCCAAGCAAAGAAGAGTGGGGCAGTATAATAGGTATATATAGGCAGGGACCAAATAACAATGTCACGTGCTTTCGGACTTGTTCAATTTGTTCCCGCCTTCGACTCGCTCGGGTTGACTTTTCGGGTGGCTTTGCCGGTCCACTCCAGCCCTCCAGTTTCCGCCCTCCAGTAGCGACGGCCGGACTGAATCTTCGTTCTCCTCGTTCTCCTCACCACACCATGCTTACCCTCCGGACCGCCCAGCGGCCCCTCGGCCTCGCGCGTGCGTTCGCCACCTCGGCCGCCCGCGCCGCCGACAAGGCCCCCGCGGCGCCCAAGCCCATCGACGACTCGACGAGCGCGTTGGACTGTAAGTCGAAGATGCGTAGGCTGGCCGTCATGCGAGCCGATAAGCCGGCGTCAACACTGCCTCTCGGCGCAGAGACGCTGACACCCAGACAAGATGCACCGCCCCACCCGCCGCCTCGCGCACCTCGCGACGATGAGCCACCCCCGCGCCGCTTCCGCCGAGGAGGCCGTCACCAACATCCTGTACAACACCCCCCCGCCGAGCAACGAGCCGTTCAAGCGCCACCTGCTTAACTGTCTCGTGCAGAACGAGCCTGGTGTGCTGTCGCGTGTGTCCGGTATTCTCGCCGGCCGTGGCTTCAACATTGGTGAGTACCGTCTGGGGAGCACGTCCGGGGGTAAAGCGGGGAAAGCGAAAGATGGTCTCTGGAGTGAATCAACAAAGCTTGGGTGACAGCTTGGACGTCGGTGGTTACTCTTGGGTCTCTTTGACCGCGTTCTTGATGCGTGCAGCGCTGTCCGGCGCCATACAGAGGGCTGGAGGCTGCTCCTTATTGTCTCGCTTCTCGCTCCCAGCTGTTGCCCATTCTGGACTACTTGCACCTCCATGGCTGCAGAGGCCGCAGAGGCAAGGCCGTCCGCCATGCCCCTGCCGGGACATGTTTCCGCTTGCGCTCCCCCGTGTTATGGCTCCCCCCGTGCCCTTATCGCTGCTTACACCAGACTCCCTCGTCGTGTGCCAGACCGAGATCCGCGACCTCTCGCGCATGTCCATCGTCCTTAAGGGCCAGGACGCCGTGATCGAGCAGGCGCGCCGCCAGCTCGAGGACCTCGTCCCCGTTTGGGCCGTGCTGGACTACACGCACACGTCGGTGGTCGAGCGCGAGCTCCTGCTGTGCAAGGTGTCGATTCTCGGCCCCGAGTTCGCCGAGGCCCAGCTCAACCCCACGCGCGACGACGACCTGCAGCACCGCGAAGAGGCGCTTGTGCGGACGTTCGAGAGCGCGGGCGAGAACCCCTCGGGTCTGCCGTCCGCCATCGGCGGCGAGGAGCTGTACCCGTCGCGCCGGCGCGACATCTCGCCCTCGGAGGCGCTCATCGCCAAGAACCTGCACCTCGGCGCGATCAAGACGCTCGCGGAGCAGTTTGGCGGGCGCGTCGTCGACGTCGCTGAGGAGTCGGCGATTGTCGAGCTCACCGCGAAGAGCTCGCGCGTCGAGTCGTTCCTCGGCCTCGTCCGCCCCTTCGGCATTCTCGAGGCTGCGCGCTCCGGCGTCATGACCCTCCCCCGTACCCCCATCAAGCGGTACACTGAGGACGACCTCCCCGTCCACCCCACCGAGGAGGTCGACCTCTCCCTCCTTCCCCCTGGATAAGCGCCAGGCCTGTTGTCAAAAGCATCCGGTGAGCATGCATGAACGTTTGCGTAGAGGTGGTTGTGTGGGGCCCGATGGAGATGTGGAGAGAAATATGGGGAAGCTATGGATGCAGGGATTGTTTTGGGCGGTACGGCGCGCGTGGCGCGCTAGGTTGTGAACTGAGGTGCCACGGATTGAACCTCGCTCTTCAGACCGCGTCCGTAGGCGTCACTGCAGCGTACACAACACTTCATACATCACAAGAGAACTAAGACTCGTCGACCTCCATCTCCTCATGCTCCCCTTCCTCTCCATCGTCGTCTTCGAAGTGGTCCCCGTCATCTTCCTCACCCTCATCGTTCTCAGCATTCTCCGCGCCATCCTTCGACGAGCCCACACCAAAGAAGTCGTCACCCAATCCCATCCCACTGGAATGCAGCGGCCTGCGTCTCGTGGCTGGCCGTCCACGTCCACGCCCGCGCCCGCGCCCCACTCCGCTTCCACGGCGACCACCCCGCGACCCTGGCCCACTGGCAGGCAAGTTGCGCAGCAGTCGTTCCTCTTGCGACGGCGTAAGCTTCGAGCCCGGAGTCCACGGCTGGCCCTTGCGCACGGCGGCAACGGCGGCCAGTAGCTCGGCGTCGGCATTAGGCGCGACGTCCACTGTTGTCAGATTCGCCTGCGTAATGCACTCACGGCGGATGTTCGAAGGCCCGAGACCGCCGGCGTACGCGATGTCCGCCAGATCGGCTAGAGAGGAGACAGCAACAGCAGCGCGCACCATCCGCGGTGTCGATGGGTCCTGCCGACGGCCACGGGGTCGGCCGGGGCCTCCGCGACGACGGACGACAGTTGGAGTTACGTCGATTTCGCTAGTCTGGGCCTCGAGGTCCTCCTCGACTTCCTCGACAGGTGCGGGTGCGGGCGTTTCGCTTTCCTCAGCCATCTCGACATCATCTGTCGCCTTCTCCTTGCCTTTGCCCTTTGTTTTAGGCTTGGCCTTGGGCGATGGCTTGGGCTTGGGCTTGGGCATGGCTTTACTTGCGCTCTTGCCCTTACTCGGACTCCTCTTTTTGCCTGGGCTACTGTCGGCTGTATCTTCGGGCGCATCCTCAGCCATATCCTCGTCGGCGATATCCCCGCGCCGTGCCTCTTCGAGATCAATAACCATCTCCGCCTCTACGCCACCCGTCGTGAGCACCACGCTCGGCCCGGCCCCTGGGTCGGCTGTGAGATCGGCCACAGTCGGAGCGGCTTGACTCCGTCGTCCGCTCCGGCGCAGCGGCGTGCTCGTGCCCTTGGAAGCCGCAGCCTTCTTGAGCTCTTCAGCAGCACGCTCCTCTTCCGGGATACGCCGCCGCCGCGTGGGGAACATGCCTCGGTCGAGCGCGCCTGAAATCTTAGGAGTTTGAGGAGGCGGAACTTCGCGCGCAGTTCCTCGCTCGACGAGGGAAATGCCACGGAACTCGATGCGCGAGCGGGTCTTGAGCAGAGGACGATAGTGAGGCCTCTGGGAATCCTCCTCTGCCATTTAGCCCTAGCATCGATGCCTACTCACGCCGGACGACATCAAACACAACTTCGTCCCCGATCAGAGGATTCACGCGCCCCTCGAACACGTTCTCTCCAATTTTGAGAAACGGTATAGGCGTGTCGAGCCCTATGAGCTGATACGTTGCTTCCGTCTGAAGTGTTCGCGTATCGACCGAAGTGCCGAGGTCCATGAGAACGTACTCCTGAGTGTGAGCGAACGCTGGGGAAGGGGGGAAGGCGCACCTCCTCTTCATCGTCCTCATACGCGTCCTCATTTATATCGTCGAAGCTGTCAACGCAGCGCCACCCGGGGCCGAGAAGAGTCCGGCCATGCTCCAGCGTGCGATGGACTTGTGCGTCGTCCGAGAACCCGGCCGTCGCTTGTGGGATCATGGTGAACAGCGAGCTAGCGGAGTATGGTGTCGGAGTTGGCGTGGTGGAGGGATGCAATCGTCTGTTTGTGTCAGCGTTGGGAGCTGCGAGGTCTGGTGGAGGCGGGGAAATTTGGTTCCGCCGCTCGCGTGCTTGCCCGATAATGACTCGGACGTCGGCCGCTCCTCCGCTCCTCTTTCTCTAGTTCTGAAAGCAACTTGAGCAATATGTCGCCCAAGGGAAAAGAGAAGGAGAAGCCCGTCGCCTCGCTCATTGCCGGCGCGACGGCCGGTGGCTTCGAAGCCTTTGTGACGTACCCCCTCGAAAGTCTCAAGACGCAGCTCCAGTTCCAGGCCGATGCGAAGGTGAGTAGCTCGTGTGACTGTCTGACGCCAGACCACGCCCTGGAGCCTGCTGAAGGACACGGTGCAGAAGCGCGGCATCAAGGGTCTGTACGCGGGCGTACCCGCCGTCGTGATCGGTAACGCGGCCAAGGCTGGCGTGCGGTTCACGACGTACGACCAGTTCAAGTCGGCTCTGAAGGACGAGGAGGTGCGTTGCACCAAGCACCTGAACCCGCTGACGCCAGGGGCACCTGTCCGCGCCCCGCTCGATGTTGGCCGGCCTCGGCGCCGGCATGATGGAGGCCATTATTGCCGTCACGCCCAGCGAGACGATCAAGACCAAGATGATCGAGGACTCGAAGCGCGACGTGCCACGCTACAACGGCATGGTCGATGGCGTGCGCAAGATCGTGGCCGAGGAAGGTGTCGGAGGGCTCTACCGCGGCCTCGGGCCCGTCATGCTCCGCCAGGGCGCTAACTCGGCCGTCCGCTTCTCCAGTTACTCCACGATCAAGCAGCTCGCACAAGGCTCGCTTCCGCCCGGAAGCGTGCTGCCCGGCTGGATGACGTTCGGGATTGGATCAATGGCGGGCATCATCACAGTGTACACTACCATGCCGTTTGAGTGAGTCGATCCAGTGGCGGGATGGTTCGTATGTGGGAGTTGAGGCGGTGGGAGTCACACGACCGGCCGACGATTCTTTGTCATGTCCCATCGCTTACCTCAGTGTTATCAAGACGCGTATGCAGACGATCGAGGCCAAAAAGCAGTACCGCAACGCATTGCACTGCGCGTATCGCATCGTGACGGAGGAGGGCGTGCTCAAGCTGTGGAAGGGCACGGTTCCGCGCCTCGGGCGACTGGTGCTGTCCGGCGGCATCGTCTTCTCGGTATACGAGAAGATCTACCCCATCGCCGCAAGCTTCATCTCGTAGGCCCGTATAGATGCATATTGTTAGACCGAGCGGGCGTCATGCGGTGTCGTCCGAGGGGGGCGGTGGAGCGGACAGGTGGGATGCGGACGAAATAGATCCCGACATTACCTCCACCCCCAACATCCCACGTCACAACTCATCAACATCCTCCACTCCCACTAGACCACCATGGCGTCAGCTCCCCTGCTAAGCGGCACGATCGAGGCGGACGACGACACGACGCCGACGGCGACGTCATTCCCGCGTGGAAACATCGGCGACGCGCCCAACGCGCAAGCGCCGCGGCGCGAGCCCGTCGTTCTAGTCCCCGGCACGGCGGCGCAGGCTGAGGCCGGCATCACAGGCATCTTGAAAGCGAGCTCGCACCCCGCTGCGCTCTTCGCGCTGTACGCGTTTCGCTCGGCCGCGATCGCGGTTTATGTGCTGTGCGGATTGTGTGAGTATAAGTTCCGGCTCTTGCCTTCGCTCGGGCCGAGCGAGCTGACCCCAGTCACGGACAACTACGTCCTCTCCATCACGGTGGTCGTCGTCCTCCTTTCCCTCGACTTTTGGAATACGCGCAACGTCGCGGGGCGTACCCTCGTCGGGCTGCGGTACTGGAATGAAGTGGACGACGAGGGCGAGAGCGCGTGGGTCTTCGAGAGCCGCGACCCTAGCCAGCCCGCCAACCCCATCGACGCGAAGTGAGTCCTCCCCTCCCCTGCCCCAACGACCTAGTCTGATATCAGAATGTTTTGGATCGCGCTGTATGCCTACCCCCTCGGCTGGGTTGCGCTGCTCATCGTCTCGATCCTCAAGTTCAACATCTCGTGAGTCGGCCATTGGCACAGCTCAAGCTTACCCAGCTTCCTCCCCATCGTCTTGCTTGCGCTCGTGTTCAACTTCTCAAACGTGGTCGGGTTCACCTATGCCGACCGGGACGCGCAGAAGCGCTGGGCGGCCTCCGGGTCCAACATCTTCGGCGGGATGGGCCTCGGCGGCCAGCTTGTTGGCGGCCTCGTGCGCAGCAGCGTCGGCCGCTTCTTCCGATGATATAGAGCATGCATACATAGGACGTGGCTACTATACAGAACCAGCGTTGCTGGTGTTTTATCTCGTCCGCAGGCGTATATTGTTCCCAGCCGGACTCTCTTAGCGCCTCAGCCCGTTGGGCGACGAGCGATCCTTGCCGTGCGACCTCGATGATATCCCAGGAGCATGGCTGCCCTCGGCGCCACTGGTGTTTGCGCCAGCTGCTCCCCCAGCTGCAGCAATACCCATCCAGTAGCCCGCCCAATATTGCGCATGGAGGGCGTACCCGATCGCCTCGTCGCGGCCAACGCTGCTGCCACTTGGCCACTGCCCAGCGGGAGCGGGAAAAACCTGCCCGACCTCGTCGGCGCCGTGCCCGTCATATCCCTGCCACTCATCTCTGTCCTCATCGTAGTCCTCGTCCCCGTCTTCTTCCTCCTCCCCCTCGGCCTCTGCCGCAGCGGGCGGCCACTCGACGGCGTCGTACTGCCCGCCAGGCGACACGGGCTGGTACGTCGGACTCGCGGGAACGGGTACAGCCTTGCTGTACGGGTTCTTCTTCTTGGTCTTCTTCGCCTTTTTCTTCGGCGGCTCCTTCTCTTCCTCCCTCTCCGCCTCGGCTTCTTCCTCCTTAGATGCAGAGTACCATCTTAAGTCAGCACGGCAGGGAGGGAAACGCACGCAGTGCCAAAGTCCGCCGCCCCGGGTAATGGTTGGCCCTTTGCGAGCGCCGCAGTCGCCTTGTCGAGCCACGAGCCAGGACCGGGATTATGAATCTGCCCGTCAGCAGAGCTAGATGGGTGGGAAGGGATAGCACTCACATGGAACTCTAGGAGGGCAGCATCGTAGGCGTTGACAAGCTCGCGGTCGTCCCATGTCTTGCCGCCGCCGATGGCGAGGGAGATGGCGGGGAGGTCGGCCATGGTGGGTGGCAATGAGCAACAACAATCGACGAGGGCAGAGGCGGATGCTGCGTTCCAAGATTCCTCGATCCTGGAAGTGGAGGTGGAGACACCGGAATCTAAATGTGTGTATTTATGAAAAGGGGGCCTGGAGAGAGCCTGGAATGAGCCTAGGGGTACAAGGGGGATATTGCCCTGAAACATAAGGAGCCATAAGGAACCATAAGGATCCAAGCTGTGCTTGGGCGCTGTGATGGAATGGGATTAACCCTGGATATTAGGACAAGTATGGCTGTGCAGCTGCGACTATTCCTAGTAATCGTACAACCCACGGCCATCCACCGTGCATGACGGCACCACCTCCATCCGCGTCCTCATCGTCCTCGTCGTCCTCGCCGTCCTCCGTCTTCTGTCCACTACTCTTTATCATCCTCATCACATCCACTCACGCCATCCTCTCCTCCCCCACTCCCCTCGACACATTCGTTCCACACTGCTTGCAATCACCTCCGCCCGAAACACGCATCCACCCTTCCCTTCTGGCGGTACTGCAACATCCTACAACGTCCCTCATCCCCCCCTTCCCAGATCTCACCCAACCCGCCGGAGTTGCATCACCACAGTATCCTCTCCTTCAGCTGGTCGCGCATCCTCGTCTAGCTCGTCGCATCCGACGCCCGCGCCGTGTCAGCTGTGACCGACGCCATGGTCGATTACAACCGAGCACCTCCGCCACCTGTGGATCACCACACGTTCGAGTTCGGCTCGTCGCTACCCCCTGGCGCGCTCCTCCCCTCGATACCTGGCTACACGCCAGCTACGGGTGTCCAGCATGCCCAGCCTTCGTCCCCGCCGATGGGCGGCACGCTTCACGGCTCGCACAGCCGCGACAGCATGCGGGGCGCGAGCGAGTTTGGCCACGATCCTTCCGCGCGAGCGACCACACTGCCCTTGCGTCCGGGCGAGCGGAACGGCGCCTTTTCGACGCGTGAGATGCATGGCTCGCTGCCGCCTCTCCCGCCCGCCGCGCCAGCCCGTCGTTATGGAGGAGGCAGTGTGCGCCGCGCACTTCCACAGATACCAGGGGCGGACGGTGCGATTAAGGCGTCCAGGCCACCCGTCACCCCTGCACCTGCTCTTGCACCTGCAACGCCATCAGAGCTCTCGTACGCGCAATCAGTGTCACCGGTGCGGTCTGCAACACAAAGACGCGCATTGCCCACTCCTCCCACTGCACAATCTTCCTCGAAACCGCCATTGGCACCCACAGTGTATCCGACACAAGACTCGTCTCCGCGGAGTCTTCCTAACCCAGCTTCAGCCATGCGCACCGGCCTTGCGCTTCCTCAAACTTCTTCTCTCCAGCAACAACAGCAACAAGCTTCGCCCGATCCGCCGGTGCGGCAGATGAGCAACGCGTCGTCAACCTACGACTCTAGGGTGTCTCATAACACTACCGACTCGTACTTTGGGTCGTCGTCAACTGTGCCCACCAGTGCCACATCACACTCGATGCTGACTTCCAATTACCCACACAAGCCGAACCACCTCTCGCACGAGATGTTTACCATCCGTAGCGAGTCGCCTGCCAACGACAGCGGCCTGGCGTACGGCTCTAGGCTGGAGATTTCTAACCAACGAGTTCGCACAACCAGCGGGAATGACAATTATTTGTCGAGCACACCTACAGCATCGTCGTGGGCGCACGAGCAAGCTCAAATTCGTCTCGCTGCGTCGCCCAGCATCAACAGCCTGAAGACTGAGGCAGCACCAACGCCTCCGCCCTTTGTGCAAACTCCTTCTCCCATTCCAACTCCTTCACCCGCTCCGGTTCCTGTCGCCTTCCCAGAAGCTCGGCCCATCTCTGATACCGGGGCCATAATCTATTCCTCTGCCGCTTACCCTTCCCAGACCCTCCCGGCACAGCAGTCTCCTTATGTGCGCGGTCTCGACCTCAACGAGCAACTGGGGGTCGAGCCCGAGCGAATGAATGGGCGCGATTTCGAGTATCAGGCTGAGTATGAGCAACCTATCGCCTCGGGATCCAGCACCTACGCGCATCAAGTTCCGAATGGCGCGGACGGCGGGATGGGGGAGCCGGACATGGGCCAGAGGCACCCGGCCAGGTGGTACCGGGACAAACTTGCGCTTCATCAAGCCGCCGGCGACGGCGACTTGTACGACGAGGACGGCTACGAGTACCAGTCAAGTGGCGAGGAGGACGAGGCAGGGGACGAGATGAACGAGCTCCGCTTCTTCAACCCGGCCTACCTAAGTGAGACGGCCGTCCAGGTTCGTGACCGCGTAATTCGAGGCTCGCACGTTAAAGGTGGAATTACTTATGCCGGGTCGTTCACCGGAACAGACCTGGTGCACACTATCGGCAACCTTCTCCCGCCATTCACCCGAGATGGCCCAGCGGATAGACGCTTCGCCCTCCAGACGGCAAAATCTCTTCACTCCCAGCTGTGGGTTGTCGAAGCGGACTGGGTGCCTCGTCCCATGCGTGATTCCCCCGATGACGTCTTCAAGTTCATGAGTGATTTGGACGGCATGGGCGAGGACGTTTCCCTTCCCAAGGGCGTTCTCACGATGGCCACTAAGTGTTACTCTTCAAGCTGCAACGGCGCAGGAGGGTGCTATTCACCTCGCTGCCCTTACACCACGCCGCCCAACTCATTCCTCACTGTCGTCGACGAAGAGCCTGGACCGAGCAGACAGCCCGTCGCCATGGTCAAGAACGAGACGGACTGGACTGAGGATATTCCAGCGTCGCAGCTGGCGCAGATGACGGAGGAGGGGCGCGGTCGCCAGACGCTCATCCGTCACGCAATCCTCCTAGAGGAGCGCTACGAGGCTGACCTTGCCATCGTGGAACAGTCGTTCATCATTCCCTTGCAGACCGCCAATCCGCCTATCGTGCAGCCGTATGGCAAGCTGGACCAGTATATGCGCCAATTGTTCAGCAACATTGTTGAGATCCGTCGCTCGTCCCGCGCGCTGCTGGACAACTTTGCGGTTCACTTGCGCGAGCAGGGCCCACTGATTCAGAGCGTTGGCGATATTTTCCTCGAAGCAGCTATCGAGTTCCGCTCCCTGTACCCCTCATACATCGACAATCTCCCCAAAGCTGAGACACTGCTCAACAAATTACTTGAGGAGCACCGGCCGTTCGCACACTGGATGATGGAGGTGTCCAGTGGGACACAAGACCGGCGCCTAGATTTGCGCTACCTTCTCAAGCGTCCTGCCACGCACCTCCAGAACTACCCCAGCCTCATCCAAGGTATTCTCGACAAAACGCCGCCCGAGTCACCTGATTGCGACTTCTTGACCGAGGCTCTTGAGTCGATCCAGAACATCTCGTACCTTTCGCGTCTCAAACTGTTCCAGGCGTCCAAAGGTCGCGGCCCTCATGGCAAGCTGCAGTGGCACGACATCGTGTCACCCAAGGTCCTCAAGTCCATGTCGCCGAAGGAATGCCGGCTGCAGCACAATATCTGGGAGCTCATCGAGGGCGAGATGCAGTACGTCGCAGACCTCGAGGCCATCGACACCGTTTTTATCACCCCCTTGCGCGAGGCGGACCGGCCGATCATCGAACGCTCGCGCCTCGAGGTGTTTATCGATGACGCCTTTCACAACTACCGGTCCATTCTTGATGTGCACGAGAGGTTGCTTGCCGACTTCCACGAACGCCAGCTCGAGCAGCACCCCAACTTCGGCATGGTGTCGGACCTGATGCTCAACGCCGTTCTGCACTGGCACGAGGCATATATGGAGTACATGCCTCACTACCCCATCGCCAAAGCCAAGATTGACGACGAGAAGGCAAGGAACCCGGCTTTTGCAGCGTTCCTTGACGTGAGTAATGAGGCCCTGGTCGGTGCTGACACTGCAGGACGCTTTCAAGAACCCGGCCGCCAACAAGTTCGACATCACTCACTACATTTATCGCCCAATTGCCCGTCTGGTGCGCTACAAAATGCTGCTCGAGAGCATCGCGAAGACGAAGACAGCCGTCCTAATGGAGAAGGGTCAGACCCCGGAGGAAGACCCCGATATCGCTGGCATCCCTCAGGTCATTGATCTCACGGAGAGCCTGGCTAAAGCGGGCAACAAGGGTGTCGCCGTCAACGAGGCCAAGGTCGCGTTGTGGGCATTGAAGACAACTCTCGACGGCGGCAAGTTGGGTCCACGCACCGTTCGCGACCTCGATTTGCTCAACGCAATGCGAGAGCTCATACATCAGGGCAAGGTATTCCGACAGCCTGAAGGCACAATTGGTGGCTCCTGGACCGAGCTCCATCTCCTCCTCTTCGACAATTATCTCGTTCAGGTCAAGCAGACCAAGTCCAAGAACCGCGGCGATCCCCCTCGATACAGTATCAACAGGCGACCGATTCCCCTCGAGCTCCTCACGCTCGGAGACTTCTTCCAGCCAGCTCAGACGCGCTCGATTGGTGTTCTCAACAAGATCGGCGGCAAAGGTCATAGCGAGGGCAAGGAGCAGACCCAATCCGACTCGAGGACAGTGTACCCATTCACATTTTCTATTATCGGTGCGGGTCTCAGCAGTGGCCAGTACACGCTGTGGACCGACTCGGAGCCTGCGCGCCGAGAGTGGCACGAAAAGCTTAAGCACGCCAAAGTGCTGCGCAGCGAGGTTGACGAGGCGAACAAGGTGTTCGAGTTCACGCCGCTGAGCCTGGACACGTTCTACATGGCGCCTGGCTACGGCGTCCACCCTCACGCGCAACAGGAGTACACCGGCCGCGTGACGTGCTCCGTGCCGTTTGTGACCGTTGACAACCGCAAACTCGTGGCCGTGGGCTGCGAGCAGGGCGTCTGGATTGGCGTGCAGCATGACCCCCCTTCGCTGCGCAAGGTCTTGCACGTGAAGAGCGTGACGCAGATTGCTGTTCTCGAAGAGTTTGGCATTTTCCTGGTGTTGGCAGACAAGGTGCGCCTAAGGATGATGAGAGAACTGACGCGTCCAGAGCTTGTTGGCTTACCACCTGGAGGCCTTGGTGCCTACGGCAGCGTCGCCGCAGGTGCGGTCTGCACCGCAGCGACTTAGTGGCGTGCGTGACATCGTCTTCTTCGTTGTCGGGCAGATCTCTGGCCGGACGTTGGTCCTCTACGTCAAGCGTAAGGGCATCGACTCGGTCTTTAGGGTTCTTGAGCCAGTGTTGAGCCGTGGAGCGGAGGATCGTCGTCGCGGTGCGCTCGGCGGTCTTCTGGGCCAACGGTCTGAGTGGTTCCGCCTGTACAAGGAGTTCTTTATCCCGACAGAAGCACTGCACGTCCACTTCCTCAAGGCCAAGATCGCGATTGTGTGCGCCAAGGGCTTCGAGATTATGGGCCTCACGGACTTGCGCGGCGGCTCTATCCCAATATTCGATCCCAACAAGACGCGCGACAGACCTGCTCTGGGCGATCTTGCTCGCCGATGCGAAAATGCCAAGCCGATTGCCATGTTCCGCTCCACAGACAGCGAGTTCCTCCTCTGCTACGACAGATTCGGCATCTACGTCGACCGCCATGGCGAGCCCAACCGAGACATGCAGGCGGTGGAGTGGGAGGGTACGCCCGAGAACATTGTGTTCCACCCGCCATACTTGTTGCTCATCTCGCCGTCGTTCATCGAGGTGCGCCACATCGACTCGGCCAAGTTGCTGCAAATCTACACCGGCGTCGACATCAGGTGCACCTGGGAGTAAGTCGTGCTGCGAAATCTGGCTGACGTTCAGTGGCACGGGTGGTATGATCAAGAGACACAACGACGCGCCGGGCCCCAAGGGCTGGGGCGAGGAGGTGAAGTCGACCGACCCGCGCATCCACATTTGCAAGCGTACCGACGACCCTCGCCGTACCAGGGGTATTGGGCAGCACGTGTTCGAGCTCACGCCGACGCTGCTGCTCAACAACCCACTGCTCAACCCCGTACACACGCAGGATCCGAACTACTTCCCTCCTGCCCCCCTGAACCACCGCACCAGCATGAGCAACTCGTCATACGCAGGCGGCGGGTACGCCGGCGACCCGTATGCCATGGACAGGCGGAGCATCAGCTCAGCAAGCACAACAACATACCCGAACCCGAACGGGTTCACGTCACAGACGCAGCTGATGGGCGCGACGCCGCAGCCAGGCATGCTGAATCCTTTGGGACGGCGCGTGAGCGACATGTCGACGCCCTCAATACCCCCAATGACAGGCGGGAACGTCTTCGAAATGCCCACCGTGTACCAGAACGAAGTGCGCGACGACTACGAGTACTTCAACAACCGCGGTGCCAGTCGAGAGTACGACCGCGGTCCTTATCAGCAGAGCGCCGGGCTGTCTCCGCAGCGACTTCCGTCGAATGAATGGTCGTCACCGGGGCTCCCGGCGGGGTCGGGAGACCGCTACGACAACTACGGGGGCGGGTATCAGCAGCAGCAGGCCCATGCGCACGCGCAGATTAACTACGGGCACCAGCAGGCGTATCAGCAACCGCAGCGCGGCCCGAGCGACTACGCACAAGTGTCCCAGGCTGACGACAACGATGTCACTCCCACGCCGCAGCGCTACAGTGAACATGAGCAGATAAGCCAGGCCGGCGAGTTTGGCGGGTACCAGTCGCAGCAACACTTTGCCGCCGACTACAACGGGTATCCACAGTATCAGCAGCAGCAGCAGCAGCAGCAGCAGCAACAGCAGCAACAACAGCAACAGCAACAACAACAGCAACGGCAACAGCAACAGCAACAGCAACAGCAACAGCAACAACAGCGGTTCCAGGGACAGGGAGGAGGGCAGAGCTACTACCGATGAGTACAGTGGTTGTAGGAATAATCAAGGTGGACTGGTTCAATGCTTATGAGGGTCATTGCCTGGGTTAGACAAATTATGTGTGATTGATGTATATTATGAATCTACAGTGGACGCAAGGCCGCAGTCGACATGACGGGTGACGCAACACCGTAAAAGATGGTTGTGCACATCGCCTACGCCCGCCGCTCCTGCTTCTGCGCCTTCTTCTGGCGCTCGGCCTTGGCCTTGGCCTGGTCCGCGCGCTGCTTGTCGAGCGCGGCCTTGTCGCGCTCCTTGCGCGCCTTAGCCTGCTCCGCATGCGCCGCCCGCTGCATCGCAGCGACAGCCTGCACCTTCTCGCGGTTGAGGTTGTTCCACTCGAGCGGGTCGTCGACTGGGATCAGCGGGCCCCATCTGCAACTCACTCTGCTGCTTGCGATACTTCTTCTTGCGCCCATCCAGCCGCAACGCCTCCTCGACGAGCCGCCGGCGCTCCTCGGCCGCGCGCTTCGCCTCCGCCTCCTCCTTCGCGGCGCCGCGCGGCGGGCCCTCCACCCGCTCCTCCTCCCCGCCCTCGACATACGCATACTGCCTGAGCAGCGCGGCCTTGCGCGCGGCGGCAATCTCCTCCTCGGTCATGCTAGCCAGCACGGCGTCGACATCCACCTTCTTCTTCCGCTCGCGCTCGGCTTCGCGCTCCGCCTCTTCGGCCGCCGCTGCCGCCTCGGCGGCCGCCAGCCGATCTTGCTCGTCCATGATCGCGGCGAGGGCGGGGTCCAGCGCCGAGTCGTCCGGCAGCGCGTCGACGGCGCCCTCGAGCATGCCCCGCACGCCGTCGAGCTTGTCCGCCCGCTCGATGCCGTCCTCCTCGACGAAACGCGCCATCATCTCCACCTGGCGTCAGCGCATGGATGGAGGGGGACGTACATCGTCCGAAGGGACGGAGAGGGAGAGCGCGGCGAACTTGTCCGCGATAAAGCGCTCCAGCGCGAGACCGGGAGGTATCTCCGCCATGGCAGCGTGTTGTGATGTTGAAAGTCAGTGGACGTCGGACAGATCGACTTCAACATGGACCTTATTCGCACCCTCCCTTAGCTGATGGAGGCTTCTCTCAACAATGATGCACAAGCACCGAGTCGATATTATACCGCTAATGCATGATGGGTCTATAGATGCTATGCTGGTGTTGCGTAGGAAATGCAGTGTGGAGATTGGGCGCTCCGGCGCCTTGTTGGAGGCAGGTTTCTGGAGCTAACAAGCCTTACCCCTTGGTCGCACGGCTCGAGCGCTCACGCACGCGGCCACCCTTGAAGAAGAAGATGTACGCTGATGTCAGCGGGAAGATAGGTGAAGAGGAGCTCGTGAGACTTACCGATGGGAGCAATGACACAGCCGATGAGCGCGAGAAGAAGACCGGCGTACTGGAAGCCCATGTTGTGGAACATCTGGGTAATCCACTATCTGTCAGCGACAGCCCTACCACTCTTAGAAGCCACATTACTCACAAGAGGGACCGAGGCACCGATGCACGAACGCATGAAGGTCTTGGCGGCGACGGCCGAAGCGGCGTAGTTGGAGTACGAGTCAACAATGTAAGAATTGGCCGAGATGTAGATGACCAGCATGGAGAAACCGAACATGACACCTGAGACGGCGGGGCCGATCCAGTGGATGCCCTTGTACGAGGTGAATGCGAACACGAAGAGCGATATGGGCATGACGATGGCGCCGATCAGCATGGGGTAGAGGCGGGCCTCGGGGACGGGGCCGTTCTTGCAGTGGCGAGCGTAAATGCGCTCCTGGATGGGCATGGAGAGCATGGCGAGTCCGATGCCGATGATGATCGAGACGAACGAGACGCCAGTCATGCCGATGTTCCAGCCACGGATCTCCTCGAACGCGATGGGGAAAGCGAAGAAGAGCGCGTACAGTAGGGAGTAGATGAAAGAGAGGTAGAACGACATGAAGAGGATGATGGGCTCGCAGAACATGAGGATGAAGGGGCGGAGGAGTGACGTCTTCAGCTGCTGCTTGAAGGGGACGGTGTCGAGGTCGTGCTTGGAAACGTAGACGTTCGTGTTGTTATCCTTGTTGAGCTTGGCGGCCTTGCGGCGGAGGAGGATGGGCGCGTACGTCTCGGGCATGATGAACGTGAATGCCGAGACAACGCCGCAGAGGATAAAGAGGACCCAGTAAATCCAGCGCCAGTTGCCGGTGCGGAGTGCGATCCAGCCGCCAAAGAGGGGGCCGAGGCATGGGCCCATGAACAGCGTGGAGGAGAAAATGGCCATGGGGATGCCGCGCTCCTCGACGGCCCAGACGTCGGCGATCGAGCCTCCGACGTTGGTCATGGGTGCGGAGGAGGCGATACCTGCGATCATGCGGCCGGCGAGCATGGTGGCGATGTTCTTCGCCAGGCACGATGGCAAGGTGAAGATAAAGTAGAAGAAGATGGAGATGCAGTAGACGGGCCTGCGGCCGATAAGTTCGGAGACTTGAGGTCAGCAAATCTCAATGTGTGCAGGAAATTGAGGCGAGGCGACTTACGAGGCGCGAAAATGAGAGGACCGACGCCGAAGCCCAGAACGAAGAGCGAAATGCTGAGGAAAATGGCCTCCATTGAGACGTGGAGGGTGTTGGCCTGCGACTTGAGGTCCCCCGTTGGCATGGCCGACCCAAGGGCGACGGTGAGACAGAGAAGGGCGCACGAGAGGGTGCAGAACCACTTGCGGCCCTTGCCCCAGTTGCGTGGGTCCTCGCGACTCCCCGGCTCAAAGTCAACGATGATGCGACCCTTGGCCTTCTCAGCCTCGACGTGTTCGTGCAATGTGTGGGTATCCGAGTGGTTGCTTCCGGTGATGGCGCCATCGCGCTCGACTGGCTCGTCGCGCAGCGTCTCCTCCTGCTGCGCGTTGAAAATGGGTGGGCGGGCTGCTTCGGCCTCGATAGGCTCGATCATGCTGTGTGCTTGGAAGTGGTCGGGAGAGGTGGTCTAGTGGTCTAAAGTTTCTGAAGAGTCGGAAATAACAGTCGATACAGCGGCGAGGTGAACACAACGGAGCAGATGAGAGTGAGGAGGTCAGCGAGGCCAGTGAGTAGTATTATAGCGCGTCGCCTTCAAGTTTGCACGCCCTCGCTGCGCGCGCAAGCTGTCGGCGGACAGAGGATGGCGGTCCATGGCTTTACACGGTGAAGTGGAGTAGTAGTGGTGAGAGGTGTCCGTCAATCTCCGCGCAACGCTTCGGCGAAGGAGTGGGAAGTGGAGCATCACGTGGGGATCACATGGCCAAAGAGAGCCTGCCGCGCGGCCGAGTCCGGAGCGACAAGATATTTTGGGTGAGAAATTGAGTGGATGCGATGACATCATCCTCCGTCGGGCCAATCGCCACCAGCGGTCCCCACACAGACACGAGGCACGCCACTTCCGGCGCACGGTTCTTAGAACTCCATGGCGGCGCGCGTCGGTGGCGGTCTGCCGTGAAATCACGCCGTCGAGGTCGTGGCAGACTGGTGCGCTCACGCCAGTCTATCACGAGGCACAACCAGGCCCGGAAGGTGACAGCTGCCCCGCTGAAGAGTCATCTTCCAGAGTTGGCACGTTCTGAAGGCCCGTGGGCTCCGCTTCCCGCAAGCACCAGGAGGAGCGAACGTGCACAGCAGACCTACAACCGCGCAGCGGCGGCGCCCAACCACCCTCTCAGTGCAACACCCTGCCACTTTCCTTGACCCTAGCTTCTTAGTCGCCATCACCCCTTCGCAGCCTGGACTCGGTTCACTTCACGGACTTCCGTGATCGTGTCAGCAATATTTGTAGCCATCATCCTCATGATCCTCATGATTTGGGACCAATCACTGTCGATTCCACCGAGAATTGCGGCGTGCCGTCGCTCATGTCTGTCATTGAGTCATGGGCCAGCTCACAAGACCCTGAGGTCCCGAGGCCTGGGTTCTTGCTCGATGACAAGGTCGAGCGGCGACTGAAGTCGCGGGCGACCCCGAGAGATGAACGCCCGCGGAGTCCGGCGTTGCAGCGGATATTGGGGCCTGCTCAGCCACGTGGTGGGGCACGTGGCATATGGGTGGCGAATTCCTGACGTACTTCTGATCAACACATCCGGTGATCGACGCCGCCACGCCTCGTGCCGAAGGGCCGTGATGACGATGCGATCCCGCCGCAAACAACTCGCCTCCTCCCACTCATCCACCCCTCCTGTTGATGCTCAGAACCCTTCGCCGACTCAGCACAATGGCACAGCAGCCCCAATACGTCTACAAGATCATCCCCTCGGCCTCAGTCGACAGCCGGTGAGTATGCGTGGGACATGCGCTCCTGTGCGGTTCGAGTCGTCGTGGTCTCAGGGTGCTCTTCGCGCAATGGTCTTGCGCTTCGGGCCTGCGTAAGAGCTGCCTCCACAATCTCCACGCCCCCACACTCCCCCGCCCCCGCTTGGAGGCACGGGCGGGCTTGGGGTGCTGGGCATGTGTGCGCGCGCCAGAACAAACTGTTGGCTGACCCCGTCTGGGAACTGAAGAGCCGAGCTGTGTTCGACGCGCGTGGCTGGACATGAACTGGGAGCCCGTCGACACCCCGCTGACACGCAGGTTCTACTTCAACCAGCCCATCGCGGCGTCTGACACGATCATGATGACTGAGCTCGATCTCAAGGACGGGTTCGTCCACATGTCGACCGCCAAGCAGGTGCCTGGTGTGCTGAAGCGCTTCTTCGACGACGTGCCATCTGTTGCCATCCTCCGCATGGATTACGCGCGGCTCTCGTCCTTTAAGCGCGTGACTTGGGACCAGACTTCGAGCGGCGAGAGTGAGTCACCGTAAGGCAATGTTGTGAGCGAAGGGCAAAGCGATTGTCTGCGATGGCTGTGCAAGAGTCGTAGCGAAATCCAGTCCAACCGCTTGCTGTGTTACATGGCACGGCAGAGTCTCGCGTGCCAAGTCCTTGTCTCCACAAGGCTCGTGGAACTCGTATCTCCAACGGTGCAGGCAGCTTGCGCTTGCGCTCGCCTCTGCCTCCGTAGGCTTCTGCTTCCCCCTTCTCTTCCGCGCCAAATGTCATTTCGTGACAGTGCCACCGCTCTCGCATCAAGCGAGGCTCGTGTCCCGTTCCGCCTTCCACCGTCCCATCCAATCAGGCTAATTCGCAGGCTTCCCGCACCTCCACGCCCAGATCGAGGGTGAGAACATCGACAGCTTCAAAGAGATTGAGCGCAACCAGTCTTGGGACGACGCTCTCCAGTGGCTCGGCGACTGGCTTGTCTAAATTGTCTGGATTGGTCTCGCATCTGCAGAACATACACGACGAGTAGAAGTGAAATGAATACCTCTTGGTTGGCCGGATAAACAGCGCTCCGGGAACTCCGGCCCGGATCTCGCTAAGCAATGTGGAGGTGGAGGCAGTTGGATCTTGACTCTAGTTGAGTCGAGTCGTCAGCCCACTCCGTTCCGTTCTGCTTAATATCGTGTCCTGTCCGTCGTTCATCACCATTCGCATCCTCGCTCCACTCCGTTTCCGCCGCACCCTCGCTGCCGCCATGTACATTCGCCCCGCGCACGCCGAGCTGGACGTCGGCGTCCTGCAGGACTTTATCCAAACCTATCCGCTTGGCCAACTAACGACGGCGATCAAGAGTGAGCACGGCCCGACGCTGCAGACCTCGCACATGCCCTTTGTGCTCGACACCTCTGGGCCGGGCACGCTGCGCGCGCACATGGCGCGCGCAAACCCACAAGCGAAGGCGCTGCGCGCGGCGGCGGCCGCGTCGCCCGACGGCGTCCTCGAAGACGAAGTGCTCGTGCTCTTCAACGCGCCCGTGCACGCGTACGTGACGCCCAATTTCTGCACGACCACCAAGCCGGACTCGGGCAAGGTCGTGCCGACGTGGAACTACGCCGCGGTGCAAGTGTACGGGCGTGTGCGGGTATACGCGGAGAACGACGCAGCGGCGGGCGCGTTCCTCACGCGCCAGATCGCAGATCTTACGGATATGATGGAGGGCAAGCGCGGCGACGAAGGGGAGCGGTGGAAGGTCGCGGACGCGCCGGAGAAGTATACGGATCTGCTGAAGAAGGCGATTATCGGGCTCGAGATCCGCATCGACCGCATTGAGGGGCGGTTTAAGCTGTCCCAGGAGATGGGGGATGGCGACTGGGCCGGCGTCGTGCGCGGCTTCGCCGCGCTCGGCACGCCAGAGGGCGCGCAGATGTCCAAGATGGTGGCGGAGCGCGGCAAGGCCAGGGATGTGGCGGTGTAGCCGGAGTCGGCGCTTCTTGCGGATAATTGATATCATGACACTAGTAGTTAATGTTGTGCCACCGGCCACCGGCTCATGCACATTGTGTTTCTTCAGGACGCACGCTGCAATGGCTGGTGGTGGGCAGTGTCATCGGCGCTGAACATGTCGCGGCTCGGTCCGCTATCGGCATTGCGCCGATCACCCTGCGTCATCCGGTAGTTGCCGCGCATATCTCGCCAAACGCCGCCACGGACTGTCTCACCGCCCATGATAAGTGATGGCGAGCTTGCAGCATCTCACGTCGCCCACATCACATCCATGCCGTTCATCCTCTCGCCGGACCCGGCGCGCCGCCCGCGCGTGCTGATCATCAACCCGAATGCGACGGAGGTACGTGTGCCGCGGATGTCCTAACGCAGGCCTTCACGGAGGGAATCCGGGGCACGCTACGCGCGGACGTCGAGCTCGACTTCTACACTGCGCCTGCGGCGCACGCGCCCGCGTCTATCGAGAGCGCGACGGACGAGATCGTGTCCGCCGCCGCGTGCCTCTCCGAGCTGCGCGCGCACGTCGACAAGTGGGACGGGGTGGGTGGTCCCGCGTGCAGACTGACACCAGTTCGTCGTCGCGTGCTTCTCGGCGCACCCGCTCGTGCCGGCGCTGCGCGAGCTGTCGGCTGCGCCCGCTGTCGGCATCCTCGAAGCCTCCTTGCTGATGGGCAGCACGCTCGGGGGGCGCGTGGGTATCCTCACGACGTCGCCGCGGTGGGAGCCGCTTCTCGAGGGCGAGATTGCTGCGCTCGGGCTGGCGGGCAAGAACGCCGCGGGCGTCGTGTCTTCCGGCCTGGCCGTGCTCGACCTCGAGGAGCTGCCGCGCGCATCCGTCATCAAGGTGCTGTGTACCGCCGCCGCGGACGTGCTCCAGGACCGCAGGGGCGCAGACGTCATCGTCCTTGGATGCGCGGGGATGGCGGGGCTCGAGGACGCCGTCGGCGAGGCGTGCCAGCCCGGCCTGGTCGTGCTGGATCCCGTGCGGTGCGGGCTGGAGATGTGTCTCGGTCTCATTAGGATGGGCGCGCGGACGAGCAAGGTCGGGCTGTATGCGCCGGCGTAGCGAGGTAGGCGACGGGTGGAGAGTTCAGTGCGGTGGGAGAGTCGGTTGTAGTTGTTCTAAGGGCTGTCATGAACTTTGGGTGCGTGTGCTGTGAACCTGGCGGATGCCATCATGCTCGATGCAGAGGCTGTCTACTGCTCTACATTCTACTTCTCCTGCCATTACTCAAGCTCTCCTCACGGCGTCCAGGCTATCTCGCACGCGACGGGCAAGTGGTCGCTCGCAGATATATTCTTCCTAGGCAGCCCCTCACCAAGCTCCGCGACCTTTGGCGGCTCGAGCAGCTGCGTAAACGTAACCTCTTTCCCGGGCAGGGCGAAAATGTAATCTGGCGTTAGCAACCGTGCGACACGCGACAACGCGCAACGCACCAAGAGTAAGCTTGAACAGAGGGGTGTAGCACGTATACGCGGGCTCGTTCCCACCCGCCCCGGACGCATGGTTGAACCCGCCGCGGGCGGCGTATGTCTCCCCCGCCCACTGGGATGCGCCGTACGCGCTGCGCGCCGGGGCGGGGAGCACGTCGCGCGCCATTTCCAAAAGCTCGTCGAGCGTCGCGATGCCGTCCGCGGCGGTCGGCGCGCGCGTGCCCGCGATCGACCGCTCGTCCGTGTCCGGCAGCTCGCCCTCGTCGTCCTTCTCCGCCGGCGTCACGGCGCCGCTGGGCATCTCTGACGGCGGGGCGGACGCCTCGATCTTCGCCACGCTCGTGTGTACCAGCCGCGAGAAGTTGAGGGAGGCCGCGAGCGCGGGGTCGAGTGGCGCGCCGGGCGCCGCGAGGATCTGGTACGCTGCCTCGGCGGGCTGCGTGTTGAGGTCTGGCGTCAGCGTCAAAGCTCACAACACTCACCGCCAGCCAGGAGTGCGGGCCAGGCCTCGATGTCCTCGTCGGCCTGCATCGCGCGCATGGCGCGCAGGAGCACGATGATCTGCCGTGTGCGCTCGTACTCGAACTTGGGGTGCCAGAAGCTGGCATCAGCTTCCCCATGTTCCACATACGCACAGGTGTGTGGTCGCGACAACGATCCCCTCGCCCTCCTCGCTCTCGAGCGCAACGATCAATCCCATGTTGCGCGTCGCGCGGCTCCCGCCGCGCGCTGCCGCGCCCTCGCCGGGATTGAGGTGCTCCATGTCGAGCGCGACGGCGCGGGATGCGCGCACGCGCCACCGCGCCGTCGCGTACAGCACTACGAGGCCGTGCAGCTTGCCCTCGCCGCGGGCTTCGACCGCCGCGTGCCCCGGCACGGCGCCGCGCATGTCGCCCAGCCGGTCGCATTCTTGGAGACAGATGACGTCGGCCGAGGCGTGTTTCGCCATCTCGGCTTGTAGCATCGCTTTGCGGTCCGACCAGCGCAGGCAGTCGGAGCCGGGGAAGAGCTCGCGGCCTGGGGTTAGGGTGGGGGTAACGGGGGGCGAGACTCACGGACCAACGTCTGCGCCAACATGTTCCACGAGACGACGCGCGCGGTGCGCGCGCCGGCCGACGGGACCGCGACACTAATCCATCGCCGCTCGAGGGTCCGCCGGCGCGTGTCCTCGGGCGCGGCTTTGGTGTCGAGCTTGCGCGCGAGTTTGGCGGCCTTGCGCTCGGCCTGTTTCGCGAGCTGCGCGGGCGTGAGGTGTGGTGGGGGCGGCATGTGAGGTGAGGCAAGAGGCGGGAGGTGAGGGTGGAATGGGTGAGTCGAAACGAAACGACTTATAGCTCGGGAGCGGAAGGCGGATCGGCTCCGGCCGAAGCCGCGCATCTTCCACATCTTCCGCTTGACCCACCCGCTCGCGCGATCGCACGAGTCGCCAGCCTCAAATATCTCGACTCATCGCGACTCACTTGACTCGACAAGCATTCATAGAGTGGCAACATGTATTTATCTTCTTCTTCTCCGTCCCCACTCACGCCCACTCACGCCCACTCCCGCCCTGCCACTTTGTCACGCATCCTCCGCCACCCTCTCGCGCACAGTGTACACGTCGCCGTCGCGCGAGACGCGCCACCACCCGCCGTCGAGCACGACCATGTCCACGTCGGGGTTGAGCAGCAGCGCGGTTGTGAACGGCCCGACGGTCCAGCACGTCTCGTGCGATCTGCATCAGCGGCGCGGCGGAGCGACTCACGCATGCCAGAGGGAAAAGAGGTCGCCGGCCCACGAGCGGTGCGCCTCGCGCGAGAGCATGATCTCGCACGACTGGATCTGCAGCCCGTCCCTCGCGTCCGTCCGCTCCAGCGGCGCGAGCAGCGTGAAGTGCCACTCGCCGGAGTCGGTCACGCCGAGGTTGCGCACGGGCTGGGTGGAGGGGCGGCGCGCCCGCGCGTTGGGCGCGTTGGGCGTGGCCTCGGAGGGCGCAAGGCTTGACGTCGACGCGTGCGCGTCTTCAAGGGGTGAGCAATTGGCCATGACGCGGCGGAAAGTCTTGCCTTTAGTCTGAGCCGGACTTGCGCCCGCGCCCGCGCTCGCCTCGCCCGGGGGCCGCCGCAGCACGGGTTCAGACCACTTGGCCGTCTTGAGCATCTGGGCGGCGGCGCGCTCGGCGCCGAAGCGCGGCCGGCGTGGCTCGGCGCCCTTGACGGCGCGCAAGAGCTTGCTCGCGGTCCCGCCCATATCGAGGTCCTGCACGAGATACGGCTCGGCGGCCTTGACGGCGCGCAGAATCTCGTACTCGGCGGGATGGATCGCCTTGCGCTCAACGCGCGGCTCCGCCTCTTTGACAGTAAGCACAATGTTCCACATGGCGTTAGCGGCGGCGATGCGCCGCGACGCGAACGGCTCCGCGGCCTTCACGGCGCGCAGGAGCTTGGCGGCCGCACTGCCGGCTCCGTCGGAGAGGTACGGCTCGGCAGCCTTGACGGCCTGGACCATCATCCACTCGGCGGAGGCGGCGCCGAGGCGCTCGGCGAGCTGCGGCTCCGCCGCTTTGACTTCTGCGATCATCTCGTCGATCGCCGCACGTGTGTCGGCGTGCACATCGGGCGGCGTGGCCGCTATCTGCGCGACCGAGTCGTCGACGTTCACGTCCATGACGGTGGCGTCGGGCTCGGGCTCGGGTTCCGGCGCGGGCTTGGCCTCGGCGTTGGCGGCATCCTCCTTCGCCGCCGCCGCAGCGGCCTCTCGCTTCTCGGCCCTCTCCAACATCTCAAGCTGCCGTCAGCCCGCCCCCAAGCGGACATACCACACGCTTGACGTTATTTGCTACGCCCTCGCTCACCGCGGCGGCCGCCTCTTGGCGCTGGCGCATCTGCTCGTGCCCCGCGCCCACCATCTTCGCGGTCTCTACAAGCTGGTCCCGCACCTCCCCTTGCAGCGTAAGCAGCTCGGCGCGCTGCGTCTCGCGCAGCGCATCGATCCCAGCCAGGATCTTGCGCTGGCCCGCTGCGCCCGCCGCGACTTTGTAGTCGAGCTCGGCGAGATGTGTCGCGAGCGGCGTGAGGGAGACAATGTCCGGGGCGAGCGCTTGCGCTTGCGTCTTCGCTGCCTCCGCCTCTGCCTTGGCGGCTGACGCCGCCGCCGCCGCCGACTTGCTTTGCACAAGCACGTCGCGCAGCATCGCTTGCAGCTCGAGGCGCGCGTCGCCCGGCGCGATCGCGACCGCGCCACGCGCGCCACGCTTGAACGCATAGGTGGCGGCGGCCGCGCCGGCGAGACACGAGCCCGTGAATGCCGCGCCCATGAGGAACGCGGAGGCGTACGGGTGGGCGGCGGCGAGGGCAACGAGGCCGGCGGGGGCGGGCGGGGAGGGGTCGGTGCCGGGCGGGGAAGGGTCGGTGGCGATGTGCGGGGCCCGTGGTACGGTGGCAGGCGACGGTGCTATGGGGGCTGACGGGGCTGACGGGGCGGACGGGGCTGGCGGGGCTGGCGGGGCTGGCGATGGGCTTGCCGCTGAGGCCGTCGCTGTCGACGCTGAGGTTGAGGCTGTTACAGGCGCTGCGATGAGCGCTGTCGCCATACTTACTTACATGTAAATGGCGAGGCGAGGGCGGCGAGCGCGCACCCCGCACCGGCGGCGGCGCGCCATGCGTCGTCGAGAGGAGCCCAGCGGTCGTCTTTCATGCTGAATGTAAGTGCGGGCGATGATGTGTCGTGTGAAGCGTGCATGGTGAGCTTATGGGCGCATGACCCGACATTACGCGTCTTGGGAACACAAAGGTCACATGTTGAGCGAGATGTGGGAAGGGGCGAATATACAGTACCTTGTCGGGTATCGCCACCCGGCATGCCCACTTGGCCACCCTCCCTCAACTCAGCAACCATTCTCAGCCACGGTATCCATAAGCTATACGAACGAATATAAAGCCAGGCCAGCATCTGCCGTGCGCGCCGCGCGGGTTGATTCTTGCAAAGGGCGGAGCGTTTTGGTGAGGGTTCGGAGTGGATGGCGTGAGAGGCTGGCCTGGGACGAGTTGAAAGGGGCAAAGTTGGCAAGGACGAAGGAAACGAAACGAACAACAGAAAGAGAAATGCGGATGGGGGGATTTTTGCGCCCCGTCCGACTTGACGATGGAACCTGGGTGGCCGCAGGCGCACCTCGTATAAGGCTCGACATCGCTCGTTCCTCGCGGCTTGTGCGACGAACGAGAACCTTGAGGAATGGCACTTGGGCCATTTCGAACAGCTATGACAAGCTGCATACTTGAGGACATGTGCGGGGGACGCGCTGGATTGCGAGCGCGTTAACAGCGGATGAATGTGCAAGCGTGGAACAGTGGATTGGCCATGCAGCCGATGCGACAGACCAGCTCAGAGGAACTGCTGGACCTGCGACACAGTAAAAACGCCGCGGTGGACCTGCTCCAGCAAAAATGTGCGAACACTGTCAAGCTTGCCGTTGAGCGTATCGACCTTGTCCTCCAAAACCTTGACCTGGCCACCGAGCTTGTGGACAGCATCCTTGCGCTGCTGGGCCTCCTCACGCGACTTCTGGGCAGAGTCCGCAGCCCTGGCGCGAGTCAGAGTGATCTGCTCGCCAAGACGGATAAGAGGGGGAAGGCGGGCCTCATCGACGTCGCGCAGCAGCGCCTCAAAGGTCGGGTACGACAAAATCTGAGCACGCGACATGCCCGATAACTGTTGCGCGTCGGCCATGTACTTTTCAGGTACAGTAGCCTTGGGTCGAGCGGTGGCCGCCTTGGGTCGGACGGTGGCCGTCTTCCGCGCCTTGACTGGACCCGGTGTCGGCGCAGGGGGGGAAGGGCCGAGGGCGCCCTGCGGCGTTTCAGTGAATACAGGAGAACCCGTTGACGCTGCGGCAGCCATCTGCTGCAGCGTCGGGCTGACCTTGGTCGACTGGCGACGCTTGTAGGTGCGCACTGGTGCCGACATCCCGGCGTTGCCGAGGTCTGCATCCTCCGTCTCGCTCAGCTTGCGCTTGAGCGAAAGCATTGGGTTGGGCGCCGAGGGGGCGGGGCTCGCCAAAGACAATGGGGCCTTGCGGTCCGCGTCCGAGGCTGATGACAGCAAGACTTCGGCAAACAGGGGCGAGGAGCCGGAGGAAGTCGACGTGGTGGCCGACGGGCCAAGAGCGATCGGCACGTTGGGCGTCACGGGGAAGACCTTGGACGCATTGGCAGCCGAGGCCAGGGCGGCAATGTCGGCGTCTGCGTCGAAAGCTGCAGGGGGCGCGTTCAGCTGGGCAAGAGCTTGGCCCAAAAACGTGTCCTCCCAGGAGAAGAGTAGAGGGTCCTCGAACCCCGTGGGTGCAGGCTGGCTCGCGTCCGGAAGAGTACCAAAGAGCACGGCAAGCAGATCGTTGTCACAGTTGGTGGCGGAGGACATCTTGTTGGTGACGCTCTGCTGAGACGAGTCGCAAGAGAACGGGTTGGGGTCGTCAAAGACACCAAACGCCTTGGACGAGTCGGTTGTGTTGGACTTGGCGAGAGCCAGAGCCAGGTTCAGACCCTCGAGAGGGAGACGAGGGAGTGCGGGCGACTTTGAGGGGGTCGTAGCGCCAGAGAGGATGGAAACCTCGCTGGGGGCGTCGTTCTCGGGGCTGTTGGAGGAGAGCTCGTCGAGATCCAAGAACTGGTCGACAAAGTCGGGGAGGGGAGAAAGGTACGAAAGAGACATGGTGGTCGAGACGGCGGGACCGCTGTTTTTAGTGGGCGAGTCCTGGGCGGGGGGCGACGCAAGCGGCAGAGTGCAATGCCTGGAAAAGTTAGCTCTAGCGGCGATTGTCTGGGATGTCTGAGACAGGTCCTCGCGGCGCTCGCCTTGGCCAGCGCCGCCATGCACGCCGCACCACGCGGCATTGAATTGTGCGGGTGAACAAACAAGTGTGCCAGTCGCTAGCGATGGGCGCTGATTGGCCTCGCAAAAAGCCAGCCGGAAGCACGAGGAGCGCTGAATATACTGCGAAAGCAGGCCTGCAGAAGTGAGGCAGGCGCCTATTTTAGAGGGCCACGTGCGGGCCACGTGATGGACCCTGACCACCTCTCCGGAACGACAACTCTTCAGAGATGCCACTTCTTTCCTGTGACAATCTCTCGACGATCGTCAAGAGTTGGAGCATAAGAATAAAAATAGTGTGCGTGTGCGTTCGCGCATGTCCCGGACATTTATGAAAAAGCAAACTCACGAATTCAAAGTGTGGCCCGTAGGCAAAGGCGAGTCGACTACGGGGGTGTTGATGAGCTTGTCTGGGCAGATGCCAGAAGGGGGCGGCGGGATGATGATGGTTGCTGGGTCGTAGAGGGGGAGGGGGGAGTTTGGAAGGCCATGATGGGCAACAGTTACCGAACCGGGGGGTTCAGAGGAGAGGGTAGAGGAGTGGGTAGGGGTGGACGTAAAAGGTCTTCTTAATGAAGATGATGGTGGACCTCCGCGGGTGCGGCGATTTAGTAGGCGGTGAAGAACATTTCTGGAGTGTTAGAGAAGAGTTGGGGTGGCGAGGAGGAGGACATACCGGGTAGTCGAAGTGTAGTCAAGTAGTTGATCAGAGGACACTTGGGGGTGTTAGCTGCGTTGGCCGTCAGGCGTAGTGATGGGATGGGGGCGTGGTAGTGGGTGATGGATGAGAGAGTGAGAGAGAGTGAGGAGAGGACGTGGAGTAGAGTGGTGGAAAGAGAGAAGAGAGAGGAGACAAAGTGAGGATGGTAAAAAGAGCGAGTGTGAAAAGGGAGAGGGGGAGGGGGGAGGGGGGAGGGTTGCCACGAGAAAAGACCCACGGTCTGACGATCTGACGGGTGATTGGTCCAGCGCGTCTGCCGTTTTGCTTCTGTGTGCTCGGCCATACACCCTGGTTCTCGCCGGTCCCAACGGCACCGCAAAGAGGGGTGAGGGGTGTGAGACCGAGCGGGGCGTGCGGGGCGTGCTGGGGGGGGCCACCTCGCCTGCATCGCCTGCATCGTCGGCCTCTCGAGCTCTTCAGCAGCGCGCTGGAACTCGGCGGGATACCAAGAACGCCAATTCGGGCGGGCCTAGTCCCTGTCCTGCGGCGTGTTTTACCAGCCGGCCGTCGAGCCTTCGTTCACTTGCAGTTTCATCGGAATACAAGGCCTCCAGAACATTGTAAACCAAGTCATCTAGTGAGCTGGTGATCCACTATTCTGGTAGCCAGTGTAGCCAGTGTAGCCAGTGCCAGTGTACTGGCGTTGGATGCGACGTCCTTTGCCACCATGGCACCCGTCCACCCGTCCTCGCCCACACTCATCCACAGCCCACGTCGTCCTCTGAAACAAATTGGATTCTGATTACGTTGCTATTCAATTACATTCACCGCTATAAGTCGATGCATCATTAACTCGGTGGGAATAGGAAACGTAATAAGCCAGAATGCCACAGGTCAGGTGACGTACTTAGGGTTCATGGCAGTAGTAGTCGTAAACAAAAGATGGACCCTGGGGCATACAGGGTTGACTCAATCCGAGTCGACTCGGCTATTTGCAATTTGTATCGGCTGCCGGAACCGAATGAACAAGGAGGAGGACGCGTGTGATTGATTTTTGCTGTGGCTCATCCTTCCGACCACGATATCGCCACGCGACATGACACAGCCGCCACCAAGCCCTCGTCGCGTGGTCGCGTCGCAGGCAGCTGGCTGGCGATCTGGCGACCATGCTGTATCCACACTCTCTCTGTCTCTCCACAGCCCTCCGCCCTTCTCCCGATTTCTGCGGGGTGGGCGTGACCACGCCGTCTCTGGAGCTCTGGAACTGAGAATAATCAATACCAGTTAGTGCCAGCGAAATTGTCGCCAAGAGGGTGAATACCCAGGGGTTATGATTCATTACTATATGACAGCTATTACCGTAGCATCCACCCCTCTGCTTCTCCTGTGCCAAGTCGCGCTGATCGCGGCCGACGGAATTTGCGGCTTACGGTTCCACTCATTTGTAGTCGAGTAACGTTGTGGCAGGTGTTTTTTTTTTTTTTTTTTTCAAGAAGCGCTCCGCTTGCTGGCAGCGCTATGCATCACAGCTGCTCTCAATGATCAAGCAAGTGGCCACAAAGCGGGTGGCAACTTGGGCTCCTCCTCGTTTGGTGGAGGCGGATACCCCGCGCAGGCCAAAACGCACGTTCCGCTCGACGAACGTTCGCCGGCAATGACACTCTCATCTCTCGTCTCCTCCTATCCCATCACACTCGTCTGCAGCGCCGCGCCCCACTAGTCTCCGCGATTCGGTCGTACTAACAACCTCACACCCCCGGGCCCTCCGAGTCCAGCTGAGACACGTTCGACCCCATGCTTGACCACAGCCAGACGGCCGCAGTCAAACCAAACACAAGATATTAACAATGCCAACTGACCTCCAGACTCCACTGCACTCTGCCGCTCCGCCACTTGTCCACTCCGCTCCTCCAACTCCGCTCCTCTGTGACTCCGCGACTACGCGACTCCGCTGCGCCCCCCGTCTTCGCAGCACCTTCTGCTTCGTACTGCGCCCTTCGGTGCGCCCTACCACTGCGCCCGATCACCTCGATTCACCTCAGAAGATTGCCCAAGTGTCGACAGCCGATCCGGCCTGCCTCTCTCTCCCTCCTCCCTTCTTCCCCCCCCTCCTCCTCCTGCCTCCTCCTCCTCCAATCTCCCATCTCCCATCTCCCATCGCATATCGCCACCTTGACTATATACTCCTCCATCAACCATGACTCTCCTCTCGCCCCCCCTCACCCCAAAGTACACCCGCCCCCATCCCCCAAGCCCGCTCGCCAGCCCCGACGCCCTCCTCCTCCCCCCTCCACACATCCCAGACGGCGAGATACCCGACGCGGCGCTGCCGCCGCCCGGCAGCGACGCCTCCCACGACACAGGCGCTGGCGCTGGCGCTCATCCCGCCCCACGCCCCGGCGCACACCCATCCTCACCAGACCCACAGTCGAGCCCATGTACGCCCGCCATGCACGCCTGGCACCCAGGCATGTCGCGGGACGCGAGGGACGCGCGCGAGGCGTGGATCTCGGGCGGGAGAGGGCGCAGCGGGCTCCGGATCGTCATTGTCACTGGTGCGCCCCAACAGACGCAAGACAAAGCTAAAGCCCAGAAAACTTTCTGCCCAAGGTCGACGGCGTCACGCGCACGCTTGCGCGCCTGCTCGAACATCTCGAGCGCGAGGGACACCAGTGCATGCTCCTGGGTCCTGGCACGGGCATGGTGAGTCGCCGTCTTCCTCTTCATCTCTTCTTCATCTACGCACACTGCACACCGTACACACGCCCTAACGCCCAGAGCCACTATGCATCGCACCCACTCGTCGGCACCGCGGGCGTGCCCCTGGTTGTGTACCCCGGCCTCAAGCTCAACTTCCTGCGGCCCAAGTTCTTGCGCGTAATCCAAGACTTTGAGCCCGACGTCGTCCACTTTGTCGACCCCATCTGGCTGGGCGCGCAGACCCTCGTCGCCCTCGAGCTCGGCTGGGCGGGGCAAGATTGGGTCGGCGACGGCGGCCCCGCCATTGGCACCGGCATAAGCGGCGCCGTGGTCGCGAGCTACCACACCAACCTCGCGACGTACGCGACGCTGTTCGGCCTCTCGTGGCTCGAACCCGTCATGTGGCGCCTCCAACAGTGGCTGTATTCCAAGTACTCTTTATACTCCGACACACACTAACCCCAGAACCAAACTCACCCTCTGCCCATCCCCGTCGACGCGCGACATGCTCGAGTCGCAGAGCTTCGCCAACGTGCGCCTGTGGCCGCGCGGTGTCGATCTGTCCCACTTCTCGCGCGCGCACCGCTGCCCCAAAATGCGCGCCTCATGGGGCGTCGGCGACGCGCCCGACGGACGGGCCATCTCGGGCCTCAATATGCCCCTCACGCCACCAGCAAGCCCCACAGTCAGCGCGGCGGGCGCCGGCGACCTCCCCTCCCGCAACGTGCTGCTCTACGTCGGCCGCGTGTCATGGGAGAAGAACCTCGTCCTCCTGCTGCGCGCGTACGGCCGCCTGCGGCGCACGCTGCCGCCCGCGGCCGTCCCGAAACTCGTGTTCGTCGGCGACGGCCCCGCGCGCCCCGAGCTCGAGAGCATATGCGCCGCGCAGGACTTGGACGCCACATTCATGGGTCACCGCAGCGGCGCCGAGCTCGCGCAGTGCTATGCGTCCGCCGACGTCTTCGCCTTCCCCAGCTTCACCGAGACGTTCGGCCAAGTCGTGTTGGAAGCGCTGGCGTCTGGCCTCCCCGTCGTCGGCCTCGACGCCGAGGGCACGCGCGACCTCGTCGCGCACAGGCACACGGGGCTGCTCCTCCCACTGCCCCCGCAAGGGGCGGCGGCGCCGAGGCAAGGAGACACCTCGGCACCGCCATCACGCGCGTGGCCCGCCATCTGCCGCGACACCGCCACCCCCCTCTTCGACACTTGCGTGGAGGGGTACGCCGCCCTCCTCGCCGAAGCATGTACGCTGCACACGCAAAGAGAGGCCATGGCGCACAGAGCCTGCACACAAGGCATTGTCGGGTACACGTGGTGGGACGCGATGGAGCGCTGCGTCGACGGATACCGCGAGGCGATGCGGATGGCGCGCGCCAACCGGCACGTCAGCATCGTGTCGGCACCGTCCGCGCCGGCGGCGCTGGACCCCGCCGTCCCCGTCCCCGCCCCCACTGCTACGCCGCGCATCTCCCGTGTCAACAGAGCGCTGTCGAGACGGCTCGCGCACAGGCAGTTCCGCGAGGCGCAAATGCGATACCGGACACGCGCAAAGTCCGAAGCCGAGCTCGCGCACTTCAAAACACTCGCCAAGGCCCTCCTCGTCGCCCTCGCATTCTGGTGGATCTGGACACGCCACCTCGCGTCCAATGGGCGCGTCGTGTCGTGGGACGAGCTGTTCACCCCCGCCTAATTATATCGGATTGGATACATCAGTCATAATATAGACCTGACCGCGTGCGGTGAGAGATGCATGTTTTACAAGCGAGCAGCAGCTTAAAGCTCGTCGCGCTTCGAGTGGGCCTCGTCCTCGGCGTCGGCCTCGTCGGCCTTCTTCTCGACCTTGGGTGCCTTGCTGTTGGCCTCGATGAACTCGGTGAGGCTCTCGAGCGAGCGGTCGCCCTCGTACTCGACAAACTCGTGCGAGCCGGCGGCGCGGAACTTGAGCGTGGGGAAGCCCTCGACGCGGAAGGGCAGGCCGGCGGGGAGGTCGTTCTCCGTCGCGTCCATCTGGGCGATGACGACGTTCGAGCCCTTGTAGCTCTCGCCGAGCGTGTCCCACACGGGCGCGAGGCGCTCTGTGCGTCAGCGAGCGCGGGCTAGCTACTCACGGCAGTGGCCACACCATGGCGCGTAGAACTCGACAAAGATGTCCTTGTCCGTCTGCTCAAACAGCTGGTCCCAGCCCAGCGTCGTGAGCTTGTACACCGGCCCGTCTTGGGACGCGGGCACGGGCTGCGACTTGACGTGCGGCGCGACGTCGCCAGCCACGAACGCCGTGACAAACTTTTCGAGCGACTTGGCGTTGAACGCCTCGGGCATCAGGTACTTGGTCTGCTCTTGGAGGTTCTGGATGACAAAGCCGGGCTGCGACTCGGGCGCGACGCCAAGCGACTTGCCGTACTCGCCAAACTTGTCGCCGTCAATCCACACAAAGTTCAGCTTGCCCCGGTTCGCCTTGAAGAGCTCGGCCGAGTCCTTGCGGATCTGGTCGCGCGTCGCCTCGTCCTTAGGGTCCATAAAGAGGAAGCCGAGCGGGAGCCCCGACTCGGCGTACTTTGCAAAGTTCTTCGGGCCGATCTCGTCGAAGAGCGGCACCGACTGCGCGTTCGCCCAGCCCATCAGGTCGCCCAGGTTGTCCTTGGCAAAGTCGTCGTCGTAGACCACCTTGCCCTCGTCAAACTTCTTGTACAGCACAAGCGCGGGGAGCTTGGTGCCCTTCGGCAGCTCGGGGAGCGACGAGCCCTCGACCTTGCCGAAGAGGAAGTTCTCGCGCGCCACGTCGGCGAACTGCGAGAACGCCTCGGGGACGGGGTGCGCGTCGTCGCCGTACGCGATTAGGACGCTGGTGTTAGCGCGAAGCGGCGGGGGTCGGCGAGGGTAGAACGATAGTCGTGAGCCGACGCGTGGCGGCCGCACTCGACACGCAGCACGCGTCGCTTCAAGCGACGCTTGCTCTCACACCTCCACTCACACATTGTCCTTGGTGGTGAACTCGTCGTGGTTCTCGGTGGTAAGGACCGAGACGGCAGGGAGGGCCTGCTTGCGCATGTACGCGATGATGCCCTCGGCCTCACGGGGGCCGTTGTAGTTGGTCGGCTCGCCCTTGCGGAACACCTTGAGGGTGGGGTAGCCCTGGACATCGTACTGCTTGCACACCGTCTCCTCCTTGGTGCAGTCGACCTTTGCGAGCTTGATGTTCTCGCCCTTGAGCGTCGTGGCGGCCTCCTCGTAATGGGGAGCGAGGCTGGGGTGAGTAAGTTAGAAAGTGGGGGGGTAAGCGTACTTTTTGCAGTGGCCACACCCTAGAGTCAGCAATGTTCCATTCTGCGTCTATTGTTCTCTGAGACTTACAGGGAGCGAAGAACTCGACGAGGGCAAGGTCCTCATCGTAGACCTCGGACATGAAGGTCTCCTGGTTGAGGTCGAGGACGTCGCTGGCGAAGACGCCTGCGATGGCGGGGAGGAGGGCGAGGAGAGCTGAGAGCCTCATTGTTGTGAGATGGAAGAGAAAGGGAGAAGTGAAAGAAAGAGAGAAAGAAAGTGGTTGGGGGGTGACAGCACGACAATAAAGGCTGAGAGAGAGATGGTCGGGATCTTGATCAGCCACAGGGCGGCTACGTGTGAGGCGTCGACGTGGAGGATGGCCGATTATTAGGTGACTAAGGGAGCGGTATTAGCCCGGTGACTAATCACATTAGTCGTCTCTCTCCCGTCCCCGCGCTATTACTTGCACCATACACGTGCCTCGAGACCATGTCAACTGCATAAACACCATGCACACTCAGCATGCACATGACTTCGCTTCCAGCAAGGCCAGCGGAACGCGGTCATGCATCGACTCCTCCGGCCTGTTGTACCTCCCATCGGCATGGACATTCAAGGTTAGCGTTGAAATCTTGGTGCACAGCTTCACGGCGGAAACTCCTCGCCACGCCAGCTCACCGCTAGGCAGATCGAGCGTACACTCACGACTGACGACTGCACGCTCTGTAAACAGCGCGGCGATGCTCGTCGAGAACATACAGCGGGGCGATGCGAAGTGCACAGACAACCATTCCTACTGTAGCCGACATCCACTCTCATGTCGCCTGTCTCACGACCAAGGGATGAGTGGCAGTCACCCAGTATTCCCATTATTCCACCCCCCGCACTGCTCTCTTCGGCCACTCGGCCAGTCGCCCGTGTCCTGTCCAGACACTCCCGTTTGCCGGGTGGCTTGGTTTCATGCTCTCTCTCTCTCTCTCCGTGCCTGAGCTCGTCGCTCCGTCTCCGTCTTCTGTCTCGGCTCTCATTCTCCAGCCTTGGGCGCGCTCAACCATTGCGATCGGCGTCGGTGTCACTTGCCACTACCCACCACACCATACACCAATCTCCGCTCCCACCTCTGGTAATGAAGCCTTAACGCGCCTCTTCTCTTCGGAAGGACAGCGGCTGCCAGTGCTCTCGCGCGGCCAACGACGCAGGCCTCAATGCCAGGCTCGGCTAAAATCGGATGATGATTGGGCTGAGTCTTACATGGATGAGACGGACCTGAAGCGGGGCCACGTGACTTTGATCCGTCCGCCCAGCTGCCTCCGCCCTGCGCCCCGCGAGATGCTCGACGAAAAGTCGGCAAAGATACTGCAAGGCCGTAAACCACTCGAGCCGCTCCTCTCTCCTCTCCATCTCTTTCCACACCCTCTCTCCAGCGTCTATCGCAAGCGAGTGTGCAAAAGCAGGAGTGGGACTATCGACTAAAACCCACCCCTTCATTCCGGTTCCTTCGCCAGCTCGTCGGCCCCGACCTGTGTCTACCCGTTCGCCCGACCCCGACTCCGGTCGAGTGACACATTCATTCCCATCATGTCCGACAACCAGGCCAAGCCCGAGGCTACGCCGGTCGAGGCTCCCGTTGAGGCGCCCGAGGCTACCGAGGCCGAGCAGGCTGAGCAGCAGCCCCAGCAGCCCCAGCGTGAGCATACCGCCCCGCAAACACTCACACCAGTCCCGCCCGTCGCCGTCCACTTGCCCACCCCGAAGAACGCGCGTACCCTCCCCAAGCCCCAGGAGGGCGAGTCGTTTTCCAAGCTCAGCCTGTACTCGCAGCCCTCTGAGACCGTGCAGGAGATCAAGCTGGCCGTCTCCGAGTGGGTCGGCGGGTACTGGCTCGGCCCTCACTCGCTCCGCCTCCCCGGCAAGGGCGAGGACGTGCTCTCGACTTCCAAGGACGGCATCGAGATCCGCGCCGGCGACAAGCTCAGCGACTTCCTTGAGCTTGCCGATGTTTTCGCCCACCTTCCGGAGGACGGAGAGCGGACGCTCGACGTCGTCCCCGAGCCCTATTCGGAGTCGTCGGCCCGCCAGGCTGTTATCCGCCTCCTTGAGTTCATCGAGCCTGCCGGGACTACCGTGAACAACCTGAGCACTCCGCTCGGCGTCGGTGCCGGCGCCTCCATTTTTGAGGAGGTCCGCACCGGCTCGCTGTACGCCGGCGACTCGCCCAAGGACGCCGAGGCCAAGGCCAAGGCCGCCCAGAAGGAGGCCGAGAAGAAGGACAGCAATGATGCCAAGGACGCCGAGGTCACCGAGCACGCGTTCTCGGACTGGACCCCGGCCTCCAACGGCCTCCCCCTCTCCAAGCTCCCCGTCTCGCAGGCACCCGTCGAGGTCAACGCCTGCCTGCGCTCGATCCAGCTCTCGCCCTTCAACCCCCCTCCCGCCCCGCTCCGACAGAAGGGCCACCAGCTCTACCTCCAGGTCTCGATCCTCGAGGGCGACGTCTTCACTCTCGTGTGCACGACCCGCGGGTGGTATGTCTCCAAGTCGAACGTCAACAACTTTGACCCCACTCCGCGCGACGGCTCGGTGACCCACTCCCTCTTCGACCTCCTCCACTCCCTCTCGCCGCTTTTCACGGAGCGCCTCTTCGCGCTCCCTTCGCTCTCGTCGACCGCGCCTGCCCGCGACCCCCTCTCGACCGTCGCTATCCCTCAGGCCGAGCCCGCGTTCCCGTGGATCATCGCCGAGCCCAAGCCAGCGACCGGCCCGGAAATCCTCCGCACCCAGCTCGCGTACCTCCACTCGGGCGCGACCTCAGCTGAGGGCCTCGACAGCGCCCGTGACTGGAACGAGGAGATCCAGGGCGTCAAGGAGCTGCCCCACTCCACCATGCCTGAGCGTGTGTTCCGCGAGCGCATGGCGCAGAAGACCTGGGCCGAGTTCACGCAGGCGTCGATCCGCGCCGCGATGAACGTCGCCCGCGGCGACATCCTGCCCCTCAACCCCAACGAGCCTGCGCGCCAGCACATGTGGCTCGTCTCGAACATCTTCGTCACCAAGGCGGTCGACTCGATCGGCGCGTACTCGCACGTTGGCGGCGACGCCGCCGCCCACGTTTCGCACGCCAAGGACGCTGAGGGTGTGCGCCTGCTCAACCGCCTCGACATTGACGGCGCCAACGTCCTCGGCCACACCGTTGTCGACTGGCAGGGCGACCGCTGGATCTGCCAGAGTGTTCTCCCCGGCATTTTCTCGCGCCGCGACCCCGAGGCTGAGGACGAGGCTGAGACCGAGCCCAAGGACGAGGAGAAGAAGGAGGACTGGGTCAAGGTCGAGGGTGACAAGGAGGAGGAGCCCGCGCTCAACCCCCTCATCATCTACGGCGCCGACTCGGAGCAGACCACCACGCTGCACTGGGACGAGGCGACCCACAAGGTGATGCAGAAGATCGCTGCGCACCAGCGCCTCGCACCCCACAAGCTCCAGGCTGGCGACAAGGAGTACGAGTTCTACGCCTCGTCCGAGGTCAAGGGTCTGCGCGGCTCGGATGGCCGCCGTTACTTCCTCGACCTCCCGCGTCTCAGCCCCGTCGACATTGAGTGGCTCGAGAAGAACTACGAGGGCAAGCTTGTCGGCCCTGGTGCCGAGCAGGCCGACGCCCCCGTTTACCCCCACCGCATGACGCTGCTCCGCCCCGAGCTCATCGAGATCTTCTGGGAGAGCGAGCTCAAGCTCTGGGCGCGTGAGATCACCGCCAAGAAGCAGGCTGAGGAGGCGGAGAAGGCCAAGGCTGAGGGCGAGAAGTCTGAGAAGGCTGAGGCCAAGGAGGGCGAGGAGGCCAAGGAGCAGGAGAAGGCCGAGGAGAAGACGGACGCGATCGACCCCGAGACTATCGCCACGCTCAAGGACTTTGAGCTCCGCTTCAACCCCGACGCGTTCGTCGACTCGCCTTCCGAGGACGGCCAGACGTTCGGGCCCTCCAAGTACACTGACGAGAGCGACCCGGCCATTAAGTCTGTGCGCGATGCGTCCAAGTTCCTGCGCGACATGAGCATCCCGGCCATCGTCGTCGACGTCCTCACCGGCTCCGCTTCGGGCGTCATGGACGGCGCCTCGCTCACCCGCATCATGCACGCGCGCGGCATCAACATGCGCTACCTTGGTATCCTCGCCGCTGCCATCGACAACTTTAGCAAGAAGCCCGAGGGCGAGTCCAAGGAGACGCAGGGTCTTCTCGGCGCGCTCCGCTCGGTGGTCATCCAGGAGATGGTTTTCCGTGGCGCCAAGCACATCCTCCGCGACCTCGTCCGCGGCTTGCTTCCCGAGCAGGTGCCCAACGCCATTTCGCACTTCCTCAACTGCCTCCTCGGCACCGACTACAACGCCTCGCCTAAGGCTGTGTACGAGCAGTTCGAGGTCGGACCCTCGGCCGAGCCCGCCTATGTCTCGCTCACCCCCGAGTCGCTCCGCAAGCAGATCGTCTCCGAGGTCGAGACCCGCTTCCGCTGGAAGCTTGACGAGGCGAGCCTCACCTCGGGCCTGCGCAAGCCGCAGCTGCTGCGCGAGCTGGCGTCGCGCTTCGCCTTCCAAATCGCCCAGCGCGACTACGCATTCGACGCATCGTCCGAGGCAGCCGCCGTCAACGGTGACTCCGACAAGGCCGTGTCGAAGAAGAAGAAGGGCAAGTCGGCCGGCCCCTCGAAGCGCGTTACCACCTTTGAGCCCGCCGACGTCCTCACTCTCCTCCCCGTCGTGATGTCGACTGCGCCGAGCGTCGCCGTCGCCGAGGAGATCTTTGAGGCCGGCCGCGCGACCATCAACCGCGGCGACATCGACATGGGCCTCGAGTTCATGCTCGAGGGCGTGCAGCTGTACGAGTCGATCCACAGCGTAATCCACCCCGAGGTTGCCGCCGTGTACCACCAGTACGCGAGCACGCTGCACCAGCTTGCGCGGATTAAGATCCAGCAGATTGCTGCGTCGGAGAACGCGGACCCCGAGCAGCCTTTGGGCTTGGACATTGCGACGGCGCTCAAGCTGCAGCGGCACGCGGTGCTGATCGCGGAGCGCACGCTCGGCGTGTACCACCACGACACGGTGGCGTACTACTTCCAGCTCGCGATGCTCGAGAACCTCGAGGGCAACGCGCAAGCAGCGCTGCGCTACTTCCGCCACATCCTGATGCTGTGGAACGTCATCTACGGCGCGGACCACCCGGAGATCAACACGCTGCTCTCGAACGCCGGCATCGTGCTGCAGTCGCTGAACCAGCACCAGCTCTCGATCGCGCTGCTGCACGAAGCGGCCGAGCGCAACGCGGCCCAATTCAGCCGCAAGCACGTGCAATACGGCAACGCGCTGCACCAGCTCACGCAAGCGCACTTCCTCGGCGGCGACTTCGCCGCCGCGCTCGCGAGCTCGGAGGGCGCCCTCGCCATCTTCACGGACGTGTACGGCGCCGAGCACGCGCAGACCAAGGAGGTCGCGAAGAACGTCGAGCTGCTCAAGGCCGTGATCGATAACGTCGAGCGCCAGAAGCAGGAGCAGGAGCTGCTGCGCCAGCAGCAGGCCAGCCGGCTGCAGGCCGCGCAGCGCGGCGTGCCCCCGCCCCGCAAGGTGCTGCCAGGCGGCACGACGCTGACTGCCGAGCAGGCGGCGCAGCTGGCTGCGTCCGTGCGCGCCGCCGCGGCCAAGCAGGCCGAGGAGGCTGGCGCGGCCGGCGCCGCAGGCGAGGGCGAGGCCCCCGCCGGAAGCATCAAGATCGGCGAGCGCGGACACATGGACGTAGACGAGCTCGTCAAGTACATCCAGGGCGCGGTGCCGTCCAACAAGCCTGCGCGCGGCGCAAAGAACCTGCGCGGCAAGCGCCGCACCGGCGCCAAACGGTAGTCTACTTATCCATATCATAGCATCACCACTCGTTGCATACCCAATCAGCAGTTTGATCCGATCCACGGGGCAGCATGATTAACGTGAACTACTGATCTCAGCTGGTAACACGATTGTCGCCATCACAGGCGGGAGTGATGCGGGCCGTTCTGCGCTGTAGCATGGCACGAGTTGGCAGTCTAAACCCCTGACCAGTCAACTAACAACTCCCCGCTCGGACATCCCGCAGCCGGCTCAGTACCCCATCGACGGCCATGGCAGGCATAGTCGCCGAGAAGGTATCCAGCCGCACAAGACCTGACCCAGCGGCGCCACCCCAGCTCGCGCACGCGCCACATGTTCCCCGTCACATCCATAGCTGTCATCGCCCCGTACGTCCGTCCGATGCGCCGTCAAGTCGTGCAGACGCAACAACTTGATGCGCATTACCCCTCGGTTGGCTGCAACGCATGTGCGGACGCCACCCGAACCAGGACGCAGTACGCCGGCCGGCGTGCTTGCTAGGCGGTACGCGCGGTCTATCCGGCATCGGTGGGGGAGGGCGGGCGCGTGCGGACGACCGCGTGTCTCGTCCGTACTTGTGTCGCGTGTCGCGTCGGAGGTGGCGAGAAGCAGTCCCGGCTTGGCCCATGCGCATCGGCACTGGTCTGCGGTGCAGATCGCCGTCTCATGTCAAGGTAGCGATCTTGGGCGCCCGAGCAGGCAGGTAGGACAGCTGGGAGAAAGGGCGGCACGCTGTCGTCACGAAGTCGAATCGGGGTGGTAACGCTAGGTGAGCGAGCACCTCGGGATCTCCCTGGCGCGTTAGAATGAGGTCGCGCTGCGGCGGTGCAACGCGACTTGCACGAGCTAAAAATCTGTGGCCCAAGCCGGCTTCGGACATCGGTCCATGGGGTATGAGATGTTGACTAGGGTCGCTGTCCGGCCTAGAGAGCGGTTCCAGCACCCCACGAGAGTGGTTGCGGCCGAGGGACTGTTTCATCTTGTTGAGGACCGTGCGGACCTGTGATATCGGCTCGGAGTCGTCGCCCTGGCGCGGCGCAGCGAGCCTTGTCATCACATGATGGAAGGACGCGGCCGCGGAGCGCCAGTGGCGAGGGTGGGCGAGGGCGCCGGGTGACAATGTCGAATGTGGACAGAGAGGACCTGCCGACTGACCAAGCCTTTGGCGACTGGTCCAGCTTCTCATAATCTGAGGCGTCCAACATGTTCGGATACTCCACAGCAAACCGGCAAGGTACCGGAGCCCGTCTACCGCTCTCGACACAACGAGGGCCAGAGGAGCAGGTGCCGGGAGCCGAGGCCATAAGTTGTTTAAGGCGTTCCGTTTACGGCATCTGGTCTCTGGCGCAGCCACTTGGAGGCCGAGGTGCATCGCGTAGAGGTCGCCGTGGAGATGGAAGGAAAGCGCGTGGTGGTCTGGCGTGAGCTGCTTCCAGCGTCGAGAGATATCAGTGGATGCGTGCTGCAAGAGTGCGTTCGCCCAGGTTAAGTGCGGGGCGGGTGAGCGCCAGCGCATGCAGGTCTTGTACGACATGGTTGCCGTACGACAACGAAGAAGCGCGCCATGCTTCTTGCACACTGGCCGATGTCGTGAGCTGGAGACGAGTGGGCCCACGTTGGAGGTGGACGCTGCCGAGGAGCTGCGCGGTCGGAGATTGGCGGTGCGGAGACCCCTGTGACAATCTCGGCGAAGCTTCAAGTGCTGATTGTGGTGCGGTGAAGTGGCTCGGTCACGCTCAGCCGAGCCAGAGAAGCGTCTAGCCGCCGCACGACGGCGCAGGCCGTAACCCTCTCTTGGTGGTGAGGCCGCTGATCTGACCTCACATCCAGGAATGGCACGACCTGACGCAGAAGCTGAGCCGTCAACATCTCTTGCAGACCGACGATGCGAGCTGAGTTTGCGGCCGGAGACTGTTGAACGCGTGAGTGGGCTTATCTGGAGCGTATGGAGGCTAAAGGCTTCACGCGTGATGGGGCGGGCATGAGTTTGGAGGACTCGCGCGCTGCTCGTTGCGTTGTAAGCCTCGGTACCAGCTGGCTAAGTGTCACCCGAGATACGGTCGCGGCGGCCTCAGCGCGGTGAGGGAGGTATCTCAAGCGAGGCGAAGGGCTACTCGAAGTAGAGGCCGCCCCGCGAGACCTCCTCGCAAAGGTCACTCGCGCCCAGGGAACACAAGCTCGGTCACCGCTTGAAACGCCTGGGTCGTCAGCTGGTCAACTTGGATGTGGCATCACAATGAGGCGCCACTTGCGCTTGGGGGACCGGTGTGTTCGGAGAGACGAAGACCTAACGTCATGGCGGAGGCCGGAGAACGGAGAACGGAAGAATCAGCGGAAGAATAAAGCGAAGGGGCGCCACCAATGAAAATCAGGCACAGATTCGTCTTTGTGTGGCAGTTCCACACCTACTCTGCGACTTTGGTTTCCACTGTTCAGACCACAATTCTCTGCCTACCATGATACATATAGTCTACAACTTGGGCTTGGCGGCGAACTGCCCCTCCGTTACTCCAGCTCCCATGGCCGCCGTCGAGCTCACTCCGCCCGTTACGGTCATGAGGAGGGAGTCAGCGTAGTCCGCGCCACTCCACTTCTGGTGGGTAAGGACGTCGCAGCCGATGTCGCGCTCCCGGCGCTGGATGAGCTCGACGTAGGCCTTCATGCCCTCCTTGGCAAAGTTCTGGGCGAAGAGGTCCGAGATGTAGGCGTTCGAGTGGAGGCCGGCGAGGGTGATGAACTGGAAGACGAACTGGGGTTAGCGAACCGAAAAGGGAAAGAGGGAAAGAGCGGTAAAGACTTACGCCCAGCTTGCCGAGGTCCCAGATGAACGACTGCATCTCCTTGGTGCCGAGGCCGGCGGCGTCCCAGTTGAACGAGGGCGAGAGGTTGTACGCGAGCCACTGGCCGGGGACCTTGGCGTGGACGCCGTCGGCAAACTCCTTGGCCTGGGCGTAGATGGGGCTCTTGGTCTCCATCCAGATGAGGTCGGCGTGGGGCGCAAAGGCAATGGCGCGGCGGATGGCGCACTTGGTGCCGCCCTGGAGGCGGAAGTAGCCCTCGCGGGTGCGGGGGGCGGACCAGTCCCAGAAGGGGAGCTTCTTGAGGCCGGCGGCCTTGGCGAGGCGGGCCGACTCGGAGTTGGAGGCGCCCTCCGCCTCCTGGAGGAACTTTGCGGGGTTGATGCCCTCGGCCTTGAGGGCGGCGGCGAGGGCGTCGTTGTAGAGCTGGAGCTTGGCGGCGGCGGTCCACTCGTCCTCGATCTTCTGGAGCTGGGCACCGTTCTTGCCGGCGGCCTCGGCCTCGTTCATGAGCTCGGCGAGGGGGCGGAGGTTGGGGTTGGTCGAGCCGAGGATCGAGGCGTGGTCGCGCGGGTCAATGTTCGAGGTGATGAGCGTGGCAGCCTCCGAGTCGGTACGGGCGACAACGAGGTTCTGGGTGCCCATGATGTCGCACTGGAAGCGCATGGCGACGAGACGGTTGATGTGCTCCGAGATGGGGACGAGCACCTTGCCGGCCATGTGGCCACACTTCTTGGTGCCGGGAGCCTGGTCCTCAATGTGGATACCGGCGGCACCGGCCTCGACCATCATCTTGGTGAGCTTCATGACGGCGGTAAGACCACCGTGGCCGGTGTCGGCATCGGCGACAATGGGGCGGAGGTAGTCGATGTAAGGTCCCGGGTCCTCGCCCTTGGCGATGGCAGTGCTGCGAGTGTAGCGCTGCTTGCGGTCGTGGTAGAGCTGGGCGGTGAAGAGCTGGGCGACCTTGTTGGGGACGGTGTTGGAGGGGTAGTCTTTAGGTTAGAGACATGGGCCATGGCTATAGGAGAGAGAGCGAGAGAGAGCTCGGCAAAATGCTATGCGATTCGTTTGCTTTTGCATCTCGCTGAAATCGCGCGACTCACCGGCAAGATCCGGGCCAGGCTCGAGCGACGACGAGGCAGTCGAAGAGCACTGCCAGCCCGAGACGTAGACGGTCTCGAGGTGCTTGGCCATTTGGGTGATCTGGACGGGGTCCAGGCTGTGATTGATTAGCGGGGGGGGGGCGCGTTCCATGACATGGTGTCCTCCAGCAAACTCACGCGCCGTAGGTGAACGAGCAGCCACCGCCCTCACCGCGGTACTTGGCCTCGAGAAGCTTGTGGAGCTTCTGGGCGGTGAGGTCGGAAGGGTACTTTTGCAGGATGGTGCCGCGCTTGGACACGACATCGGCAGCGGTGTAAGGACGCTTGGTGCTGCTGAAGCGAGGGAGCTGGATGGGTCAGCGTCGTGGGAACAAGGTAGCGACGAGCAGAGACGAGCAGGAGAGACTAACCTTGAAGAACTCCTCGACGGCCTTGACCTCGTTCTGGAAAGTCTTGATCTCGTCCTGCATTGTGTGGACCAAAGTGTTTTTGTGGGTTGGGAGGGAGAGGGGTGAATGAGGAGGAAAAGAAAAGCAAGGAGGCAGCTGGAGCTTGGGTCTTTAATGGATCGAGTTGTGAGACGAGAGAGAGAGCAGCAGCAGCGGGGCAGAGCGCGAGAGCCAGAGAGCTAGAGAGCTAGAGAGCTAGAGCAGAGAGGTCGACAAGAGGAGCAGGCCGTGTCGGGTGAGAAGCGGCGGACGGGCAGTGCTCCAACAAAGATCCACCGAAATGTTGCATCAGGCCCTTCGGCTACTCTGTGGTGCCGACAAGCCGCGCACCGGTACTGGAACAACCCGGACGCCTCTGCAGCGAGCCCTTCCCGATACCCCTGGCCCTGGGAATACAAATCCACTGTTCTCTACCTCTTGCCCCCTCTGCATAAGGGCCGCACTCGCAAGCATGCTCACACTGTTGCCAGAGGGTTCTCGCGCTCTCTCGCTCATCTCGACACGCTCGAGTGCAGTGGATGAGTGGAGGGTGGATGAGTGGAGGGTGGCGGGTGGCGGGTGGCGATAGTGGTAACTGTGCCGGAGTTACTCGGACATTCAACTGCCCTCTTAGTTCCCCCTAAAGCCCGTCCCCTCGGCCCTCCTCCTCCTCTCTTTCTAGAGTACTCTCTGCGTCCTCTGCGTTCCTCTGCCCCTCTGCCCCTCTGCGCCTCCTCCGCGTATATGCTTGCGTATGACGCTCACTCGCTCGCTCGCTCGCTCGCCCGACCCATGGCTCGCTCTTACGTGCCTCCGGCATCCGGTCTACTCCCGTGAGCCGTGGGCCGTGGGCCGTGAGCCGTCCTCGTAAGCCGTCCTCGGAAGCCGTGACCGTGGCAAGGCCACCACCCCACCCCTGCCTTCCGACCGACCGACTCAGCGCGTGTTCGACTCACCATCTCTACCTCGTCGCGCTCCCCCGTCGCCTATCAAAGCCTCACCACCCTTTCGGATTTGTAGCGCCGAAATCGTCGACTCAGACATTAGACCATGCATCTCCTTCAACGCCGAAACTATACTGCTGACGCTGACAATGCGCCGCGCTCCACGCCATCGCCCCACGCCGAAACTCGCAGTGGTCGCCTGACCGTACCATTTTCTCATGTACAGCTTCCGGGCGTCCAAGGTACGAGCCGGTGATCGGCGCACGGAGGGAGCTATGTGCCTATGACTTTGGGCGCACGCTCCGCTGTCCAGTCTCTGGCCATGGCAGGGGCTGGGCGTGGGCGTGGCTGACAGCTACCAGCAGCAGCAGCTGACAGACGTCGACACGCGACCAGGACGAGGTCCGCCGCCCCACTTGAAGCCGCAATCCAAGGTCGCGGCGAGACGGCTTCGGCCCCACCGCCATGGATCCAGGGCAAGCCGCCTCCACCGCCTCATGACCTCTGATCAACCTCCGAGGCTCCACGGGGTTCCGTGATGACGCGTCTGCCAGAGCCACAGCTCGAGTGATCAAGTCGTCGGTGTAGTGATCGGGGCGGCCTCTGCGGCCTTGTTCCGAGCGGCACCTGACACGGGTGGGCGACGCTGTATCCGCTCGGAATCTCCATGGACCAGATATGCACACTGATCTTGTCATGCCCCTCTTCCCGCCTCGCCTCGGTCTCCCGGTCTCTGTGTGATCCGCGCGAGTCCCGGCAACTACTCTCTGTCCACCTGGCCGGTTCATGCTCGTTTGTCTTATCTTGACGTGTTTTGCATGCCGCAGCGCGGCCTAGCATCTCCGCACGTTCGAGTTACACCCCCATGACCACCGCTTCTCGCGCGTGATTGTGATCGCGCACTGGTCGCGTTGCACCCACATGCATGTCGACAGAGGGATTTAAGAGGTGCGAGGAGCAAACCACATCGCGGGAATTGCGTCAGCCCATGCATCATCTCAAACCAAGCACTACTCTTCCGCATGCAGTGCGATCCGCACCTATGTACGACCGAAGTGTGCCGAGGCTCTTCTGATATCGACTCGATTGACAGCGGCGACCGATGCGCGCTCCGGCTGTCGGCTGCCTCTGCCGGCACGGCAGAGCCGGGTTCCGCCGCCACGTGCCATCGGGTAATTCCCGGGATAAGCGGAAGGAATCAATACGTAAACGCACGCGTGGCGCGCGTGTCGTGTCTCGGTAGACCTCCACTTCACGCTCCAGTCCAGCTCCCAAAGTTTCCGCACGCCCCACATCCACCAACTCCTACGCTCCTCGCTCACCACTGCAGATGGAAGTCAATCAAGAAGGCAAGCGCGCGCTCGCGTATGCCCCCGAGCCGTCTGCCAAGCGCCCGCGCGCGTCTCCCGGCACGCACGCCCTGCCACAGCCCTTGTCGCGCCTCGGGCTGACGCCGCAGCCCCCCGTCCTCCCGTCGTCGCTCGAGCTCGCGACGGGCACGAAAGCTGACTTGTCCGCGCGCAAAGGCTTTGTAGGCGAGCCCGAGGTCGGAATCCTCGCGTACCTCGGCGATCCCGCCTATGCGGGCATCCAAGGTGTCATCAAGCAGAGGTGGGTGCGCCGACGAGCCCGCTGAAACTAGATTCACCGACTTCCTCGTGAATGAGATCTCGCTGGCTGGCGAAATTGTGCACCTTGTCGATATTGGTGCGCCGGAGAGCGAGGCGCAGGCTGGCCCGTCAAACCCGAAGCCCGAGGCTGCAGAGCCCAAAGGCTCGGAAGGCGAAGGCGCGCAAGGCGCGGAAGGGAAGGCGGAAGGTCCTCTGGGACTGGCCTTTGACCACCCGGACTGGCCCGCCACTGCCACCGCTGCGCTGCGGGAGCACTTCTCCGACGAGACGATCGCAGCCCTCCATACCCTTCTTGTCGAGGGCAAGGATGTGCGCCGGCCCCTGGATGCCGGTTGGGGCGGGCCGCGGATAAAGATGACCGAGGAGGAGGAGGCGATGAACGTCACCGTAGGGCAGGGGCGTGACCGTGGCCGCGGGCGACAAGGTGGGCGCGGCCAGAGCCAAGGCGGCGGGGGAGGAGTGAACAAGCGTGAGGTCGTGCAACTCATCGCCGAGAAGGAGGCGCGGGGTGCCGCGCACAAAGCGATCCGCGAGTTGTTCAAGGGCCGCTTCGAGTCGTTGGCGCGCGACGACCCCAGTGGGGGGCAGCAGATCGTCATCCGCTGGGCCCAGGGGGGGCAGCGGCAGCCCGCAAAGCGTGAGTCATCTCCCGGCGGCGCTGATGTTAGCGCGCTCCACCTTGCCCCGCTACATCCACTTTACGTTGCAGAAGACGAACCGCGAGACCATGGACTGCCTCGGCCACATTTCGCGCGTCCTCAAGGTGCATAACAAGGACCTGAGCGTGTGCGGGACAAAGGATAAGCGTGCGGTCACTGTGCAGCGTGTGTCCTTCAAGCGCGGAACCTGGACTCTGGAGAATGTGTGGAGGGCCGTCAATGGCGTCAAGGCCGGACGGAGGACAGAGGAGGAGGCAGTGACGCGCCGCGGAGACCGCGGGACCCGGATCGGCGACCTCTGCTATGCCCAGAAGCCGCTCGACTTGGGCATGCTCAAGGGTAACCACTTCACGATTACTCTCCGGTGTGTGTTCGCTCCCATGGCAAGCTGATGGCAGGAACGTGCAGACCAGAGATCCCGCGGCTGTCGACGCCGCCATGGAGTCGATCCGGGATAATGGCTTCATCAACTATTACGGTGAGCCCAAACCCCTCGCCGTCCTGACGATAGGCATGCAGCGCTTCGGGACGTCTACGGTCCCCACGCACGTCACTGGTTTGCTGCTTCTGCAGCAGCGGTGGGGCGATGCCGTTGACTCCATTCTCTCGCTGCGCGAAGGCGAGCATCCCGAGTGCACGCGCGGCCGGCTGGCATGGTTGGAGGACGAGGATTACAAGAAGGCCTTGGAGATTATGCCCCGCCGTTCCGTCGCCGAGCGCGCGATCTGGGAGCACTGGAGGAAGGGCAACCTTGTCAAGGACAAGCTTGGGGCGCTGACCGCGGTGAGTCCCATAGGCCTTCACTGCTGACTCCAGATCCCCCGCAACCTGCGCAGCATGTATGTCCACGCGTACCAGAGTTATATCTGGAACCTGGTAGTGTCCGCCCGCATCAAGATGTCCAACACGTCCGCGCTCCCCGGCGACCTAGTGTACGCCGACGGCGGTGACGGTGAGGCTCTCGCGGCGTCAGCGCTGACACCAGACGAAGACGAGGACGGCAAAGCTCGCTCCGCCGCCACGCGCGAAGTCAAGCAGTTGACGGAGGCCGACGTCGCGAACTACCGCCTCACGGACGTGGTCATGCCCCTGCCCGGCTGGCACATTGAGTATCCCGGCGGCGCGCTCGGCAAGCTGTATGAGGACGTGCTCGCCGCCGACGGGCTGAACCCGCACAAGATGAGGCGCGAGCAGCGGTGAGTGCCGCGCAGGCCGTGCAAGCCACGCCTCGCTGACGCCAGCGAGTACTCGCTGCCGGGGAGCTACCGCAAGATTGTGCACAAGCCGGCCAACGTTACGTGGGCGCATGTCCGGTACACGGACCCCGATGTGCCGCTCACGCAGGCGGACGAGGACCGCCTGCTCGGCCTCAATGTGCCCGCGAAGGATGATCCGGAGGGCAAGTTTGGCGCGCTCATCATCTCGTGGTCGTTGGGCACGTCGTCGTATGCTACGATGGCGCTGCGCGAGATCACGAGGCAGGAGACGTCGGCGTGGCACCAGACGGGGCTTACGGCCGAGGGGGAGGACCAGGCGCACAAGGGTGCGGCGGAGAAGGGTGAGGGTGAGGTGGAGGGAGTGGATGCGATGGAGGAGTGAGAGAGTGGCAATGCATTAGGCGTCATTGGCTGTCGGTCTGCTATGAGAGGTTATGTGCAGGACCGGAACATTGGAGAGGATACGGTGCGGAGGTGGACGGCTGCTTGGTCTCTAGCTGCCCCGTAACTCACCGCAGAGTCGAAGTGTGCATATCCAAAAAGCCATCTAATGGCAAGAACCTCCAAACTATCATCTCTCAAGCCGCCACCGCCACGGACTTTACGTACTCGTGGCGCGACTCGCGCTCGTCCGTGCCGCCCTCGGCGCGCGAGTACGGTGTCCACTTCGGCTCGTCCTGGAACAGCCTCATGGCTGTGATGTCGTTCCCCTCGTCAACCGTAAACCGGTGGTAAATACTGCGGTCAGCGCGCCCGCACATGCCCTACCCAGGGGGCATGACGACGAGGTCGCCCTTTTCGAGATGGATGCGGATCCAGCGCTCGTCGCCGCCCACGCCGCCTGCCGTCAGCCCCGTCGTCCCCCTACGCACCGCGGACATCGAAGAAGCCCGACCCGTCGAGGATGTACCGGATCTCCTCGTCGTCGTGCAGGTGCCTGCTGTCAGCGCGCCCACGACGCACGCACTCGTCGAAAAACGACTTGATCTTGGTCTCGTACGCCTCCCCGAGCCCCTGCGGGGTCACGTTGATCTGGTCGCGCTGGCGTCAGCTCGGCGTCGGTATGCACGGGAAGCGCACGTTCTTGTATCCCCGCGCGGCGGCGAAGTCGTCGATTGCCCGCTGCCATGCGCCGGCGGCATCGATCGGGATCGTGTGGTACAGCACGCCCAGGTCCGCGAGCTTTTGGGGCGACACGGCGACGCCAGAGTCGTGCGGCAGGCGCTGGTCGCCGCTGGCGTCAGCGAGGAAACGCGGACACGCACGGGATGTCGTCGTAGTAGTATGCCCTCATGTGGAAGATGTGGTGGAGAAACGTGCGACTGCAATGGCGACATCGTACATAAGAGGATTACCCCACACTTTTTGCTTCCGCGATTTCAATTGCCACCCAACGTCCACCTCCACTTTGGCAGGCTGCGAGGGTCAAAACAAACATCACTGTTCTCCATCGCTCGGTTTCAGCGTTACCTATCCTCTCCCAGAGCCACCCAGCGTCAGAACATGGGGTCACTCACAGACGAGGCGTCGGCGTACACGCTGCTCGAGAAGCTCGGCATGGGGAGCTTCGGCACGGTGTGGAAGGCGTACGTGTGCCGTGCGCCGCGTGCCGACGCGACTGACTTTAGGGTACACAACGAGACGGGGCAGGTCGTTGCGATCAAGATCATCAGTGCGTGTGCCCGCTTCGGCGCTGACACCAGACCTCGAGACGACGACGGACGACCTCGACGAGATCCAGACGGAGATCGCGCATCTGCGCACATGCATGTCGGACAAGGTCACGCGGTACTACGGCAGCTTCATCAAGGGCTACCGCCTGTGGATCCTCATGGAGTACCTTGCAGGCGGGAGCTGCCAGGATCTCGTGCGTGCACCGCGGGCGCGCTGACCCCAGCTCCAGCCCGGCGTGTTCACCGAGCAGCAGATCGCGACGGTGTGCCGCGAGCTCCTGCTGGGCCTCGAGTACTTGCATGCGCAGGGCAAGATCCACCGCGACATCAAGGCGGCGAATGTGCTGTTCTCCGCCACGGGGGACGTCAAGCTTGGTGAGCGAGGGCTGTGTTGGGCTTGCTGATACCGAGCCGACTTTGGCGTCGCCGCGCAGCTCTCGGCGTATCAGTCCCAAAGGCATACTTTTGTCGGAACCCCGTTTTGGATGGCGCCCGAGGTCATTCAGCAGGCGGGATACGATGCGCGGGCGGATATTTGGTCGTTGGGAATCACTGCCATCGAGATGGCTAAAGGCGAGCCGCCGATGGCCGACTTCCACCCGATGAAGGCGTTGTTTCAGATTCCCAAGCTCGACGCGCCGCGCCTCGAGGCGACGTACAGCGCCGAGTTCCGGTCCTTTGTCGAGACGTGTCTGCAAAAGGACCCCAAGAACGTGGGTGCTTTTCTGCAACTTGGCACTGATGTTTAGCGCGCTACCGCTAGGGCGCTGCTGCAGCACCCCTTCATCCGCCGGGCTGGGCCCACGTCGGACCTCGAGTCGCTCGTGCGGAGATACCTGACCTACAAGGCGAACCAGAAGCGGAAGACGCCGTCCAAGCCAGACCCAGCGACGATCATGGGCGGGACAGTCAAGACAGAGTGGGACTTTGACGACACCATCCGCGGGACGCTCAAGGGCGTGCCGGTGCAGCTCAGTCTCGAGGCGATGGTGATGAGGGTGGTATGTTTCGTGGCTGACGACAGGAATCGACAGCGTCGGCGTCGAGTACAATCAAGGCGCCTGCCACTACCAAGCCCCCGCGCGACCCGCCACGCCCAGAGTCCAGCTCGCGCGAGCACACAATCAAGGCGCGGCCGCCCAAGCCCGAGAGCTTGGTCGACCAAGTCATTCTCCCGGCGCTCGACTCGGTCGCGCACCGGCACCCGGGGTCGCGGGATGATCTGAGTGCGATCCGGGCTGGGTTCGCGGCCCTGGGCGTGAGCAACCCGACTTTGGCGCGCGAGATCGTTGATGCTGTGGTGCAACGGTGCGTGACGTGCTGGCGTTGCTGACCTGAAGGGTTCAGGCCCGGTCACCGTCCGAGGGCGAGTTACCTCAGCCCCAGGCTGGGCAAGGGCAGGCTGATCTGATCACGGAGCGGAGTCATGTGGCGAGCCTACTGCTGCAGCGATGTAAGTGCGGCTTGTGGCGCGGCTGACGACAGGGCTGGAAAGTAGTACTCAAGTGCCTGCTGGTTGAGATTACAGTAGGGCTGTGCATGCATGTGCTATTACGTAATAGGATATGGGGGTCACGTGGAGCAGGGGAGGTGGATTGGGCAATTCCTCGTTGGCTGCAGAAGCGAAGGGGCGGCATCAGAGCCGAGCGGGATCAATTCTACCCTGGCCTGCCGATCCATCGCATCGGCCCCACCCTGGACCTGTCCCGCCACCCACCGCATTACACCCCCACGTTAATGGCCATTAGAAAAGCTGGGTGCATTTTGTAATGAGGTATTAATGGAATCCCTCTTTCCCCTCCATCCCCATTCCTCTCGCTCTCCTCACCACTCCCACTCCATCCACTCGCTACTCTCAACAACATCCTCCTCCTCCTCCTCGTCCATTCTCTCTTTCCTTCATCTCGTTTCTTAACGCCAACCTCCCCCCCCGACCTCCGCACTACCTTCTAGCTCACCCGCCCACACCCCGAGGTGCCCGGTCGCACCACTCGCCGACAATGTCCAAGCCAAAGGCAGGACTAGGCAAAGGCCTCGCGCGCACTCTCGCCGCCCACTCGGCCTCGTCGGCGCCATCGGCCGCCGTCATCCATCACCCCGTCACTCTCCCCTCGGTGGCCACTAACCCTGCGCGCTTGACCCACTCTTTCCCCCGCGCCGCGCCATGGTCTTCGTCCCATGCAGTCGTCCAGCATCACACCGCGCAGATTCCCCTCTGGGACGCTCCAGAACTAGGCCGCCGCTCCTATGTGTCGTCCGCGTCGCCCCTCCGCGCCTCGGTCGAGGCAGTCTTCTCGCTCCCGCAGTACCTGCCCCCATCGCTCTTGTTTGATCGACCCAGGCAGACTTTCAACGAGTTTGTCAACCCCAACCCGCCGCCGCCACCGCCGCCCCCAGCCGTAGCAGCGATCGTCCGCGTTCCCTCTCCGCCGCACCCGGCAAAGCAGGCCAGGCCAGCCGAAGTCCACTCTGTACTAGCTCCTGCGCCGCAGCTGAATAACACCACCACTCTCGCCCCCAATCCCCATTTCACGTACCTTGGCGCCCGGTCAGACGGGATCGATCTCCAGTCCACAGCGACGCTGCCTGACCCAAACAACCTCAATCTCTATTCGTCGAGTCTCATCTTCCACCTCGGCTCGAGTGGTGCGCCCAAAGAGCGCACCCACATTCCGCCCTCGCGGAAGAGGGCTGTCGAACCACCTCCACCACGACAGCGGTCATTCCCATTGCCGGACGTGTCGCCTCCCGCGACGCTCCAGTCCGTCGGCGTTGGCGAGGACTCGTATTTTGCACGTGTCGATGGCGTGTGCGTCGCGGATGGAGTAGGAGGCTGGTCGCGCTCTGGAAAGGGCCCAGGAGACCCCGGGCGCTGGGCGCGATTGCTGACTCACTTTTGTGAAGAAGAAGTTGAGCGCTGGTGGGCTGGTGCCGAGGACTACATGACCACGGGCGATGATGTGTCCGGGTGGGCCGCACGCGCCTGGAAGCGCGGGTCGGAGGATCGCAAGGAGCGCAAGCACCGCCGCCCCCTCGATCCTGTCGAGATCATGCAGAAGGGGTACGAGAAGTGTTTGGCCTGCGCTGCACAGGAGGTGAGGGCGGATTTGTAAGAAAGAGGCTAATAGCAGGGAATCTACGGTTCCTCGACGTGCATCCTCGCGCTGCTACACCATTCGACGCTCCTGGTCGCCAACCTCGGCGACTGTAGCTTGCTCATCATCCGCCGCGGCGAAGTCGTCTTCCGCACATCGGAGATGCAGCATGCTTTCAACTTTCCTCTCCAGCTCGGCACGCACTCGCGCGACGAGCCGATGAAGGACGCCAAGCGCTACGACATTGGGGTTGAGAAGGAGGATGTCGTCATTGTTGGCAGCGACGGCCTGATGGACAATCTGGTGAGATGGTGCCTTGTGTCTCGCGCTGACGGCAGTTTGACGAAGACATTCTCGAGACGCTGTCCGAGTTCGCACCCCCAAACCAGCCCGGCTCATTGCCGGCGTTCTCGCCGCAGCTTGTGTCTGAAGCATTGCTGGACCGCGCGCGGGCCATCTCGGAGCAGACGACTGCGACTACGCCGTTTATGATGCGCGCGATCGAGGAGGGCATCGACTTTGTAGGAGGCAAAAAGGACGACATTTCCGTAGTCGTCGGGGTCATTGGAGACCGCGACGGCTCGACTCTAACACTAGACACCAAGTCGCACCCTTAGAGAGTTGTATACCATGCATTGTGTTGTTGTCATCTGATGTCTAGATGTCTATTATGATGAGGAGCGGGGTCTGTGGTGGCTACATGACAGCTGGTGAGCTGATTGGGATGATTCGGTGTCGTCCAAGATAGTACCTCTGTGGGCGTAGCGTCGGGCAATGCTGCTGCCGACGCGCGTCACGGTGCATGAGGAACGCGGGCCGGAGAGCAGACTCGAGTCGGCCGATCAATGCCGCGAGTCTCGTAGGTATTGCGGATGGCGGGCGCCGTGGGGAGTCACTACGCGATCCCCACCTTCTTTCCCTCGAGGTATCGCCCGACGCCCTCATAACAGGCGATCATGAGGCCGCACGCAGGCGCGATTTTCCCGCAGCGCGGGCCGACGCCGGCGAAGAGCGCCCCCCACCCCTCGGTCCGCACGACATGGAGTGCGAGGGGGAACGTGCTCGCGCGATGCCGCAGCGCTTCGGGCGAACACCCGGGTGAGGGGGTGAACACCTGCCTGCGCGTCTTGAGGACGTCGAACGGCTGGGTGACGAGTGCGGCGAGGGTGCCGCTCGTCGCGCCGGCGACGAACGACGTCGCGATCGGCGACAGCGGCGCGCCGCCCGCGGCGAGCTGCGCTTTGATGATTTCGAACCCGGCCCAATACAGGCCGGAGAAGGGGACGTCGCGCCACAGCGTGGGCCCGAGGCCGCGCCAGAGGATCGCGGGGCCTTTGGCGCGCACGAGCGCGAGCATGTCGCGGCCGGTGGACGCGTACGTCGGCGACGGCCGCCCGTCCGTCGGCAGCGCTTGCAGGCGCGTGCGGAACATTTCGAGCGGGGATATAATGCTCGCGCTGAGCGTGCGCGCGAGCGAGCCCGCGATGAGCGGCGCGGGCGTGAGGATCGCGTCGGCGCCCGCGCCCGAGCCCGCGAAGACCGGGCCGAGCCGCGCGAGCAAGTACTCGTACCCGAGCATGTAGATCGCCGAGGACGGCACGGCCATCGTGCTTCCGTCAGCGTCGCCGTGCGGGATGCTTACAGAGTCGTGCCGACGCCCTTCCACAGACCGCGCACGCCCGCGTCACGCCGCACAGCGGCCAGCTCGCTCCAGAAGCCGCGCGGCCGCTCGTCCGCGTACCCCCGCAAGAAGCCGCGCGTCATGGCCTCCTCGAAGCTCACGGCTTCCCCCCAGATCCCCGCCCACTTCGAGGGGTGGTAGCACCCCTCGGGGGCCGCGAGCGCGTACGCCACCGCTTGTGGCTGCGGGCGTGGGGGCGCGCGAGGGAGGGTGGATGTCGCGCAGGTCACGTCGGCGGAGGGCGTGAGGAGCGGCGTCTGGCAGCATTCGATGGGCAGCGGGATGTGCGGTTGGACGGTTTGCAGGCGGGTCTTGAGGACGTCGAAGGGTGTCACTGGGGTGAGCGGGGGTGAGCGGGGGTTAAGGGGTAGGGATGGGAGTGGAGCGATAGGGAGGTGAGACGCACTCAGCAAAGACGTAGACAGCGCGCCCGTCATCGCTGCAATGGCTTTCGGCGCCAACGTCGAGTCCGAGAGGGCGGAGCGCGACGGCCCGGGTTCCGGCTCGGGCCAGAAGTCGAGGTCCTCCATAGCGTCCGGGAGGTCGAGAGCGAGGTCTGGCCGGGGGTGGCGAGACATGGCGATGGCGATGGAGAGATGGAGATGGAGATGGAGAAGCCTGACGTCTAGTCGCTCGGCGCATCGGCCAGCTCCAATAATTCGATGATGATGGAGTAAGCTCCATGCCACGCGGGGGTCCGTTCCGAATCCTGGGAGTGGGGATAAAGTGGCGTGACGAGCGATGGCGGGTTTTGCTCCCGCTGACACAGTCACCTGCGCACCTCCTGCATTGTCAACATCCGTCATCATCTATCTCACTCTCGCTCTCACTCCTCCGCCATCCGCAATGCCTCGCGCGCCGCTCGCCGAGCTCCCGCTCGCGCACTACCTCCCGCCACCGAACGGCGCCATTGCCAGCACCAGCACCAGCACCAGCACCAAGCTCCCCCCCTCCCCGCTCTCGAAGCGCGCCACGCCCAAGCGGGCACGCATAGACCTCTCCTCCGACGAGCTGGGGACGGGCAAGAGCCCCGCGCGGCGGCTGTTTGTCGAGCCCGTCTCCGCCTCCGCCTCCGCCTCCGCCTCCGTCGCACCACCACCTGCTCTAGTCCCAAGTCCCGCCCCAAGTTCCGCCCCAAGTTCCGCCCCAAGTCCTGCTCACGCACCATCACACGCCCACGCCCCCTCCCCCGCGCCCGCCCCCGCGCCCCGCAGCGCGCTGCACGATCCCGGGTTCCGCGTGTTCTACGATCCGCGCGGCGCCGCACACCACCACGCCTTGTCCGTGCCGCCGGGCCACGACGCCGAGAACGTGCCGCCGGCGTGTACGCGCGTGCTGCGCTCCCACGCGCAGTCGAAGGAGGCGTTGAGGACACGCGCGCGCGCGATCCGCGCGGCGTGATCGGCGCGGCGAGATCGCCGCCGCTACTGTTGTATTATCAGCTGATGCAGTGTTGTTTTGTCCTCTAGCTGGTGCATCGTTGTCCTCTAGCTGGTACATCGTTGTCCTCTAGCTGGTGCATCGTTGTCCTCTAGCTGGTGCATCGTTGTCCT